AAAATGGATCGAGGAATATGGACAGATATAACATTCCGTCAGGATGGACTAACCTGGTATACAGACGGGTCAAAGACCGCTGAAGGAACAGGAGCTGGAGTATTTGGGGAAAGACCAAGGGCAAGCTTATCCTTTTCCTTGGGTAAACACTCAACCGTATTCCAGACAGAAATCTTCGCCATTCTACAATGTGCAAGAGAAAACAATAATAATATTAATTCGCAACAATGAAAGTAAAACTGGTAGCTCCTTTTAAATCAATTATTCTTTAGATACCTATTGAACATGAAACAGTTCTGCTGTTGGATACACTTTTGTATTGCACTCGCGTGTTATAACATACAGGGTGGCCCATCGAAAACGTTCCGCAAGGCATAACGGCCAGGGTAATTTTTTTTGTGAGGGGGACAATTTTTGTCCCTAAAATGATTGCAAAATCTTCAACCCTCTAAGCGGGGGTGGTATCCCCCAATTTTTTTCAAATGGGAAGGGGGGCCAAGTGGTACCGCATTGAAAAGGTTTTTTTTCTATACTTTCCCGCTTCGTTTTTAAAAGTCGGTCGAGTCATCGAGAAAATATGAAGGATTGAAATTTGAAAAGTTTATTTAAACATTTATCAGAGTAGATAAGGATAAACTCCTTCGACCAATTTGCTGTTTTTTCTTATTATTTCTAGATGTTTACGCATTTTTTCACTTGCCACAAGGATGAAAGATCGGGTTAGGTAGAGTGTACTTTCTTTTTGACAGGTGTAGTTAATCGGCACAACTGTCGGTACTGGGCTGAGGACAACCCCAGGGTTTTTCACGAGGTGCACACACAAAACCCTAAGAAATTTAACGTGTGGGCTGGTATTTTTAGAAATTCTATTGTGAGTCATTTTTTTCTTCCTGGAAATCTAACAGGTGATATGTACTTGGATTTACTGGAAAATACCATCGACCCAGCCCTAACTGACATCATAGAGAACAATCTTGGATACGTTGAAGCGGAACTAATATTTCAACAAGACGGTGCACCTCCACATTACTCTCAAAATGTGCGTAATTATTTAAACAATAACTTTCCCGTTCGGTGGATAGGACGAAGGGGTGCAATTGAGTGGCCTCTCCGGTCACCCGACTTGACTCCTTTAAACTTTTATCTATGGGGACACATAAAAAGTAAAGTGTATAGCACTCATTAGAAGACCTGCGAAGACGAATTATTGATGTTTGTTGCGAAGTGACCCCGCAAGTTCTTCAGAATGTTCTAGAACGGGTTGAAAATAATTTGTATTACTATATGGAGGTTGATGGGCAACATTTTCAGCATTTTCTTCATTAATAAGATAAGTTTTTTTTAATTAATTCAATTTATGCGTTTTTTGCAAAAAAAGTACTTTTCAAATTTCAGTCTTTCATATTTTCAAAATGACCCGAGCGATTTTTAAAAACAAAGCGGGGAAATATAGAGAATAGAAAGCCCTTTTCATTGCGACGCCACTTGACCCCCCTTCCCATTTGAAAAAAGTTGGGTAATGACACCCCCGCCTAGAGGGTTGAAGATTTTGCAATCATTTTTGTGGCAAAAGTTGTCCCCCTCACAAACAAAATTGACGTGTTTTTGGATTTTTCGAAAAAAAAAATACCCTGGCTGTTATGCCTTGCGGAACGTTTTCGATGGGCCACCCTGTATAAGTCACTTAAGAAAATTATAGCCTATTTCTCTATAACACATGTCTCTTCAAAAAGCGAATATCTCCAATAATAAGAAACCTATTGAGATGAATCAAAAAACAAACTATCCAGAAAAGATGCGCTTTGGTGATAAAGTGGTTTTTGAATTTCTTACTTTGTTAAACCGTTTCTCGGGGTGTCTTAAACTATCAAAAATATAACAACATTTTATTTTCCCTCATAGATATATGAGGACTTAATTTTTAATTTAAATTGAGGCAAAAAAAAGCCAAATAATTTAGCTACAAATTGTTTAAAAATCATCAAAATCGGCCTACTAGAACAAAATATATTATTGAACTTAAAAAACGTAAAAATTTTAAAGTGCCTGTTTTTTTGTACAGGTTAGTACAGAACTTTTCAAACATCATATTTTCCTCTGGGCTCTATTTATAATTTAGAGCCAAAGATGGTTAATTAAGTCTCCACTTATAGTTCTTTGCTATCGCTGGAACTAATCATAAACGAGACGTCGTAGCTTGCCAGTCCATTCCCCAGGGAAATGGATAATTGAGGGACAGGACGACAGGAAGCTGAAGGTAAATGGGATTATCCTGGCGAAAATTACCTCCGTGGCTTTTTCTCGGGATAGAAAAGCTTCAGACGACTTACTCTATTATTTATTAAAAAGTCGTAAAATAAATTAAAACAACTAATAAATTAAACTTTTTGGAAAAAAAAATTTTTGTTTTTTATTAATTTTAGTTAAAAAATATAATATCTTGATAATATGGCAACACAGGTAGTATATTAAATCTACAAGAAAGAAAACTCCAGTGGTTCTCAAAATTTCAGCAAAATATATAGGTACCGGGTGTTGCATCGTCGTTGGGAACATAGGAAATCCCATGTAAAATTTGAACTGTCCAGATATTGGCTCCCCTATAGATTTTATAGCAAAGTCGTAAATAGACTTTTTAAAGGTGTACATTTGGTAAACACACATGCCAAATTTGAACAATTTTGGACAAGCCGATTTTAAGTAATTTGAGAAAAAATTAATCGATTTTTATATTAAAACCGAACAGGTACATCAAACCCAATCAAACACCAGTCAAAAACTGACATACCTTAGGTTTACAAACTATGATTTTGTCATTGTCAAAAGTAATTTTAATAAAATTTTAATATTTAGGGAAAATTAACCGAAACATGTCAGATACACTGTCTAATCTATTTCCCGCGTATTTTATCATGTTCACTTTTTCTTTATGTGTATAACAATAAATTATTACTATAGTCTGTAAAACGAATAACTTTGAATTTGACAGTTCCCGCGGGCTTTTCTAGTGTTAATTTTATTAGGTTAGCAACTTGCGGCCATGCTGACGCAATGCCGTCTCTAATAGAACAGCCTCGGAGCGAGATTTATGACGTCACGCTAGTTAGATACCACGGATTAATAAATATGTTGTAGAATACTTGGAAAACATAATTATTCCTCGTATTTTTAGTTTGTATTTTAAAAATGATATAGTTTACATGAAATATACATAATATACAGTTAATATATATATATATATATATATATATATATATATATATATATATATATATATATATATATATATATATATATATATATATACCTATTTATAGTAATAAATACTTTGCCAGATAAAACTATGAACCATACAAAACCAGCAAATGTTTTACAATATGGCTGAAATCGTACTCCATAGTCAATGTAGATAATTTTTGTGTTAAGAATAATAATTTAAAAAATATGTGGTCATCTTTTGACAAGTTTATATTAGTTTATTAATTGCAGTAAACATTATAATATATAAATAAATTTTGTTAATGCAAATAATAATACATCACTATTATATAACTTACTATTCACTACTATAATCACTATTTATAGATATTGAATGTTTTTTGTTAAATTAGATCGATTTTCAAACCCCAAAATTTAAAATATATTTTACATTTTACCCGTTACCTTATGTATCGCCTATTCATTATTTGTATATTTAAAAACATTTGCTGCATTTGTATAGTTCATAGTTTATTTGCCAAAGTATTTATTACTATAAATAGGTATATATTATATTGTATTTATTAACTGTAAATTATGTATATTTCATGTAAACTATGTACTATGTATACTATGTATATAAAACATCATTTTTAAAATATGAACCAAAAATACGAGGAATAATTATGTTTTTCATGTATTCTACAACATATTTATTAATCCATAGTATCTAACTAGCGTGACGTCATAAATCTCGCTCCTTGGCTGATCTATTAGAGACGGCATTGGTCTAATATTTAGAAATGTCTAAAGCTGATGACATTTTACTTTTGTCAATTATGACATTTCGTGTTGATTTTTGTAAGAAGAGGAAGAACTGTCGCTTGTTTTATTATTTTCCTTTTCTATTTCACGAAAGTAAAAAGAGTTATATATCTGATTCGTTCAGGCACTCAATTTAAAGAATATCAGTAACTTTTTTGATAGAGGGATTTTATATTTGCTATGTTGGTAAAAAATAACGGTCAAAATTCAAAGTTATTCATTTTATAGACTATAGTACTGAATATTAAAATTTTATTAAAATTAAGTTACGTTTGAAAATGACGCTGACAACTTAAGGAATGTCGGTTTTTGACTGGTGTCATACTGGTGTTTGATTGTTACCTATTCGGTTTTAACTTAAAAATCGATTAAGTTTTTCTCAAATTACCTAAAATCGGTTTGTCCAAAATTGTTCAAATTTGGCATGTGTGTTTACCAAATGTAGACCTTTAAAAAGTCTATTTACGACTTCGCTATAAAATCCATAGGGGAACCAATATCTGGACAGTTCAAATTTTGCATGGGATCTCCTATGTTCCCAACGACCGACGATGCAACACCCGGTATATTTTAAAACCCTGTATACAGGCTGAGTCTTAAATAAGTGCAAATATTCTCAGGGTTGGTAGATCTCGATAAAAGAAACATACCGTATGATGGAATAAAAACGGCGTCACCGATGGCTATGAAATGACAATCGATGACATTTTCCATATAAATAAGTATAAATTTACATATAAAATGACAGCGATCTTCATTTCATAGCCATCCCTGACGCTGTTTTTATTCGATCATACGGTATGTTTCTTTTATCGAGATCTACCAACCCTGAGAATATGGGCACTTATTTAAGACTGAGCCTGTATATAAGTTAGTCTGTGATTTATCCGTAATTTTTAGGAAACCCAAAAAACAACTATATACTGATATTTTTACATATATATTTCTTTATTTGCATCTATAATATAGTAAATTATTTTAACAAATTTAACAAAAATATAGAGAATATATTTTAACAGTCTTTGTACCTACTTATTTCCACATTTCTGTTCTACAGAGTATTTCTTGGTGCCTTATCCCTAGAATAAATTTGCGAAATCAAATATAAATTCCTATTTACCTAAAAAAAATAATAAAAAACTGTATTAAAAAAGCAAATTACTTCAGAACAATTCGAAAATAATACCAAATTTTTATTTAAGCTGTTGTATCTTAAAAAATAGTTCCTCAAAATTTCTTCTTTGGGTAAAATTAGACTGATTCTATTTCTGTCCGATGCTGTGAATTTGATCCAAATCAAAATAAGTTTTAGAGTTACTGCAGAATGTTTTTTTCTAGTCGAATAGAAACATCTAAAATTTATAAAATTCCTTTCCATTATACAGAGTATAAATAAATATCTGCCCAAAAATTTACAAAGTTATATATTTTTTAAATTGAGGTTATTTTGTATAAAATGTTTTTCTATTATCAAATTGTTTGGTATATAGCTTTGCAGATAAACGTCGCAAAAAGCTTTAGTAATCCAAATAACTATAGCTATACGGTATGATCGAAAAAAAACGACGTCAAAGACGGCTGGGACACGACAGTCGATCATAATTTTGGCGAGATCAATCTCTAGACGTAATTTACTAAAAATTGACATCAAACTTGTCAAAAATTTACACTAATTAAAGAAGAGTAAAGAAAAAAAATTAAAAAGAGGAGTACTGGCCAAGTAAATGACATCTAGGGCTTGACATCGCCAAAATTATCATCGATTGTCATCCAAGCCGTCTTTGGCACCGTTTTTTTTTCGATCGTATGATGCCCATGATACTCACATATCCTCGATGTAAGTGCTCATAGTAGGATAGTCCAACAACGCAGGATACAATTTGATCAAGCCTGTGACACACAGATGACATTTAGCGCTCAAACTGGCCTCTTCAGAAAGATCAAACAAGCTATACAAGATATTCAGAACGTCCTCGTGATCTATCACAATCACCCCGCTGTGATTTATAATTTCGCACAACAAATCGAGGGCTTTTTCGGCTACATATTTTGATTTTTTCAAAAATATACTAATTTTTAATGGTGTAGTATCGTTTGAGTTTACTATAACCATTGCCTAAAATAAAAATATAAAAATTTAAACAAAAAACTATAAAGTGATTAAGAAGATGTAAATTTAAGATTAAATTAATAATATACAGTGTGTTTTTTACATAACCCTTTTATAATGGTGTTTATAAATGTAATTTAAAATGGATTGGTTTTAGAGTAAGAATATAAAGAATATTTTAAGGTAATTTTTAAATAACTTGTACAGAGGTAAAATGTTAAATATAAAAGTTATAGGGAAGGTTACGATTATACAGGGTGTTTCAAAAAGTGTGGCGAATATAAGATGTTTTTCTTTTAAATGCAACACCCTAGTTTTTATTTTATTTTTAGATTCTCCATAAAATTCCATAACTTTTTTTATATATAATGTTATATACCTAAAATTAATAATTTTTGTAATATTTAAATTTGTTTAAACAAATGTTAAATTTCAGTGTAGTAAAAAATTGTTAGTGGTGCCATTGTCTCTGAAGCTGCAGTACCACAATTCGGTAGGAGAGTTTTATAGAAATGAAAAAAAATATATATATAAAGATGTTTTAGTTAAATGCTACAGGGCGTTCAAAATATATTTATGAATTTCAACTACTTAAATTTGATATTAAATACAATAATAATAAATAATTGCTACCTGATTTTACAAAACTCTTCAACTTTTATTAAGTATGTCATATACCTATTTTTAATAGTTTGCGATTTATTCCAATTTTTTCTATTTTTACCCATATTTTTAATACAATTACGCTATAACATCATAGTATTTTTTTGTAAGCCTCGAAAGGAATGAGACAATGGACTTTACTCCATCGTTGACTCACCCTGTACTTCATAGCCATTCTTCTAATTTTAGATAGAAATAAGTATACAGGGTAGAAAAAACTGTAAAGTGTAACTGTTCAAATTTAATAAAAGTTACAGTGTATTTTTACACAACACTTTTATAATAAGGTTTTAGTGTAAGAATATAAGATTATTTTAAGGTATTTTTTTAAATAACTTAGATAGAAATAACTATACAGGGTGGCACATTAATGCGGGGAAGTCCAATATCTGACAAAGACATGAAAAAAAAAATATAAATGTTGAATGGTGCATACCCTAAAAATATTTTTTTATACAGGGTGTCCCAAAGGAAGTACTTAATAATAAAGTTATAAGTTTTTTTTTCCAATTATTGCAACCTCCAATTTTTCTGTACAGGTCGGATAGTTTTACATAAATATATGAATAAAAAATACCCTATGATTATAACATTTTAAAATTATCTGTCCATACCTGGTACTTCAAGATTTTTCTTAAAAACCTCAATATCTCCACAACCAAATCTTCCCCAACTCTCCCAGCTCTGGATATCAACACTCTGATCAACACCACATCGTTACACAAGAACTGAACCTCACATTTTTCACTCTTATGCCCTTCCATGAGACTTCTAGCAAACCTACACACAGTTATTGAAGTTTGTTCATCCTCCAAAGAGATCAAAAGCGTTCCAAGAGCCTTGAGAAGTACCAAAGAGGTACTTTTGTTGGGCGGATCGTGTCGAGACAATGCTGTGATTAGGAATGGGAAAATATTTTGGTCGTGAATGAATTTTGGAGCTATGTCATAAAGGCTTCGGACCAAGGATGGAGTTTGGATGGCGTTTACGAGTTCCAGAGTTCTAGAAAAAAATGGGTTAGAGGCAGATGTACCAAGACTTTTTCTGAAACAATTATGTTTATATTTATGGTCATACTGTAAGAAATAAGAAGATGCGCAAGATTATGGGCAATTTCGTGGCACAAAACATGTCCGAGATTTAGTTTAGCTCTGCGCCGCTGCGCGCTGGTTGTTTACCGCGCAGGCTATAAAGAATACTGTACCGTAGTTCTGCTTTCAGTCAATGACTAAAGAATCCAAGAACAAATAACACCCGAGAGCAAATTGTGACGATGTCACCAAACAGTGCCGTGGCACATATTTTTCTTAACCTAGCTGTTTGAAGCAATATTTATATTTTTTGATAATTGTTTTTACTACGCCTGTGGTGTATCATACTAATTAATTACGAAAAAAACGTATTAAAATATTAACAAAAAGTACAAACCTAGTATCGACGTATAGCACATATCAAGTACATATAGATGTTAACTGAAATTGAAGAATAATTATCGAATTCAATAAGAAAACGCTAAAAAGTTGTAGTGGACTGTTTATTTACCTATGAAGGGTAACTCCTGGCTCTTTCTTATCGCTGCTGCTTTTACACTTGAAAGCTGAACAACTATTCACCATTGTAATAAAGTTTATACAAAGTTCACTACACACAAACTATTAAAAATCGCTAAAATTGTCGCTGGTGACCAAATGATGACTCATTGTTTGCCATCAAAAGAATGGCCTCTAAGGTCCCAAATTCTGCTACAGCCCGTATGTGGGCGTTACTTGTCCTTATATTCTTTAGTCATTGGCTTTCAATCGACAGAGTGGGTGATTGCCGGAGACAGTGTTGCCAGACCTACTGATTAATTGGTAGATTTACGGATTTTGGGTACACTACGTTAATAATACGGATTTTCTATCATTAAACAATTTAATATAATATTATATGATTAAACAAAGAACGGCGTCAGAGTTGGCTTGGAAATGAAGATCGCTGTTATTTTTTATTATGTCAAATATTATGGTAAATGTCAATAGTCGTAGTTCCAACCCAACTAAACGACTTTTTTCGATCATACGAAATATTCAGTACCTGTAAACGAATTTTTATGTTTGTTGTTTATTCTATGTTTAACACGAATAAATTTTCAATGCATAAACGCGGATTTTTCATCCAAAGATATTTTCATCAAACGTATTACAGATATTACACATTTTATGTGTAAGTATAGTGTTTTATGCGTTGGCCGCAGAACGAGTAGAGGCTCCACTGTACAGCACTTGAGACGTAAGGAGCAATCAAATAAAAAAAAGCCTTGTCACAAATTCGCCCTTTCGATTGCGTATCTTCCCAATTCTTTCAATCAAGGATCATACCTTTTCATGACGTCACTGTTTTCACAGCCGACCATGACATCTATCAGTATATTCACCGAACCACTCGATATCATATTCTTCTTCAGAAAATCTAGTCCTTCTTCAGTTATACTGTTTTTTAACCAGTAGGTCACTATCAGTTTTTTAAATTTATCAGAAGCTCTATCCAGAAACCACAAGAGCTGAGCTGTTGTTAATGTAAAAATTCGCTCCAAAAAGCCGACATAATCTGGTAGAATAATGTTTAAAAGGTCATCTCCTAAAAGACCTCTTCTTGGTGTTGGCGCATCTAAAATTAATATTATACAGGGTGGCCCGAAGTGTAGTCGGAAAACTTTGACAATATATTAACAGTTAAAAAATATATAGGTAGCGCTCCCTCCAAATAGGCGTCGTACTAACATCAAAATCGAATTTTTTGAGTCTAAAAACACCCAGTTAAAATTTCATCCAAGTACCAACGTTATTTCAGAAATTATTTGAAAAAAAAATAAAAATGAAACTTTTACACCCTATATCTCTGAAACGAAGCATTTTAGGACATACATTTATATGAACTCTTTTACTAATTTTTATCTGTAGAATATGTTGTTAAAGTTTCCTGATTAAAATTCTGACCACCCTGTATAATTGGTTATATAAAGAGTGATTCATGGTTTGTTAGCAGCAAAAAAGATGACAAATAACTGGTCCATCCTGTATAAAGTTCCAAATAATATAATATATTTAAATTGAATTATAATATAAAAATAGAATACTTACAAATATAAACTAATGGATAGATATAGCAAATGGACTTTAACAAACAAATTGTAATTGTTTTCTTGTATTTTTTTGTATAAATCAGTCGAACCATGGCTTGGAAGATTTCTCCAGCTGGCCAGAAGACACTAAAACAGAATTAACCTTATACAGGGTGGCGCCTCTCACACGTCGCGGAGGCTCCAAGGAGAACGACAGTTTGTATTGAAATGAAATTTTGTGAGCATATGTAGGTTAATTCAGAGCACTTTTTAAAAATATAGAGAGTTCTACAGGGTGTCCTCAAAAAAAGTTACATATCAAAGTTATTGTAGCTGCTTTTCGAGGTAGAACTCCACATATGCCTTTTAAAATGAAAAGATCCTTTAGAAAAGACAATTATTTTATGCAGTTAACAGGAAAAGAAGCATTTTGAGCATTTGATTTCATCTAGCTAATTTTGTCACATAATTATAGGTTTATATCTAGTTTTAATTCTGTAATAATTAAAATATGTTTTAAACGTGTATCTTTTTATTACCGTTGGGTCTTTTACTCTACAATCTTTAATTTTTGTTAAATTAACAAAAGGTATATGACACAGTCACCCTAGATTTTTTCAACTAATAAAGATCTACTGACGCAAAATCATAAAAATTAAAATATCTAGGAAATCTTTGTCCAAGGCGTAGGCAACCTTAATAATATTTTGAAGATATATAAATTCCCCATTGAACACCGTAAAAATATAGTGGGTGTTCCATTTAAAATAAAGGAGTAACTTGCTTTTAAAAGTGACTAATGTTCCATATTAATCTTGTCTCACCCTGTATAACTTTTCAGGTCAAATTTCAATTTGGTTTAATATACAATGGTGCCTGTAATTAAATATCAGGCTATACAAGGTCAACTAAAATCTAGATAGCTTTTATCGAAATTTAAAATTTACTCTTCATTTTCACAAAATGTGAAATATGTCAAAATCCTTAAATTTTAGGCATATGCTTCTTTAATAAAACTCACCTTTATTTTTTTTTCTTAGAATCCGAAAATCAATTAATATATAGGGTGTTCCATTAGAAAAACACAACTTTGATGTGTAAATTTTTGGAGACACCCTGTATAATTTTATATATTTTTATAAAATGCTTTCAGTTAACTTACATATGCTGCCAAAATTTCATTTCGATATAAACTACTGTTCTCTGTACAGGGTGGACCATTTTGGTTGTTTCTATAGGGTATCTAGGAAACCGTGAGAAATATTCAAATTTTGATACTGCAGTTTCGGGTTCTTTTTTTGAAAAAATTACAATGGCGCAAAGGAATTGTGGCTATCTTGATCGGTTTCGAAGCTACAGGGGGATTCTCAAATTTTGTACTTTTTGAAGATGTTCGACATTGTAATTTTTTCAAAAAAAGAACCCGAGAGTGCAGTATCAAAATTTGAATATTTCTCAAGGTTTCCTAGATACCCTATAGAAACAACCAAAATGGTCCACTCTGTACAGAGTGAATCAACAATCGATAGCTCTTTTTCTGCTTTGTTTTGAGAATTACAAAAAAAATTAAACACGATAGTTTTAGAGATTGTTAAACTGAACCTGAACACTCAACTGTATCGTTGATCGTTGACTCACCTTGTAGGTACAATACTTCAGAAAATCAGTTATCATGACATTAAAACACACGTCATTCCGACAACTAAACAAATAATCAACTTCCAAACTTCTCTCATCTTCCTCAACCGCGAAAATGAGCCAAAGAAAAAAACACGCCCCAGGTCTAACACCTCAAGAACGTGCAGCACGCGCTGCCAAAGCTCGCAGAAGATTCAAAGCCGTTGTAAGGCTGGTCCTAACAAACATATTCTGGTTGGGGGACCTAGACGACACCTTAGGCGAGAATGTAATGCTCAACATCCAAAAATTAACGAGAAAAAAGGTGAAAAAGAGCACGCTGACAACGCAGGAGAAGATTATTCTGAGCAAACCGAAAGAAGAACGAACTGAAGAAGATAAGCATTTGCTTAACAGGGCTATTGGAGGTTTGAAGTGCTTTCGAAGATATCCTCCTAACGTTAAGAGTCAATTGGCTGCTGTGACATATTTTGTGTATATTGGGCCTGATAGAGTGATTGTGAAGCAAGATCACGTACCAAAAGCTATGTATTTCTTACTGTCTGGTGAAGGAGCTGTTACAGTGAAAACTTACGATAAAATGCTGAAGGAATGGTCGGTTGAAGACCACGGTACGGTTTTAGCATTAAAAAATTACTCAGATATATTTTTTAGTAAATTTTATGCTCTACAAGAATCCGCGATGTAATTTTTTTTGTGAAAGCGTTTCGAAATTGACAGTTTTTGATATTTATTTGAGATTCGAAACGATATTCTTTTAGGCACTAGTGCCTAAAAGTAAAAAATGAAACGTTAGAAACAATAAAAATATTTATTTACTGTAAATCTTAAAGGTACAATTATTTAAATTATTAAAGTGAATACAAGAGGCATCCAACTTTTCGTCTCTAAGAAAAGTTGTAGGAGTCAAGTTGACGGTTTTAATAAAAACCGTTAAGAATACTGGATTAGGATATCGAATGGGAATGCATAAAGTAAACATATTATGCTATGCCGATGACGCAGTACTTTTTGCAGAGTCAGAGGACGACCTCCAAAGAATGCTACAAGCTTTTAACAGACAGACAGAAAAACTTAACATGCAAATTTCCACAAATAAGAACAAATGCATGACCATTACAAAGGAGCCTCTCCGGTGCAAATTGGTAATAAAAAACAAAACCATTGATCAGATAATGTCGTTCGAATACCTCGGATGCAAAATTACAAGCTCAGGATTCCTGGAAGAAGAAGTAAGGAAACAAGCCAATAAAGCTGCCGCAATATCAGGACATCTTAAATATCCCATATGGAAAAACAAACATTTGAGTACAGAATGTAAGTCAAGAATATACAAAACCTGCATACGACCAGTGATGACATATGGTGCGGAAACCAGAGCTGAAACATCAGTAACAAAGAGAATCCTACGAACTACTGAAATGAAGACCTTAAGAATGATAACTGGATACACATTGAGGGACAGACAGACAAATGTAGACATAAGAGAAAAGTGTCAAACAAACGACGTTGTCAGATGGATAAGGCAGAGAAGAAGAGAATAGAACCAGCATGTCAATAGAATGGGCCCCGACAGAATGGCCATAATAATTCGCAACAACGTATCCCATGGCAGAAGACCTACTGGACGACCACCTAAACGTTGGCAAGACAGTTGGCAGTCAACCTCGCAAGAGTTGCTTAGACGAGGAGGAAACCGGAACTAAACAGGCGATACGCCTTCTAAAAGAAGTAAAAGAAGAAGAAGAATACAACAGGCATCCAACTTTTCGTCTCTAAGAGAAATGCAAGTTGTAGGAGTCGGAATAAGTAAATTTCTTGTACTGACAATGCTGGTAGCTTCTGCTTCTACGTGAACTGCTTTTAATTTCTTATTTGACGTATCTTTCTGTCCCATGATTCTTTTTGCTATTTCGGTTTTCTGTTCAACTGAATTTTCAATGTAACCTTCAGCAACCGAGCTTGATCGCCAACCTCTATGTCGCTTTAAAACTGTTATGTCCGCTCCTGAATCTGCCAGCATTGTTGCAGAGCTGCGCCGGAAACAATGACCAGTGTATTCAATGGCGTTGGAGAGTCCAAGAAATTCCGCTATCTTTTTTGGCATACCCCCAATTATATTGATTCCAACTGGCAGAGTACAGCATTGATTTTCTCGATACGTCAAGAAAAATCGCTGATGTGTCACATTGAGTGGTCAAAGTTTTGAGTACTTACGAATATATTGGTCCCTCAGTAATTGTAAACACACTTGGAAAATGAGTTTTTGTATTCGGAATCTTCACACTAATAAATGACTGAAATCTTTAATGGCATTTACGGTCAAAAACGTGATTTCTTCCCTCCTACATGCTCCAAATACTCCAACAATGAAGACAACTTTAGCTAACAGGAATTTTTTGTCATCGGCTTCTTTCATAAAGCGTTCTATTTCTAGTTTTGTAAATACTTTTGATTTCTTTGCCTGATATTCGGAAGCTTTTCTTTTTAAAAATGCAATAAGGTTTGTGAATTTGCTAATATCTACGTTTCTGTTCAGGTAAATCATGGTGCGGAGCATCGAATATTTACTCCACAGAGTTGGCGGCTTTAAGGTAGTGGATAACTTCAGGAAATAGGCTAACAATACCTTTTCTGTGAAATTCTCAACATGTTTTTCTTTGACCCAGGTTTCAAAGTTGTCGTAGGTGGTCTCGTATAAGTTTTTCGACTTCTCGTGCACTAACGTGGATAGCGCAGTTTCAGCAGCTTGTTGAATATCCAAAGACTCGTCATTATCACTCATTTTTTCACAAAACTTTGTAGGAAATACGGCGACGTTTGAACCTGACAGAACTTTGTCATTAAACAATGCCTTAGAAACCGATTACCAGAACATATTAAAAAATGTTTAAAAATAAATAGTAATAATCGCATGAAAATCTCAAATTATCCGCTTTCACAAAAAATCTTGTATGAAATTCGTTGCGAAAAAGAAAATGATTGACAATTTTGCGTCCCGTGCTTAAAACACATTCATTTCGCAACTTGTTACATAAATAGTTATGACATTCCTTGCTTTGTTAACGTTAAACCTTAGTGTTTAACGTTAACGTTAACGTTAAAAATAGCCTGACAGGTGCATGTCTGTATATTTCAAGGAACGGTGGGTCCAGGCACGATGTTTGGTGAAGTAGCGTTGATCCACGGCATTGCCAGAACTGCCACAATCACCACCACGTTACCTTGCGAACTTTTGATGATCAAAAAGGAGGATTTCGATATCGTTTTGAAGGATACCGTATGGAAGGCTTGGGAGCAGATAGCGAAGATCATGAATAGGTACTCTTTCGAAAAAAAATATTTTTATGTTTTAATTGAATGTTTTTTTAAAGGTACTCATATTTCAAAGATTGGGACGCCGTAACAAAGCGGGAATGCAGCATCATATCCAGAACCAAATCCTTCATTCCGGATGAAGTAATTCTAGGTGATGATATAGGACTACCCAACTATGCCTACTTGATAACCAAGGGAACCTGTAGCCTCATTGAACATTTACAGGTAAATATAGATGATAGTAAATAGACTTTTAGTCACGTGATTAAGTTTGACCAGCACAGCGTTGTCAACTTTTACAAGTTTTCTTTTAGTCAAAATATTTTAGGAAACAAAATAAATTAATTATAAATATATAAACAGTTATTATTAACATCAACAAAATTCACCTCCTTAGCAGCACTTAAGAGACATAAAGGACCATTACTACCGCTTTCCCGTTCAAAATATTCTAATAAAGTTGCGATGAGTTTTTTGCAGCGGCTATTAAGCTATCTTCCATCACTTCGCACTAAAACAGGTTCTAAAAAGAACAATGTTCGACTGCAAGGTCTGCTAGTAAAAATGTTTAAGCTTAAAGATATAATGACATGTATTGAGTATTTGCATTTTAAATATCTTGAGAACGGTTGTTCGTAACGATTTTTACCAAGAGACATTTTTTTTAGTGATGGGAAAAACCGATTAATTTCAATAATTGAGTACTCGAGTACCAAGGTTTGTTGTCCGTCTGTGGGTGCGTCTCAAAAGTGGATCACCCCCTATAACTTTTTTATTTTTTCAGATAAAACAACGAGATTTGGTATGTTAGTATATGACATAAATTAGGATTGATTGACATATTCAGTTGTTTTCGGTCACTTCCGGTTTCACCGGAAATGACTGCAACTTTTGATTTTTAAATCGCACCCTCGGTATTGTTTTACTTTATTCGGTAGAAAATGACACTCTGAATAGAATGACATATTATCACATGTCAACTTTTGACATTTTCGTATATGGTTTATTTGAAATTGTAACATGCGGTTCATAACCACAATTTGACTCGAAGTACCAAGTGTGTGGTATCAAATTATTCGTAAAAAAATTCTTTTTCGAAATATGCTAATGACCCAGCCTCGTTCCATTTGAAAAAAATTGAGATATGATCAAAAATACGATTTGGGCATCTTTTAACCGGCCAGGGCAAGACAATAAAAACATTAGACAATCAAATCTATTTTTCCAAGATTCCTTGATTAAAAATTAGTGTTTTTAACACAGGCACTCTAGATTGAAATTTAAAATACAAATTGTTTTTAAGCGAATATGTCAAAAGTTGACATATGATAAGTCATTCTATTTAGAATGTCATTTTCTATCGAATAAAGTAAAAAAAATACCGAGGGTGCCATTTAAAAATCAAAAATTGTAGTCATTTTCGGTGAAAGAGGAAGTGACAGAAAACAATTGAATACGTCAATCAATCCTGATTTATGTCATATACTAACATACCAAATCTCATTTTTTTATCTAAAAAAATAAAAAAGTAATAGGGGTGAGCCACTTTTGAGACGCACCCGGTATATACGGCGTCGTATAAATTTGCTACCTGCAATGTTTGTAGAAAATTCGCTCGGCTTTTTATCGAGTAGGTCACATTAAAATCGGATTTCAATTTATTTCATTCTAGGATCGCTTGGGTTCGTCGCTTGGTACTTGGAATTTTCGCTCGAGTTATCCCATCACTAATTTTTTTACGTAAAAAGTTACGAAAATGTATACTTTTTCACTCAATAGTTTTATACAGGTACGCACGAAAAGTTATTACTCTCAAAACAGTTAAAACAAATGTAAAAGTGGCGACACCTACAAATAGGAGTCATATGATATTGACATCAAAATATATTTTCTCATATCAAAAAAGCCCCAGGTACCAATTTTCATCCAAATATTGACGTTATTTCAGAAATTATTCAGTAAAAATCTTCTACACGCTGTATCTCCGAAACTATATAAGCATTTAAGAACATACATTTATACAAACTTTTTTACTTATTTTTATCTGCAGAATACGCTGCCGAAGTTTCCGGAATACAGTTCGGACCACCCTGTATATTAACCCAAAAAATATTTTTCCGTAAATTTCCAGATGACATCAAGGATGGTGAACGGTACGAAAAAGTACAAACTGCACAACTCACAATCCGAAGAGGAGGATAACGAAATCAAGAGCAGCAACAAGCGGATGTCGATGTTCAAGCTCCAGAGGACGCTGTCGAAAAAGAGCAGCATGCGAATGAGCATGAAATCGGGCTCGTCAAAATTGAGCAGGCAGTTCCTAATTCCAAAGGTCGAAACACATTTTATCAAAGTGTGCGAGTTCTACGAAGGCGCCATCTTCAACGTGGGCGAGAACTTTGGGCGGAGAAGAGTGGTATCGGATACTAGCACCAACTGCCTGCTCATTCCAAGGTAAGCATGAGCAATACCAATCACTAAAGAATATAAGGACATGTAACGCCCATACCGGGTGTTGCATCGTCGGACGGGACATAGGAAATCCCATGTAAATTTTAATGGGGTCAATTATTGGCTTCCCTAATTATTTTAGAGAATAATTCTATTTAGGTTTATTCAAGAGCACTAAAACCCACATTCAAAAGAATAACTTTAGATATTTGTGATTAGCTCGTTTACGAGTTATCGCCGATTTCTTTTTAAATGTTTCTCCTTTCTTATGGCCCTGTATTTACTTATGAGCACCAGTCAAGGTAAAAGATAACTGCCAAATGAAGTTGTCATTTCAGAAATTTACCTATTTAGTGCTTTATTATTATTGAAAACTCATTCCTACATCGGAAATCTTAAAGATGTATTTATAAATACAAATTAATATGAATTAAAGTAAAATAAAGTAATCAATTACAAGGTTAATTACACTATTATTACAATATTCAATAACTTATTAATTTAGGTACTATTAACTTGTTAGAACTTTAGGATTTAAGAAGATGTTCAAATATTCCTCCATCGACTGCCGGACAATACCCAGGCGATCATAAAATTCTCTTCTTACATTCACTACTTGCTAAACTGAAATTCTATTGCATTCGGCAGAAATAGCATTTTTTAACTCGTCTAGATTTGGGTATTTTTTATCCTTGTATATCCTGTTTTTTAAATGGCCCCAGAGAAAGAAATCACTTGGCGAAATATCAGGAGACCTTGCTGGCCAATTTACTGTATGATTTAGGCCAATAACGTTTCCGCTAAAACTATTGTCTAAATATTCCCGAACAGCCATGGTACTATGTGCCGGGCAGCCATCCATTTGGTACCAAACTTCCTGATTTTCCCTAGCGACATCATGTAAAGCAGGTAAAATATGATTTTCGAGTAGTTCCAAATAATATTCTGCATTTAAATTTCGCGTAAGAAATAATGGCCCGATAATATTGTGTCCGAATATCCCTGCCCAAATATTTACTTTCTGTGGATATTGCGTCCTTGTTTCGACAAACCTGTGTTAGTTTTCTTTGTTCCAATATCGATAATTTTGAACATTGGGTTTACTATTTAAGGTAAACGTGTATTCGTCAGTGAAACATATGTTTTTTAAAAATTCCCTATCCGTATTTGCTCTTTCCATCATATCAAAACAAAACGCCTGCCGCCGTATTTCGTCCCCATCTCGTAGCTCTTGGTGCTTTTCATATTTGAAGGAATAGTATTTATGTTGTTTCAAAATTCGAAACGCTATTTTTTTGCCGTAAAAATATTTTTTTGCCGTAAAAATATTTTTTTACCGGTAGCGAGTACTGTTTTACGCGTAAAAAGGCTTTTTTACCGGAAACAATAAGATTTTGACCCGTAAAACATAGTTTTTTACGTGTAACAAATAGTTTTTTTACACCTAAAAAATAGTTTTTTGCGTAAAAAATGGTTTTCTACCAGTAACAAATAGTTTTATACGCTTAAAAATAGTTTTTTACGTGTAACAAATAGTTTTTTATGCGTAAAAAATAGTTTTTTACAGGCAACAAATAGTTTTTTACGTGTAACAAATGGGTTTTTGCACGTAATAATTTGATTCACTTTTAAAAGCGATTATGTTTTCTGGTGCTCTATATAGGTTGTTGTAGAATTTTGTTACCAGGCTTATTATTTCGTTTTTGTTTGTTATTCTAATTTTTTGGTATCAATGATTAAATTACAATATTCAATTCAATCAAAATTATATTCAAGATACTGGCTGGGCAAAACCAACAAAGGGAACGTGTGGAACAGGGTCCAGCAGTTCCTGAACAACAACATACCGTCCACGAGGATGATTTTTAAAGGCTGGGTAAAAGAGAAGAACTTCAAGGACTACAAGAAGAAAATGATAAAGGATTTACTGGCTCAGAAAAAGGTGTCCAACATGAACTCGATACATAACGTGCCCTATAGTATTAGGTTGAAAGATAAGGGATGTTATGAATAGAAAACAATAAATAAATCATCTAATAAACATTTCAAGGTTATTTTATTTTACACCTCTAAAGTCTAGAGCTGCAAAGACGACTGGTTTTGTTCTTGCGCAAAATGCAAGATCAAGACTAGCGTTAGAACTGCAAGACGAAAACCAAGACCAACCAGTACAAAAAGAAGAGTATTAAATTTCAAGAAAAAAACGGTTTATCAATGTTCTTGAAAATAAACAAAATTAGTTATTTTTTATAAAAGACGATAAAATAGTATTACGTTTCAAAAAATTTTCAGAAATTATTATTTCAAGGAATTTATTACGAGTAGAAAAAATATTGGGCTGGGTTGGCGTTGCTTTCTATGTAATTTGACAAATAAATAAAGCTGTCTCTTTATTCGTCAGTTTTGAGTCAATATTTTTTAATTCTCTTTCGTGTCGATTGCTGATTGAATTGGAGCCAGAAATGGCTCAAAACGAAATAAGAAATTATCAACAGATATTCAAGCTGAGGGGAAAACAGCCATATCCAAACTACTTCCATTTAAATCCCGAATAACTTATGAAAAGGAATACAAAAATTTTCAAAAATGGAAGCAATTAAAAAACGTGCGAGAAGAAGTTTTTAACCTATCCTCGCTGTTAAAGTATCATTTAATCTACCCTTGCGGTTAAAGTACTATTTTGTCTACTATTTTTGATAGATATAAAGCAATTATTTTAACAGTTGCTATTGAAAAAATATATTATTTTTATTTGCTTTTCCGCTGGCTGTAACTCCATCTGGAAGCATTTTAGGTCATATTTTCATAAGAACTTTTGGTTTCATTTTTATCTGTACATAATCACCCATCGAAGTTACATACCCTATTTTTTCGACACCCTGTATATATTAAAAATTAAAAAAAAAATAATCAGATAAATATTGTTTCTTTCTTTGAAGTTTTATTTGCAATAAATTACTTAAAATGCCACACGATCGAAAAAAAAACGGCGTCAGAGATGGCTTTGAAATAAAGATCTCTGTTATTTTGTATGTAAAATTATATGGGGAATGTCATCGATCGTCACTTCTAAGCCAACTGGAGGCCGTTTTTTCGATCGTACGGTACTATTTATTTAAAGATTTTCTTTAAATAGGAAGTCCCTCTAGTCAAAAATTTATTAAAAAAGTGCAAGACTTGCAAGAGTCATGCGCAAGACCAAGACCAACGGGATCTTAGTCTATACCAAATAAACTTTTAGTCACGTGATTAAGCTTGACCGGCACAACGTTGCCAACTTTTACATATTTACTTTTAATCAAAATATTTTAGAAAACAAAAAAAAATTAATTGTAAATATATAAACAGTTATTATTTACATCACGAAAACTCACCTCCTTAACAGCACTTAAGGGATATAAAGGGTCATTACTACCGCTTTCCCGTTCAAAATATTCTAATAAGATTGCGATGAGTTTTTTACGGCTATTAAGCTATCTTGTACAGGGTGGGTCAAATTCGACGCTTTTAAATGGAAACACCCTTTTCTATAGGACATAGACGAAAACTAATATTGGCGTCTGGAGCTCAATTTTCATCAAAAACATGATGGTGAAACCCGCACATCAATATCTGTTACCGTTTCGGAGTTACGGGGTGTTTTTCAAAAATGTGCATATTTAACAAAGCGCTGTAACTTTTTTGCTATGGAAAATTTTGTATTTCTATGAAAACATTTCCAACGCACCTTTTTACGTAGAATTTAATGGTTTAAGTATAATTTTTTTTAAATTAATAATTTAAGAGTTATCAACGGAAAAATTGATTTTTTATTTGGGACACCCTCTATATTTTTAATTAACTGAAAAAAATTTAAAATTACCTTTCCAAAAATATAGCACTCTTGATATTTTGTTATAATCTCCTTTGAAATACAGAATTTTTAAAAGTGCGTTACTTTTAACTAGTAGGCTTTGGACCCCTTATTGATGATATGCCCTTAATGGAACTCGAAAATATATTTTTCCAGCAAGACGACGCACCGCCTCAGAACGCTGAAGTTATCAGCAAATTTTTGCAGCCAATTTCAAGAACAATTGAATAGCTAACCAAGATCCCAGCCGTTGGCCGTCGAGGCCGCCTGACTTAGTGCCCATGGATCTAATCCTATGGATATATTTGCGGAAGAATAAAGGTTCCTTATTCTTCCGTATAATCTAGACAAGAATTAGAAATACTTAGCAGTTATGAGAGGGTATCTTTCACCCCCACTGAGTTAATGAATTCCGCGAGAAATGTTCAAAAACTACCCCGTCTGTCCATAACAGAAGACGGTTGATATGTGGAACACCTGTAGCAAAATCTCATGTCTTGATTTGCTATTTATTTTTATTGTTATTAGATATAGTTTAAATGTGTTGATGTTGGTTAAACATATTTTAAATTGTTATAAAATTCTGCATCTCTCATAGCAAATAATATTTTCGTTTTAATTGATGCTCACAGCTAGAATTTTTTTGCATTACAGCCGGTGCCGTTCAAAGCCTACTTATTTAAAGAGGGCGAATTTTTATATATTCTATATCTCGAAGAGGAATTGAGCAAAATATGCAGTGTGTTATATTTTTCGAAAGCTAATTTTAAATTATTTTCAATAAATTAAAAATATACAGGGTGTCCCATATAAAAAATCAAAGTTTCTGTTGATAATTCTTAAATTATTAATTTTAAAAAAATTATACTTAAACCATTAAATTCTACGTAAAAAGGTGCTTTGGAAATGTTTTCATAAAAATAAAATTTTCCCATAGCAAAAAGTTACAACGATTTGTTAAAAATGCATATTTTTGAAAAACACCCCGTAACTCCGAAACGGTAACAGATATCGATATGCGGTTTTCACCATGATGTTTTTGACAAAAATTGAGCTCCAGACACCGATATTAGTTTTTGTCTATCTACTATAGAAAAGGGTGTTTCCATTTAAAAGCGTCGAATTTGACCCACCCTGTACCCTTCGCACTAAAAGAGGTTCTAAAAAAAAAACAAGGTCTGCTAGTAAAAATGTTTATGTTGGCATTTTTTACAGCAGAGCTACCACCTGAATCCCCAGCGGGAAATTTAAATTCCAGTTAGTTAGCCCGGCGCCGAATACGTCCACGGTTGACAACAATAAATTTAATAACCAAACCAAATCAAACTAAAAATTAATTGGTATCGCTTATAGAAACACATTGTAATATGATTAAAAAGATTTAAAAAAAAATACTTACCGATTATTGGCGTACAATAAATGACAGATAAAGAAAAAACTATGAGAGAATTTTCTCCACCAATATCTGACATCCCTATCAAAGTTTTGAACTTCTTCTCGCACTTGATTCTCGATTTTGTACGATATGTTCGATTCCTGAGTGAGGAACTCAAGTATAATTATAATCAGTATGGTTTTGGCTTCTTTTTCTGTTATTTGGTAGCGACAAAGATGCAAAAATGTCGCTGTTAATGTTTTTAGTTCGTTGAAAAATTCTCTAAATACTTTTTCCAGCTTGAAAGCGTGAGATATTCCGTTACGGACTACTTTCGTATAGAAAGTGTGTATTGTTCTTAGAAGTATAACTATTTTATTTTGGGATTCAATAGATTCTTCCTAAAAAAAATATAAAAATAAAAGTTTATTTCCGTTAATCTTCATTCCCTAGTCAACTATGACACAGTTTTTTTTCGATTGTTATATTAAATGTCTCTCAAATAAGTGCAAGTATTATAAGAGGTGGTAGATCTGGAAAAACACACATTTTCTATTTCTAGAAAATGAGGATCATAGATTATTAAATTATGAAATACAAACCCTTGTTAATAATAGTTAATATTAAATTAATGGTTATATACAGGGTGGTCCGAATTGTATTTCGGAAACTTCGGCACTGAAAAACTGAGAAATTTTGTTATATCATCATTTTTTGCAAAAAAAATTATGATTAATTTAAAAAAATTAAAATTTCCCAAATTTATTATTTCAGCGAAATAACTATCTACTCAACGTGTTTATTTTTCGTCAATAATGACATGTATTTACGACTTCCATTCTAAATATCTTAAGAACGATTGCGATTTTTACAAAGAGATATTTTTTACGTAAAAAATCACAGAGATGTATATTTTTTCGCTCGGTAGTTTTATAGAGGTACGGACAAAAATTTATTACGCTTCAAAACAGTTAAAACACACTTAGGTGGCGCCCTCTATTACTAGGAGTCATATGGACATCAAAATCAAATTTCTCATGTCAAAAAACTGCCAGACACCAATTTTCATCCAAATATTGACCTTACTTCAGAAATTATTTGGAACAAATCAAAATAAAAATGAAACGTTTACACCCTGTATCTCCGAAACTAAGCCTTTTAGGACATACATTTATACGAACTTTTTTACTTATTTTTATCTGCAGAATATGCTTTCCGGAATACAGTTTGGACCACCCTGTATTGTTTTTATTACAGTCAAAAAAGTTTTTCTAGCACTGTTAATAATTCCACCGATATTATTTAAATTAATATTCGTAGTTTATTATGTTATAAATATATACACGAATTTACAGAATGTAGATAAGGCAGGAGGTGGCAACATTGCAAAACTTCGATACAGCGTCATAAAATATCACGAAAATAAACCTGTGTTGCTAAAAGGTTTTTTTATTTAAAAAAAGGTTACTTTTTTCTACAATATTTTCTTTTTTGAATAAAAAAATCATGGATTGGTTTCATCGGTGAGGTCGAACTGTACTACGAATTAAAATACTTGCGCTTATTTAAGAGACACCCTGTATACCTTCAAATTTAAAGATTTCAAAATAATTAACGAGTCTTCCATTAGCCAATACGAACACAAATAAAACGCGTTGCAATCCAATGGAAATCTGCAAAATTTCAAGTAAAAATCGGGAAAAAAATTACGTCCCGAGAAATAAGTAAATATAGATACTCTCACATATACAGGGTGGCTCATTGTTCAAAAAAAATACATATAATATTTTCTATACAACAGTTGAATGACTTGATTTTTCTCTAAAACATTGTATAATTCAGAAAAAAAACGTCAAGTTGGCTTGGAACAAACAATGGATGATATTCCTTATAAAATTCTACACAGCGATCTCCATTAGTTCCAAGCCAACTTTGACGCCTTTTTTTCAATCATATGGTATATGAACAATAGTAAAGTAAATAAAACGCATTTTTAAACCAAAGTTATTTTTTTTAATTAAATGCTGTTTATTTTTAAAAAAATATCATTTCAAAAATACCATTATGGCATCTAATACAAAAATACCATCACACAATACTTAGTTTTGACTCGCCCGGTATACATCAAGCATTACAATAAAATTTATTTTATATAGTTAGTTTTGAGGAAAACATTATTGTAAACTTTATTGTAAAGTATTTTAAGTAAAAAATTAAAAATTTATAATATATGATTAAAAAAAATTAGTCTAAAATGGTCATATATTAAAAACCACTCAGTATAGCTAATGCCACTGTAATATTTTTGGAATATGATTTTATATCAAAACTACAAAAGAAAAATCAACAACAATCCGTTTAAAAAACTACAGCTGAAGCTTATAAATACAATATAATCGAAAAAAAAACGGCATCAGCGATGGCTATGAAATGAAGATTGCTCTCATTTATATGTAAAATTATATGAGGAATATCATCGATCGTCATTTCCAAACCAACTGGACGCCTTTTTTTCAATCATACGGTATATTTATTTAAATCACCCTGTATCAATGAAAATATTTTTTTAAAGTTTGCGCTACTCTTAGTAAAGTTTTTTCGGAACACCCTGTATTAATTTTTGTTCAATTAATATTGCAATAAAATAAGGCAACATTGTAAAAACTTGACTTTGAAACAAAAACTTTACTGTGTATTATCACAAATATTAGAAAAATTCTTTAAGGTTACTTATTTCTCTGGTATTACTGAATTTTACGTATTTTTTATATTATTATTTATTTACCTTTGTAATATTGTATCGCAAATAATAGAAAATTCATTCGAAGCACTGCTCCTCTTAAAATTTTCCAAAATACCCACAATCGGTTTTTCCATAGACTCTTTGACAGTCTTTGTTATTTTTAATGTTTCCAAAAATATGGGCTCTGATATTTTTACGCAAAAATCACAGAAAATATTCAAGTCAGATACGTAAAACATTATTTCGAAAATTTTATCTACGTTTTTCAGAATTTGGTTCAGTTTGTTTTCCGAAGCTAGTCTACAAAGTTAAAAAATAATATTGAAAACAATAAATAAATTATTAATACTTACTTGGAGATAATTCGGCTCAGGAGTGTCAAAAAATGTACGAAAATCTCTTTCTGAAACATGTCGTCGAAAACGGCCAAATGGGATAGAGCAAATTCCACAGTGGTCGAGACATTCTTCAAATTTTCATAAAACAATTCACTTTTACTAATTTCTAATAAAACCAATAAGCAGCGGCTTGCAAGCCAAAAATAATTAATATCAACATTTCAAAATAGAACATTCCTAAACTTACTTTATATTATTTAAATCTACTCTTCCCAGATTTAGAAGATCATCGTATGGAAATTTTGTCACCACTTCTGTTTCATCCGTTACCTTGATATCCATATTTTTATTGAACGACGCTAAACAATATCGAAAATTGATGATAAAAATTGAGCGATTTTTCTCGCTGTTCAACACGTGTCAATTTTCAGTTGTTTTCAAAGCCCACTCTATATCTTCTTAAAATTTACATTTCGTTAAAATTAATTGGCTTATTGCATTACAATGAATTATAATAAATATTGTTATAATAAATTAATTAATTTTTATACAAACTTAATAAAAAATGACTGAGCGCGCAAAGGAGCGTGCCTATAATTTAAAATTCAACAAAAACCAGGGATTTATTTCTTATTAAAAGGGTATGCAACTAAAAATACACCAAATAAATGTTTTGACAACTGTTCAAGAAACCTAACCTAAGAAAATAGAATTTAAGCGGGAAACGAAACACGAAACGTAGTTAGTTTGTTTATAAAGTTTATTAAATAAATTATATATTTATAAATGAATGTACGGGTTTATTAGTGCTTTATATTTACATTAAAATGGCTGAAGTTAATATACCAAGTGATGAGCATAATATATGTGATAAGAATACAAATAATGAAGCGTTTGAAAATGTAGAACATGATGAACATATTTCTGATCACGAAATTCAACTAAATACAAATAAGAATAATGAAGACATTTTAGCAAGTGACGAAACTGATACCGTAGACATAAATACAGCAGAGTCTGATATTTCAAATAATAGTGAATGTAATATAGTGAATAATAAATTAGGGGAGCCAAAAGAAGATTATGGACATAAAGACACCGAAGACAATAATAGTGAAGATGAGAATAATGACAATAGAAAGGATATTTTAAGCAGTGACGATGAAGAAGATGTCACAACAAATAATAAATCAAAGAGAAAACATATCAGTCGAATTGAGAGTGATAGCGAAACAGAAGAAACAGTCTTGCAAACAAAAAATAACAGTGAACCAGTAATATACAGAACTGACTCAAAAGACGAGATAATTCCAGACAATAATATTGAAAATAATACAACTAGTATTTTACCAAGAAAAAGGCATATTATTCAAATTGATAGTGACAGTGAAACAGAAGAAATCACTTCAGAAACAAGAATTAGTGATGAAAATAACAGTGAACCAGTCATTTATACTACTGATTCAAAAGGAGAAATAGTTCCAGAAAACAGTAGTAATGTGATTGTAATTATTTTCTTAAAATCTACATCTAGGTATATAATTTTTAGACAAATATTTTTTTTAGAAATCTAGATTAGCTACTTTGTGTGATTCAGACAGTGAAGAGGAATATACAGTTAACGATGATGTATCACCCCCAAATGATCCATCTGAAGAGGATATGATTGAGCAAACCCAGCATAATAATGAACCAAAGAAAAGTAGAATTAATACAAAGAAACCAAAGGTCCAAAATAAAGTTTCTGACGATCCTAAACCTATGACTCCTAAGGAAGCTGCTGAATTAAGAAAAGAAATCCAGTCAGAATCACAAAGAATGTTAAGGGAAAAAAACGTTTCTTTACCCTATCACAAACCGAAACCCAGAAGTCTAAAGGAATTCTTGGCCAGACGTCCCAAACTTGCCACTGCTACTTCTATAATTGGGAAAGCTCCACCTTCGGTTGCTATAAAAATGTCTACAGAACAGCTAGAATTAGTGTCGTAAGTCTAGGTTGTTTTATCAAACTTTTTTAGTATGAATTTATGTTTTTTGTTTATAGAAAACAGTTAAAAATACGCGAAAAGGAAGTTAGAGAGTTTTATAAGTCGGAAAGTGAGTCTGATGGTGAAAACGAAGGGGAGTCAGTGTCTCAAAGTGTTAACAATGATGAGAACAAGGAAAATGACAAACCTGAGGGTGATAGAGATATGTTAACTGAAGATATTTCTCTAAATGAAAATACAGAGGACAAAATAAATAATATAGAGAGTGACAATAAAGAAAATACAGAAGCTTTAAATGAAGATGGTATTCATAAAGGCCAAGAAGATATTATAACTGAGAAGAATACCGGTAAGTCAAGATATTTTTTTTGTATTTATTTTATTTCACAAATGTTTGATGTTTTTTTTGTAAATAATATAGACAATGAAGATGAAATTTTACTATCTGAAAGTTTAGAACATGTAAATGATTGTGGTACCGATAATATCCTGGAAAATATAGATAAAAGCACTGGTGAGTTCAAAAAGCTCCATATCTCAGGTTTTTATTTGAGATTTTCACAATTTTAACAAACTTTATTAGAATATTTTCACAAACTAGACTAAGTAGATTTTAAAATTGACCAGTTTGGGACTAAATTTTCAGCATATTGAAAACATATCAAAATTTTAAAATTGCAAATTATTGATTTTTTAAGTACAGTATATGAAAAAAACGGCCAAAAAGTTCATTAGAAATGGCGATCTATATTTTAATCATATAATTCTACATAAAAATGCATTGATTGTTATTTCTAAGCCGTGTTTTTTTTTTTTCGATCATACCAAATTTTAAATTTAGTCACTTTCATAATTATATTTTATGATTAGACATTTTTAAAATTAATAATTATTAATTTACTAGTTGAAGCCTGGCGCATCCGCCACGACATCAGAAAAGAAAATACTTTTTATTTTTTTTTTAATTAAATGAAAAACAAAAAATCCGGCGACGACAGTTTTTAAAAGAGCTAATTAGCTATCTTTTAGTAAAAAAGCTACTTTCTAGAGCAAGTCGTTACTTCAGTAGAGACGACACAGATAAACATTAGCATTTTATATATGTATGTAGATTATATTAAAAAATAATACCGTATGATCAGCGATGGCTATGAAATGAAGATCGCTGTCATTTTATATGGGAAATGTCATCGATCGTCATTTCCAAGCCAACTGGACGCCGTTTTTTTTTGATCATACGGTATTTTTTTAAATTTTTTATTAATGTCAATGGATTTAGATTTTTAAAGAAAATTATAGTTATTTTAAAGAAAGAAAATTATTTTAAACAAAAAAAAACGAAAAAATTCGACTGTATTGATTTATGATTAAAAAATAGAGTGTTCCTTTTGAAAGAAATGGCGTCAAATTGGCCTGGAAATGACAATCGATGATATTCTCAAAATGTAAGACAAAATAATAAAAATATTGTTTAAATCTCAAAGAGAAAGCCAGATATACAAATATTTTTGGTCATCTTTATACCGTATGATTGAAAAAAAAACGGCCTCCAGTTGGCTTGGAAATGACGATCAATGACATTTCCCATATAATTTTACATATAAAATGACAGCGATCTTCATTTCATAGCCATCGCTGACGCCGTTTTTATTCGATCAGCCGGTATTTTGTTTGACTGATTTTTCTATATATTTTTTTAGAACAAGTTACTAACGATGTTATTGAAAAGGATATAATTGAACCAATGGAAATTGATAATGTTTTAGAAACCGATAATAATGTAGAAAATAATTATAATGACAAAGATTCTAACTTAGAGGAGCCTGAACAAGAGCTTAATACAATGGAAAGTGAGAGTTACAAATTTAATTTAGATGATATAGGTCAAAGTCCTGAAAAACAATACTTGCTAGAAAGTAACTCTCATGCAATTGATGGCATTAATAAAGAATCTATCAATGAAAAACCTAGTAATGAATCTTCAGAAAACAATGCTGAAGCTTTAAAAGAAAATTTAGATGACCAAGTGAATGTTCGGGCGTCTAGACAGTTTACTTTTACTGATTTGGATAGAGAAATTGAGGCACATAATGAAGACAATAATGAGTCGAACGTGGTTAAATCCAAAATGGAGATTTTAAAAGAAAAATTGGTTAATTTTAAACCAAAGTTGAGTGGTGATCCAAATCATGTTATAGATTTGGATAGTGGAGTGACCAAGCCAAAGGAGGTGTTTCAGTTGATGGAAAGGTTTGCTAAACATGTTTCAACCAAGAAATATGTTCCTAAGCATAAACTTCAGATGAGGTAAGACTTTTCTGGACCTCCTAGAATAAAAGAACTTGAGAAATTATTTAAGTGCAAAACTAAAGTATGTAAGAAAATGTATTTCAGGAAAATATTTTAACTTCTATAGTGTATAGGGCGGCTCAAAAAAGTGTGAGTGGATCGCGTTGATTTTTTTAAACGGAACATCCTGTATATTATTGCATTGTTGGCTTCCTTTCAGATCACTTTACATAATCCTAAGATATGCGTACATATATTTCGATAATTTCAGAGATATTAATAAATAAATAAAAAAAATATACATATACAGGGTTGTTCACCACATACGACAAGGAGTATTGTAACTAAACGATTAGATTTTTATAAATTGTAAGTTTTGGGTTCGTTGAAGGACTATTAGAGCTACAATTAAAAAACATTTTTACAAGATACAGAGTGTCCGAAATAAATAAAAAATATCAAAGTTTAATTTTTTTAAATGGAACACCCTGTATATTATTACATTTTTAGTTCCTACAATTAAAATAAAGGTAAATTTGATTAAGGTTTATTACACTTAAACCTTACCGTTTTTGAAATATTTTCAATTTTGTGAAATTGCAGTAAACATTTTAAGGCTTCATTTCTCCAAGGGTATCAAAGTTTTTAATACTAAATATTTACTGAAGTTTATTTATTGATCAGTTATTGTGTTGCAATAATAAAAATAATACTACCTCGTACAGAGTGTCTAAAAATTTATTTTAAATAATTGCTAGCTTTAAATGGCAATAACTTGTTTAATTTAAATGGAACGCCCTGTATATTTTAGGAGAATCAGATGCACAATTTAATTGTCTATCAAATTGTATTATACCACTTTTTATCTATCCCTTCAAGTTTTCGTAGAAAATGCATTTTCTTATAATTTAGACCTCATTTATCAATATACCCATGGAATATTGACATTTTAGATTGTTTTTAAAACAACAAATGTACAAAATGTACAGGCTAATAATATTATCGTTTTTAGCAAAACGATAATATTACTAGTCCATTTGTATGCAAAAAGAAAATAATTTAAATCTTTATAGAGAGTATACCATTAATTAAATATACCACCAGTATTTCCGCCCAAATACTAATTAATTACATACTTAATTGTGTTCGTTAATAAATTATTCTAAATAAATGTGGATTTGAATCAGAAATCAATATAATAATGTTATGAAAATGAACGTCTCTGTTGTTATAAATAATCATTTGTCAAAAAATGAAATATCAATTTTAAGGAAGTTTAAGGTGGTACTTTTTACTACACTGTCTAATACATATACAAAATTCAGTTCTTTAGTATTTGGAACAATTATTATTAATCAACGCAAACAGACAATTAATATAGTTTGAATACTGGAATCATATTAATTGGTCCTCTTTAACAAATATTTACAACAGTTTTTTTTATTTTTTAATGAAATAAACGAACTATATCGACAACATTAGTATCTGTACTCTTTAAAAATTTGGTACATCTTTAAAAATAATCTAAATTACAACAAAATGCATTTTCTACGGAAACTTGGAAGAGATAGGTAAAAAATGGCATAATACAATTTGATAGACAATTAAATTGTGCATCTGATTCTCTTAAAATATACAGGGTATTCCATTTAAATTAAACAAGTTATTGCCGTTTAGAGCTAGTAATTATTTAAAATAAATTTTTAGACACTCTGGATAAGGTAGTACAATTTTTATTATTGCAACACAATTACTGATCAATAAATAAACTTCAGTAAATATTTAGTGTTCAAAACTTTGATACCCTCGGAGAAATGAAGCCTTTAAATTTATACTGCAATTTCACAAAATTGAAAATATTTCAAAAACGGTAAGGTTTAAGTGTAATAAACCTTAATCAAATTTATCTTTATTTTAATCGTAGAAACTAAAAATGTAATAACATACAGGGTGTTTCATTTAAAAAAATACAACTTTGATATTTTTTATTTATTTGGGACACTCTGTATCTTGTAAAAATATTTTTAAATTGTAGCTCTAATAGTCCTTCAACGAACCCAAAACTTACAATTTGTAAAAATCTAATCGTTTAGCTTCAATACTCCGTGTCGTATGTGGTGAACAACCCTGTAAACTACAGGGTGGCCCAACAATTCCGAAAGTATGTAAATTCTAATCAACAATTGTTTCAGTATTGTCACTGTTGAAACTGGTGGTGATATACACAAAGAAACAGTCGCTGTCAACGTAGATGAAGATGACAAAGACATAACACTTGAAGAAAAACCAGGGGCAAGACTAATGAAATTGAAGGAAGACCTCCAAAACCAGATGGCAGAAAGGAAATCGCAGATTTGGCAACAAAAGGCTGCCAAAGGAATGGGCAAGACCGAAGAAATCGATGAAAGTATGAAGAAACTACAAAAATATTTTAGTTAATATTGTTAGTTACATAAATTTTAGGTAACAAGGAGCAAATTGTGGATGAATATGACATTTTGGACGATGAAGATGAAGAGGATGTAGAAATGACCGATGAAGAATATTCAGAGGATGAAATTGATGAGAATGATGTTGAAATGAAGGACAAACCAAAGAAGAAGTCTGAATTCTTGGATGAAGAGGTAAGTATACAGGGTTGTTAAATTGTAGCAACACACAAAAGGTACAGAGTGTCCTAAATAAATAAAAAGTTTAAAATATCATAGTTGTATTTTTTAAATGGAACGCTCTGTATATTTTTACATTTTTAGTTTCTACGATTAAAATAAAGGTAAATTTGATTAAGGTTAACCGCACTTTAATCTTACCGTTTTTGAAATATTTTTAGTTCCATTAGGGGCAGATCATCAGTAAGGGGTTCAAAGCCTACTGGTTAAAAGTGGCGAACTTTTAAAAATTCTGTATTTTGAAGGAGACTTTAAAAAATTTCAAGTGTGCTATACTTTTGGAAAGATAATTTTAAGTTCTTTTCGGTTAATTTAAAATTTACAGGGTGTCCCAAATAAAAAATCAATTTTTCTGTTGATAACTCTTAAATTATTAATTTTAAAAAATTATACTTAAACCATTAAATTCTACGTAAAAAGGTGCTTTAGGAATGTTTTCATAAAAATACAAAATTTTCTATAGCAAAAAAGTTAAAAATGCACATTTTTGAAAAACACCCCGTAACTTCGGAACGCTAACAGATATCGATGTGCGGTTTTCACCATCATGTTTTTGATAAAAAATGAGCTACAGGGAGTGATACTAGTTTTCGTCTATATCCTATAGAAAAGGATGTTTCACTTTAAAAGCGTCCAATTTGGCCCACCCTGTACAGTTTTGTACATTTGTTGCTTTAAAAAAAACTCTAAAATGTCAATATTTCATGGGTATATTGTAAATGAGGTCTAAATTATCAGGAAATGCAGTTTCTACGAAAACTTGAAGATTAAGTTATTGCCATAAGATAGTAATTATTTAAAGTAAAATTTTAGACACTCTGTATAAGATAGTATTATTTTTATTATTGCAACACAACATTGAGTAAATAGAAAAACTTCAGTACAATATTTGGTTTTAAAAACTTAAACACGCTCAGAGAAATGAAGCATTAAAATAGTTACTGCAGTTTTACAAAATCATAAATATTTCAAAAACGGTAAGAACGATGCGCTAAACATTAATCAAATTTACCTTTATTTTGAACGTAGAAACTAAAAATGTGATAATATACAGGGTGTACCATCTAAAAAATACAACTTTGATATTTTTTATTTATTTGGGACTCTCTGTACCTTCTTGGTAATGAAACCATTGAAACTTCTCAATAGTTAAAGCAAAAAAGTAGTCATGGCAGCATTGTAACGTACATTCGTTATAAGTTGATGACTTTTATTGATTTTTTTCTATTTACCCTGATTATTTTTTTAATGTACCTAGTTTAAAAAAATCTTTATAACAGGCTGAAGAAAGCGAAGCTGAAGAAAATGATGAACCATCAAATAAAGAAGGTTTTGAAGAAAATGTACTGAATGAAAATGCAGAAGATGACAATGAAGAAGAAGATTCAGACAATGAAGATAATGGGGAAGATAACAGTGAAGATTCAAATAATTCAAATGATGCAAAAATTAATGAAGAACCTCCAGAAGGTTGTGAAGTTAAAAAGAAAATACTGAAGAGAATTGTGCAGTTTGAAGATGATTCTGACGATGACAGTTTCCATGAACCTAATCAAACCCAAAAGCAAAACTTAACAGAGCACCTAGATTCCACAGTAACTGCAAGTAAAGTTCTATTATAATTTTTTTATAAGAATTTTTGCTAGTTTTATAATTTTTTTCTAGCTGATGAAGATGATTTTATACCTCCCCATCAACCAAACCAAACAAAAACGCCTCTAAGACAACCGATGAGCCAATCAAAATCCATTACAGATTTTTTGACACCAATTTCATTTCTGACAAGTATCCAGAATTTGGCTTCAGCTACAAAGGTAGTATTTACGTCAAAAATAAGTTAATTTTGTATTAAATTGAGTTGAATTTAGTCAAAAGATATTGTGTCGCCTTTTAAAGTACCTGGGGGGGTACTAAGTTCGCCAAAAAATGAAAGAGACGGAATGCCCCAAAGAAAGCTGTTTCATTCTGACGTTATTAGTTCTCAGGTAAGTATATTTATAATAAATTACTTTTTAGATTTAAAACACTAACAACTCTATTTTTATTTTTATTATATTTTATCTTTTTTTCTTGATGTTTTTTTCTGTTTAATTATAAGATTATAAAATAAATAAATAAATAAATGCCTTTATTGTCAAAAAATTTTACAATTTGTAGACAAAGGTAAACTAAACAAAGAAAGTAAACAAACAAAGTACACAAACAAACAAACAAACGATAATACAAAACATTATACAAATAACGCATACTGCATGCGGTGGCAGCACCGGCGGAGAATGCAATATCAAGATTTTCAAAACTTTTATGATACTATTTTTCTGGGATTCTATTAATAATTATTTTATTATTCTATAAGAGTTCAGTAGATACGTTCAGTGACCAAACAACAACTCAAGATACTTCTTCAAGCAACGAATCGAAACAAACCACCGAATCACAAACTTCTACAGTAACTGAGGAGCCTCCAAACACTCAAGATTTACTTGGTATATGTTCTGGTGAGTTCACAGGTGTGACTCAGCCAGAACCTACAATTGAGAGCTTCACCGCTACACAAAACGAAGAAATAAAAGCCTTAGGTATGAATTAATGGCCCATAAACTGTATAAATTGAAAAAAAAACGCCGTCACAGTAACCTTTGAAATGACCATCGACGATTAATTATGTCTGACAGATCACTATACGTAGTTTCATTGAATAAAAACAGTAAAGAAGGAGCCTAAATACATTTTTTCATGCATTAGACACCGAAGTTATTACCATACCAAAAGATGCCATTTCGAAAGCTGCTATGACGCTGTTTTTTTTTTCGATTATACAGGGTGTCCTAAATTTGAGAAAATAAAACCAAGTGAATTTAAAATCGATTTTACAATTACTAGATTTTTTTCGAATATCTTGGGAAATATTTGAATATTTTTAATTTTCAAAACGGAATATTTTTGGTTATAAAATTGAGCATCTTTGCTATAATTTGTATCCCTTATAATTTCAGGGATACTAATAGTCAACTTCGCATTTGGGACATCCTGTACAGCACATTACATTATTTTTCTATAAAACATATTTCTTTTGGTAGGTTCCGACCAAGACATGATTATATCTCAACTTCTTGACGAGGAAGAGCTCGAAAATTTTAAGAAAAAATTCGAATCGCCTGTTTTACCTACATCTCAACGTGTTACTGTTGAAAAAGAAACACAAGAGATTGTTGGTGGAGGTGTGATAGACTCAGACAATGAAGATGGAAGTGAGAATGACAATAATGACGTTTCATCTAGGAAGAAAAAGAGAAATAGCAGAAGAATACAGTTTTCAGGTATTTCATTTTTTGCAGTACCTCTGGTGTAATAGAAGATTATAAATAGACTAGCGTGTACCCGCGACCCGCGACTTCGTTCGCGTCGAATTAATCATTTGTAATGGTGATGATAAAGCAAAGCAAGAATTTCCATTAACATACAAACTGGATAAAATTTTCTCACATTTATGTCAGCATGAGAAAAAACAATATGGCGATATTATTATATAACTTGGTAATATTTGAGGGGTAGTTTCATCTCGTTGGAATTTGATTTTCGAAAAATTTGTTTGCCAAAAATAAGCTTTTTACGTCAAGCAGTTTAAGCAGAATCGTGGTTAAGAAATTACCCAACTTTTTGGAACACCCTGTATGATTTTTTAAAAAATTTCAAAATATGTAAAGAAACCAAATAAATTATGCTTGTCCAAGCGTTTTCCCGAAAGACTAACCGTTTTATAAATAACAAAAATTTGTAATATATGAGGGGCGTTTTCACCCTCTTGGAATTTGAGATTCGAGAAACCCCTCCTTATCGAACCTTTACACCCCACAGTCAATCCGGTTACCAAAAATCAGCTTTAAACGTCAAGCAGTTTAAGCAGAATCGTGATTACTCAATGGTCATATTTTATGAAACACCCTGTAAAAATTTATAAAAAATCTTAAAATATGTAAAACAACAAAATAAAATATACGTGTTTAAGAGTTTTTCCGAAAAACTCAACGGTTTTTAAATAAAAAATATTTTAATATTTGAGGGATAGTTTCACCCCCTTAGAATTCGAGTTTCGAAAAATCCCTTCTTATCGAACCACTACGCCCTAAAGTCAATCTGTTTTCCAAAAATCAGCTTTTTACGTGAAGCGCTTTAAGCAGGATCGTGATTAATCAATGACCAGATTTTTCGAAACACCCTGTATACATTTTTAAAAAATCTTAAAATATGTAAAAAAAACAAAATAAAATCTACGTGTTTAAGCGTTTTTTCGGAAACTTGACCGTTTTTTAAATAAAAAAATATTGTAATATTTGAGGGGTGGTTTCACCCCCTTGGAACTGGAATTTCGAAAAATCCCTTCTTATCGAACCTCTACACCCTAGAATCAACCTGTATGCCAAAATTGAGTTTCTTACGTTGAGTGGTTTGAGCAGGATCGTAATTAATCAGTATGTCAGTCACTTATGGATTTTATATATTAGTATAGACAGAGTACGTAGATCGCCGAGTAGCGACAGAAACCGTCGGCTCTTTTGATGTGGTGGGACCAAATTTTCTTTCTCTCTCTTTTGACGTGTTTGACAGATAGACTACGTATTTAACTGCTCAACTTATGAAGTGGTCCTATAAACATGGTATACACTGCTCACAATTTGAAGTGGAATTAATTATAAAGTTTTATACATATCTTTTTTGTTTTGTTTTATCCTTATTTCTAAATTTGAATGTATAAAATATCTTACTGCTAATAAATAATTAAAAAAACGATTCGTTGCCTGAGGTATACTTGAAATAAAGTATATAGAGATATTTGATAAATGGCAACAGTGGCAACTTCGCTTTTTCGTATGACAGATAACCTACTTATTTCGCGCAGCCGCAAAGAAAATTGAAAACGGGACTGTCGCTACTCGGCGGTTTAGGTACTCTGGTATAGATTAATTTTGAATTTTACTATAAAAATAAAAATAAAATTGAAAAAACAGGTTTTTTGAAAATCTCGAAAACCGTTTCAGTTAAAGAGCTAGAAATTTAGGAGAATTATTTTGATTCGGCATCAAATTGATCCGCTGAGTGCGAGTCAAAAAATCGATTTCCTATATTAGTCCGGCTATACCTTTAAATTTTTGAAAGTTTAATAGTTGACTTACCATATACATTAAATTTAGATGATGAAAGTTCAGATAATGAAGAAAATGACGACGAGGAAATTGACTTACACGACGAAGATTTGGACGAGAATGAAGATAACGTTGACAACGTCGGATACGATTCTGAAGAAAACGAGGTTGATCTAGATGAAGAAGGTTTTATTTTTTATACATAATTTTTTGTGTTAATATTATGTATAATTTTTATTTGAAGGGGTGAAAAAGCAACAAAACATGAAGCTTGGGGATTTCCTTGACGAAGAGGCAGAGCTTTCTGAATCGGAATGGGGCAGTGAAGATGAGGATGAGAGGGATTTGGATAAATTGGAGATTGAATTGGGAGATACCGAGAAATTTGATGACGAAAAAATGAAGGAAGACCTGGAAAAGATCCATATGTAAGTAGTGCATGCGATATATTTATTTTTTATTTGTATATTTCAACTAATACTGATTTTTTTAATGGTCTTATACTTCAGAAGTTTAATAAAACTAAAATAATAAAATAAACATCTATACGTACCTTTTTAAAAGCCTTTTTACTTAACATATTGTTGTTAAAACAACTTTTTTTAATTTTAGTATATGTGGATGTTTTTTCCTATATGTTTTTTTTAACAAAAATATTTGGTTTATTTTGTCTTTATTTAATTAAATTATTATTTTATGAAATCTCAGGATAAGGTTTTTTAAAAATAAAAGTCAATGGTATTTTTTTATTTCAACATTTATTTATTGTATAATCTAAAAAATAAATAAATCTAACAATAATTTATTAATATTTTAAAATCAGTCTTCTTTTTTTGTACATAATAAATATTTATATACATAGTATATACAGTCACAGAATATTTTAAATACAGGATGTGTATTAATTTAATCTACTTCTTCTATCGTTGGTCCTTGTGATGACGTTTGACCAAATCCTCCAGCTTGTCTTCCACAGCTGCTACCAGGCATGTTGGCTCCTCCATAGTTGTTGTTATTTTGGGAGGCTCCAGAGTTGTACAATTTGGCCATGATGGGACTGCAAACGGACGTGAGCTGCTTCTGTTTGTCCTCGAATTCTTCCTTCTCGGCTAGAGTGTTGGAGTCCAGCCATTTCAGAGCTGCTTCACATTCCCGTTCTACCGTCGATTTATCCTCCGAACTCAGTTTGTCTCCGCACTCTTGAACCGCCTGTTTCAGTTGGAAAATGTAGGCTTCCAGCTGATTGCGCGATGCGACTTTTTGTTTCTGTTTCTCGTCCTCTTCTTTGTATTGTTCTGCTTCGGACAACATGCGATCGATGTCGGCCTGAGACAGTCTGCCTTTGTCGTTTTTGATGGTGATGTTGCGGGAGTTGCCGGAGCTGGTGTCCTTGGCGGAGACGTTCAGAATACCGTTGGCGTCGAGATCGAAAGTGACCTCGACCTTGGGTACTCCCCTAGGCGCCGGTGGAATACCGGTCAAATCGAAGTTGCCCAAAAGGTTGTTGTCTTTGGTCATCGCTCTTTCGCCTTCGAACACTTGAATGGTTACAGCGGGCTGGTTGTCGGAATACGTGGTGAATGTTTGCGTCTGTTTGCACGGGATTCTTGCATTTCTTTCGATGATCTTGGTCATTACACCACCGGCAGTTTCAATACCCAAAGACAATGGAGTTACGTCGACTAAGAGGACGTCTTGGATCTTGGAATCTTGAGCTCCACTGAGAACTGCCGCTTGGACTGCTGCACCGTAAGCAACCGCTTCGTCTGGGTTAATTGAAAGGTTCAGTTGTTTTCCATTGAAGTAATTCTGGAGGAGTTGTTGAATTTTCGGGATCCTTGTGGAACCACCCACCAAAACGATGTCGTGAATAGAACCTTTGTCCATTTTAGCATCTTTTAAGGCTTTTTCGACGGGTTGTAGTGTTCCTCTGAATAAGTCTGCGTTCAGTTCTTCAAATCTAGCTCTGGATATTTTTGTGTAGAAATCGATTCCTTCGAAAAGTGCGTCGATTTCAATGCTAGCTTCTGTACTGGATGATAGAGTACGTTTCGCTCTTTCAGCTGCAGTCCTTAATCTTCTGATAGCTCTTGGGTTGGATTTCAAGTCCTTCCTGTATTTTCTTTTGAATTCCTCGGTGAGGTGGTTTACTAGTCTGTTGTCAAAGTCTTCACCTCCGAGATGGGTGTCACCTGCGGTGGCTCTTACTTCGAACAGAGATCCTTCGTCGATTGTTAGGATGGAAACGTCGAATGTGCCTCCTCCTAGATCGAAAATGTGCACATTTCTTTCTCCTTTGAGGTTCTTGTCCAAGCCATAAGCCAAAGCGGCAGCCGTGGGTTCGTTGATGATCCTTAACACGTTCAATCCCGCTATTACACCGGCATCTTTTGTAGCTTGTCTCTGAGAATCGTTGAAATATGCAGGAACTGTGATTACCGCGTCTTTTACGGACATTCCCAAATAAGCTTCTGCCGTTTCCTTCATTTTTGTGAGAACCATCGAACTGACTTCCTCTGGAGCAAACTGTTTCTGTTCCCCTTTGAACTCGACTTGTAGTTTTGGTTTTCCTCCACTATTAACCACTTTAAATGGCCAATGTTTGATGTCTTCCTGTATTTTGGGGTCGTCGAATTTGCGTCCTATCAATCTCTTGGCGTCGAAGATGGTGTTAGAGGGGTTCATGGCGACCTGGTTCTTCGCAGCATCTCCTATAAGACGTTCGGTGTCGGTGAACGCCACATAACTCGGTGTTGTTCTGTTTCCTTGGTCGTTGGCGATGATTTCTACTTTTCCTTGTTGCCACACACCTACGCAGGAGTATGTGGTTCCCAAGTCGATACCGATTGCTGGAGCTTGTACCATTTTTGTATAACTTCACTTGTTTTCACTAACTGAACGGTAATAATAACTTTTCACTTGAAAATCGCTTTGTAAATTCGCTCGGAATCGCTTTGTGTTTAGCTTTCGCTTCACTGTCTTGATTCAAATTTGACTGGTTAGCGCGCCGCGGCGTTCGGCTTTTATACAGACCCGAGCGGGCCATCGAACGCTCCCGAGTGTTCTAGAACGCGTGGATCGCACTGGTCGATGCGCCCGGGAAACAACCTTCCACCGGCTTCGATAGCGTTCGAGAACAATGCTCTGTTTATCCTTTGTTAAACTATACGGATAGAGTGAAACAGAAATAGCGGTAACGTACTGGAATAATTTTACGTCGGCTTTAGGTCGATGACTGACCTTTCCAACGCCTTCTACTGCGTTCTAGAATGTACGCTGTTGTATTTCTTTTAATCGTAAGTGTCGAGATAAGTATACAACGTTCTAGAAAATCTAGAACACAGCAATATTATTTGTGGAATATTGTGGAACAGCTGTTTTATTTTTTGATTGAGATATTTTTATGTAATTTAATTACGTTTAATAGGATGTGTTTTTTTACACATATATTTATTCTCTATAGTGCTTGTCTATGCTCTTATAATTTGTTTTGTCTTAAATCAAATATAAAAAATATGTATGAACCCATTTTTGAATAAACATAAATTCACTATCGAGATTTAATTCATCAAGATTTTCCAAAATATTATATTCTCAAAATATGTATTTTTATAAAATAAAGAATAATATAAAAAAACTGTTATTATTTAAACTAAATGACTATACGATCGAAAAAAACGACATCATAGTGGCCTTTAAAAAGGAATTTGAGATTAATTTCTAACAGACCGATTATATTTAAAAAAATATCGAAAAAAAATGGCGTTCAGTTGGCTTGGCGATGAACATCGATGACATTCCCCATATAATTTTACATAAAAAAACAGCGATCTTCATTTCATAGCCATCGCTGACGCCGTTTTTTTGGGTCATCTTGTACTTAAATGAAGACACTATTATTAATATATAAATAAAGATACTCCAAAACATAATCTGCTCATTAAAAACATTTTTTTTTAAATAGGTCTGTTTTTGAAAACTTTCTATACTTATTCTTTCTAAATTGTATATCAATATATTGCAGTATAAAGAATTATTAGGGAATAATTACAGAATTAATATAGGTATAAACTATATAATTACAAAAAAAAAATACTATAAATTTCAGGCGAAGAATGTTAGATGATGATACCAGAGAAGTAAAAATGCTCCAAGAATTATTGCTGGAAGATGGAGAATTGCATGGTACAGGGAGACAAAGACAATTTAAATGGAAAAATATAGGTAAAATACGTACAAAAAATACTTTTGTGTATATTGAAACCATTAAAAAGTTACAGAATTTGAATTAAAATACTTTCAAAGTTCGGCATCTAAAATAACAAGAAAGTCACTTAAAATTTTAATAATTATGACATTAAATTTTGAAGCCCCCGTACAATTTGCAGTTACAATATTTGTAATAAAGTAAGGTCAGACCAAATGTAATAAACATCTGACGTTGTTTTGATCTCAGGATATAATTTTTTATTATTAATATTTTTTTAAGAAATCCTGTTATTTTTTTTTTGTTAAAAAATGTCCATACCTATGTGGCGGATTCATCTCTCCAAAAAATCCTATATTGGTATTTCTCCACTGCAAGAAAATCTACAAAATAAAATAGTTATTTTTTGTAAACACTTCTGCGTTAATCCAAACGGAAACTACTTGTCAGAAGTTAGGTTTACAGATATACAAATTTGCCTAACGAACAAAAAAACGCTTAACGTTTCGGAAAGTTTATCTCTTTCCGTCGTCGGAAGCAAAAAAAAATACAAAGAAAAAAGAAAAAAACTATTTAAATTCAACTATTCGAGAACACTTTAGTTTTTTAAAACAGATACGTCTACAAAAACCGTTGACGTTCTGTTAAAATGACATTATATCCAAGTTAAACTTCAAAATTAACAGTTACTACATGATATCAATTACTTAATAAGGTAAAACCAAAAAGCCCCAAACTTTCTGTTTGATTATTTTTAATTTTTACGTATGTTATGTTTATTTATGTTATGTTCTTTAAAATCAAAGAAGCGATTGCCATACATTACTAACATCTACAGATGCATGAGCAATACATTTATTTTTATTCTTCTTCTTCTTAAAGTGCCTTCTCCTTTCAGTGAAGATCGGCAACAACCATGGCAAATTCCTCTCTATTTTTCGCTCTTCTCAGCAAAGTATGTGAGTCCAGGCCTGTCCAATCTCTGATGTTCTTCAGCCAGGAGCATTGCCGTCGTCCGGGTCCGCGCTTTCCCTCAATTTTACCCTCGATGATGAGCTGAAGGAATTCATACTTGCTATGTCTCATGATATGGCCCAAATAGGCTGCTTTCCTCTTTTTTATTATGTCGAGGAGTTCTCGGTCCTTGTTCATTTGGTTTAGAACTCGTTCATTCGAGACACGGTCAGTCCATGGTATTCTCAGCATTCTGCGATATACCCACATCTCAAATGCTTCCAACTTATTCATTGCGCTTACTTTGAGTGTCCACGACTCAACCCCGTAGAGAAGTGTGGAAAGTACGTAGCACTTGACGAAGTTGTCTTTTATATGGATGTTGAGACGTTTATCGCACAGTAGGTTCCGCAATTTTAGGAAGTTTGATCTAGCCATCTCAATTCGAGCTCTGATCTCAATGTCTGGGTTTAGGTCTTCACTAATCCAACTGCCCAAATATCTAAACTTTGAGACTCTTGCTATTGGTGTCCCACCTACGACTACCTCCGTTGCCTGTCTTGCATCTCTATTTATCACCATGACTTTTGTTTTGTTTGTATTTATCCTGAGACCCATTGAGTCGCCCACCGAGGACAGTCTATCAAGAAGTCTTTGCAGGCCCTCAGTGGTGTCTGCAATAACGACGGTATCATCAGCATATCTCATGTTGTTAATCAGCCTGCCATTCACTTTTATGCCGTCTTCTGATCCCTCAAGCGCATTTCGAAATATTAGTTCGGAGTACATATTGAAGAGCATAGGGCTCAATACGCATCCTTGCCTAACTCCACGCTTGATAGGTATTGCTGTTGTTTCAGTGTCCTGTAGTTTTACTGTCGCTACTTGTTATTCGTATAGCTTTTGGATAATTTTCAGGTCTTGGGTATCCAGGCCTCTTCTTTCAAGGATGCTCAGCAATTCCCTGTGGTTGACGCAGTCGAATGCCTTCGTGTAGTCTATGAAGCATAGGTGTACCTCCTTTCGTTGATCTCTGCACTTCTGCAAAAGCACCGATAGCGCAAACAGGGCTCCTCTCGTCCCCAGTCCCTCGCGAAATCCCATTTGCTGTTCACTTATGTCTAACTCACATTTTCTTCGGATTCGATTATGCAGAACCTTTAAAAACAGCTTTAGGACTTGACTTATTTTTATTAGATTGTATTAAAAAAGCCTCTTTTATTTTTCTTTTAGCTTCTTTCATTATAATTTTCGCGTTATTAAAATTTATTCTGTGCCCTGTGTCCCAATGCTGACAAATCTTAGATTTGTGAAAATCTCCCTTTCTTTAATAATCTTTATGTTTTTTAATTCGAACATTTTAAAAGATGTTTCACCAATGTAAAATTTATCGCATTCACATGGTATTTTGTATATTACATTTTTTGTTAGATTTAACTGATGACCAAAGAGACGGTGAAAAAGGAGAGGAAGAAATCTATATGGATGAGGAGGAAAGTGAGGAACAATGGAGGAAAAAAAGACACGAAAGAGAGATGTTTTTGAAGGAAAAATTGAAGAAAACCGAAGATATTCAGGATGATCTAGTCAATCACAGCCAGTTCCTGAAAATCGGTCAAAAAGTTCTGGAAAGAAGCCAGAGTCTCAACTCACAAAATAGTACACCCAATGAGAAATCGGAAGTGGATTCAACAGAAAATACCGCTCCTAAAACTCCCTTTCCCCTATTGGTAAGTGTCTTTTTATACAGGGTGTTTCAAAAAACATGTGTCATCTCTCGAAGGGAGATTCCTCGAGACAAAATACTAAGATACAATTTTTAATTGGCATTAAACGGTCTATACAATTTTGCTATCAAAAGAAAAAAAGCCAGTGGCGCACATGTTTTTTTTTTTTCGAAAAATATTCCAGTGATAACCCATATGCACGTCCCTGATGAACTCGTCGATACTTTTTTATCATTAAAATATGTAGCATTTATAGTAACTTTTACCCTCAAAATTTCATTCAAATCTCTAAAAGTACTTGGAAGAAAATTTTAATTAATCGAAAGATTATTAAGACTTTAACACCCTGTAACTACGAAACAAAGCAGAATCGGACCTATGTTGATATGAAAAATAAATCTTATTTTTACGTGAGGAATCTCCCCACGAGAGATGGCACATGTTTTTTGAAACACTCTGTAGATATGACATAGTATTTTTGATATGGACTAGTGACAAATCCACTTAGTTAAAATGAGATTGAAGAGATATATAGAACGATTCCGCTATAGAACGTTATTCATAATATTTTTATACTAATAATTAAAGGCTTCAGTAAAACTGACTTTATTCGTTTTTGTTATTGTTTTAGAGTAAAAGAGGGTCATTTTTGAGTAGAGGCGATCAAGTTCTTCAAAGATTAGCAGAATACACTAAAGTCAGTGCAGAAATAAATGTCAGTTCTTCTAAAACCACTAAAAATTTTGTCTTTCAAAGCGTTTCATCTTTGGAAGTATCAGTATCTTCGGCTGCTGTAAGTAACAATATATTTTATGCATTTTTTTAGTTTTTTTGTATATTTTTCTAATTATTTTTATAGAATAAAAAACGGAAAGCAGCTGAAGGTACACCCAATGTCCTAAAAAAACTAAGGCTAAACACGACCTTTAGTCCGGCGGATAAGAAAAAGAAAGATAAATCTGAAAGAGCGAGGAAATTGTTTAATTTTTAGACTGAGTTTTGTTATATACTTGTTTGTTTTATAGTTATTATTGTAATATATTTATAATATACATATAAAAATAGAGTTTTTGCATTTTTTTTTTCACATTAAATCGCTTTAAATCATATTTTTAATATAAGAATATTCTGGAGTATTCTGGAGTACTCTGTTGAAATTCGCATAATCGTTTCACTGGTTGCATACAATAGAGAGTATAATATCGATTTATCTTTGAAGTTCTAGAACGCAGCTTATTTCTCTATGTTTCTCGATGTACATATACACTGTGTCCCAACGAAATGTTAATTTTAATAATTCGTTTAAGAGTCTATTAGTCCTACATATAGACAAGGGTCCTACCAATGACCTGCTTTGATTAAGGTTTGCAGAGCTTCAGCGTTTGCCATAAAATAGCCAGCAATTTGTTACAAAACCATATAAATTATCTATCACTGTAATCACAAAATTTCAATCTATTTTCGTATTGTAACGGAATTTTATATTATGTCTTTATTTTCGAGAAACTTTAGTCCAAACATAAGGAATATTTTGTTGATGTTTGACCATCAAAATTTTAAAAATAATGAAGTTGTCTAAAAATGCGCTACAATAGGGATATAGTATAATCCTTTATCTTTAATTTCCTTCTTCATTTGTGTAAAAATACCTAGCTAGTTTTACATAAAACGTTAAATGCCGAACGCTTATTTTGCTACTTTTTGGATTAGTGAAATGGACTCTGTTTAATATACTTGTTAAAGCATTATTTTTAATTAATATATCACATATTATTGTAACTGTGTATTTTTAATAATCAAGAAATACCTACAATGGTACTATTTATTTAAAAAATATATAATGGAAACTATAAAATATTCTTTCAAAAAAGACATCTTGGTGCTTTGCTACTAGAAGAAAATCTACAAAATAAAATAGTTTTTTTTTTGTAAACACTAACGGAAATCAATTCTTCAGGGGTATTTTAGTAAAAAACTTTGCTTAACATTTCAGGAGGTACATATATCTTCGAAAGCAACAAAAACACAAAGAAAAATCTATGTAAAAGAACTTACAATAGGAAAAACTCTTTTTTTTTTCATGCTTTTTAATTTTCTCTAAAACGGTATGGAAATTTGGAAAAGTATAAACGGGATTAACCATTTTAGAATAAGCGAAATATTTTTTATGAAAAATGCATTTTTCTCAAAATATTAATAATAAAAAGTTTTTCCTCTTGTAAAGACAATCCGGGTACATACTGTATAGAAATACATTTTCTTTTCTTCCTAGAACTGCAACAAATTTTAGTTTATAAATTTTAATAAAAGGTTTAATTGTTGTGTGAATTCCACAGAATATTTAATAATTATTGTTTGTACATATTTTGTTAAATAATATATCAAAATATTGAAAAAGGGGATTATACCAATAAACATATACATAATAAATTAAATTCGTTAATAAAGTCATTAATTATTTCTTATTTTTCCAAATAAAATGTTATTTAGTGAGCTCTCAGTCTCATATTTTTGATAATAAAACATTCAATATTTTCATTATACATGAAGATAACATTTTTGGCTCACTGTATACGTCGATGAATTCCAGAACGTTGCCGTTATTGCTGTTTCACTCTAACGGCGTAGTTAAAAGATAAATATAGTATTGTTCTCGAATGTTATGGAAGCCGTAGGAAGGTTGTTTCCCGGGCGCATCGACCAGTGCGATCCACGCGTTCTAGAACACTCGGGAGCGTTCGATGGACCGCTCGGGTCTGTATAAAAGCCGATCGCCGCGGCGCGCTAACCAGTCAAATTTGAATCACGACAGTGAAGCGAAAGCTAAATACAAAGCGATTCCGAGCGAATTTACAAAGCGATTTTCCAAGTGAAAAGTTATTATTACTGTTCAGTTAGTGAAAACAAGTGAAGTTACACAAAATGGTACAAGGTCCAGCAATCGGTATCGACTTGGGAACCACATACTCCTGCGTGGGTGTGTGGCAACAAGGAAAAGTCGAAATCATCGCCAACGACCAAGGGAACAGAACAACACCGAGTTATGTGGCGTTCACCGACACCGAACGTCTTATTGGAGATGCTGCGAAGAACCAGGTCGCCATGAACCCCTCGAACACCATCTTCGACGCTAAAAGGTTGATCGGACGCAAATTCGACGACCCCAAAATCCAGGAAGACATCAAACACTGGCCCTTCAAAGTGATTAATAGTGGAGGAAAACCAAAATTACAGGTCGAGTTCAAAGGGGAACAGAAACAGTTTGCTCCAGAGGAAGTCAGTTCGATGGTTCTTACGAAAATGAAGGAAACGGCAGAAGCATATTTGGGAATGCCCGTAAAAGACGCGGTAATCACAGTTCCCGCATATTTCAACGATTCTCAGAGACAAGCTACAAAAGATGCCGGTGTAATAGCAGGATTGAACGTGTTGAGGATCATCAACGAACCCACTGCTGCCGCGTTGGCTTATGGCTTGGACAAGAACCTCAAAGGAGAAAGAAATGTGCTAATTTTCGATCTGGGAGGAGGCACATTCGACGTTTCCATCCTAACAATCGACGAAGGATCTTTGTTCGAAGTAAGAGCCACCGCTGGTGACACCCATCTTGGAGGTGAAGACTTCGACAACAGACTAGTGAACCACCTTACTGAAGAATTCAAAAGAAAATACAGGAAGGACCTGAAATCCAACCCAAGAGCTATCAGAAGATTAAGGACTGCAGCTGAAAGAGCGAAACGTACTTTATCATCGAGTACAGAAGCTAGCATTGAAATCGACGCACTTTTCGAAGGAATCGATTTCTACACAAAAATATCCAGAGCCAGATTCGAAGAACTGAACGCAGATCTGTTCAGAGGAACACTTCAGCCCGTCGAAAAAGCCTTAAAAGACGCCAAAATGGACAAAGGCTCTATTCACGACATCGTTCTGGTGGGTGGTTCCACAAGGATCCCGAAAATTCAACAACTGCTCCAGAACTACTTCAACGGAAAGCAACTGAATCTTTCAATCAACCCAGACGAAGCGGTTGCTTACGGTGCAGCAGTCCAAGCGGCAGTTCTCAGTGGAGCTCAGGATTCCAAGATCCAAGACGTCCTCTTAGTCGACGTAACTCCCTTGTCTTTGGGTATCGAAACTGCCGGTGGTGTAATGACCAAGATCATCGAAAGAAATGCAAGAATCCCGTGCAAACAGACGCAAACATTCACCACGTATTCCGACAACCAGCCCGCTGTAACCATTCAAGTATTCGAAGGCGAAAGAGCGATGACCAAAGATAACAACCTTTTGGGCAACTTCGACTTGACCGGCATTCCACCGGCGCCAAGGGGAGTACCCAAAGTCGAGGTCACTTTCGATCTCGACGCCAACGGTATTCTGAACGTCTCCGCCAAGGACACCAGCTCCGGCAATTCCCGCAACATCACCATCAAAAACGACAAAGGCAGACTGTCTCAGGCCGACATCGATCGCATGTTGTCCGAAGCAGAACAATACAAGGAAGAGGACGAGAAACAGAAACAAAAAGTCGCATCGCGCAATCAGCTGGAAGCCTACATTTTCCAACTGAAACAGGCGGTTCAAGAGTGCGGAGACAAACTGAGTTCGGAGGACAAATCGACGGTGGAGCGGGAATGTGACGCAGCTCTGAAATGGCTGGACTCCAACACTCTGGCCGAGAAGGAAGAATTCGAGGACAAACAGAAGCAGCTCACGTCCGTTTGCAGTCCCATCATGGCCAAATTGTACAACTCTGGAGCCTCTCAAAATAACAACTATGGAGGGGCGAACATGCCTGGTAGCAGCTGTGGAAGGCAAGCTGGAGGATTTGGTCAAACGTCATCACAAGGACCAACCATAGAAGAAGTAGATTAAATTGTTTATTAAACTGTAAATATAAATAAGAATGTGATATATTGTAAATATATTTAAGACTGATAGATTAGATAATATTTAAGAGAACTGTTCAAATGTTACCTATTTATTTTTTAGATAATAAATATTTTTTTTTAATAAATTACAAATGTTTGCTTTCCCTTTTATAGTTTATTTAAAACCTGAAAAAAAAGAGTATTAATTGTTGAAACTTTTGTTTGTTAAAAACCAAACTCGGAAGTAATTTTTCGATAAGGATAAGGAAAAAAAGCAGCGCTTTCTAAAACTAAGTTTATTAAAATATACACTATCAAAATTGGAACAATATCTTGAAATATTGAACATACATACCTAGTTGCCCTGCCAAAGTTTTATCAAAAAACGACAGTCGGAGAAGGCAGTTGGAAATCTCTAGATTAACTAAAATTATGCGAAATAACACAGTATGTATTTTACTAATAAATGTTTCTCGTAAAGTAATAACAAAAAAATATAGTTACTTGTAACTAAAAAAAAACGGAAAAAATACCATATTGAAAAAAAAAACATCGTCATAGTGACCTTCGAATTCTGCAATCGATGAAAGTTTTTCTGTCAGGCCCACTGTAATATCATTAAAAATCATTAAAACTGACATAAAAACTGCAAAAATTAATATTTAAAAAGTCAAAGTTAATAATCATTCAAAGGTTACTATGACGTCAGTTTTTTCCGATTATATGGTTCTAGCAAGCAAAGATTGTGGAGTATGTTCATCTTTGGATCTCGAATTATTGATAGTCGATAACAAAAAAAAATAATATAATAATTTTATAGTTTGTTCGATGGGTATTGCGTTTTAACAAAAAAAATGACTGGTTATCGTTTAATAAAAAAAACATAACTATAAATTACACTACAACATAAGCCAGGTACTAGCACATTAAACTTAATAATGAATTTGCGTACGCCATTGGTTTGACGTCTGGATGGCTCTGAAAATAAAAACAAAAAAAAATATGTGTAATTTGATTTTTTATAAGGATTATAATCAACTTACCACAGCTTCATATGTTGTATACTTAGGAATCATGTCTTTGCCATTTAAGACAATAAATGCACCTTTATTTCCCATTGTATCGCTAAAAAATAATACCAGTAAAAATTAAATATATTTATTCTAACGCTATATACAGGGTGTCCCAGGCTGATCGTGCGTTTTAAGTAAAGAGTTTAAAAAGTGTATTTATAAAAATATATCTCGTATTTTCGCTCTTTAGTGATATCTAATAGCTGATATAATATTCCGTATGATTGAAAAAAAAACAGCGCAAAGTTGGCTCGAAAATGATCCTGCTTTTTGAACAAAGCGTCAAAATATGACATGGCCAGATCTAGTGTTTTACATCACTTGGCGTTTAAAGTCATAGGCTACTGGTTAAAATCGAAGAAAAATATACGCTTTAAAACTAAGTCTTAAATAACTAAAAAACGATTAATTTTAGGTATAGGAACATGTATAGTTTAAAAGTAACGAATTGAAATGCCTTTCCACTAGTGAAATAAAAAACGTGGGTTTCAATTTGAAAAAAACGATTTATGATAATTTTTTACTCACTCAATTCCATGACAACTACCGCCATTACTATATGACATTTAAACAATTTAATTTTAGAAATAGATAGCTACATGTCTTCTTTTATGGCACAGTATAGTCTGTGAAACGAATAAATTTGAATTTGACAGTTCCCGCAGGCTTTCCTAGTGTTAATTATATTAGGTTAGCAACCTGCGGCTATGCATTTTTTTTGTTGTCTGATATTTAGAAATGTCAAAAGCTGATGACATTTTACTTTTGACAATTATGACATTTCGTGTTGATTTTTGCAAGAAGAGGAAGAACTGTCACTTGTTTTATTATTTTCCTTTTCTATTTCATGAAAGTAAAAAAGAATTACCTATCTAATTCGTTCAGGCACTCAATTTAAAGAATATCAGTAACTTTTTTGACAGAGGGATTTTATATTTGCCATGTTGGTAAAAAATAACGGTCAAAATTCAAAGTTATTCATTTTATAGACTATAGCTGTGGTAATCACTAAATTTGACTTTTGGGCTATACAAATTTTTTTGACAGGTAGTTTTTTTTTCGTCCAAAAATTTTAAATATTTTTTTTTCTCAAAAACGGTTAATGTTAGGTATATAGTGTTTAACATCAATCTTGATAGAATTTTACAGAGAATTTAAGTATGTAATAAAAAATGGATAAGAAAGTTGCTGTCAACTTCCGGAATTTTCGGAAGTACCGACATATTGAAAATACTTTTAATCAATAGATCTCGTTGTAAAACAATGATTGCAAAAAGTCTCCGACCTATTGTGGTTCTCTAGAAACTTCCAATGCACGCTCAGCCTGGGACACCCTGTATAATAGATGGAGAATATCCTAACCACTCGCTGGTTCTGGACACCCTAGTTCACACTTACCAATAATTGGGAGCCGAAAACACCGTTATACACTTCCCCTCGTGCGCTACCTCGTACCCGTCATTCTTCACCTCGTGACTCCGAATAACGTAGTCCAAATTGTTCAGTTTCAAGAACTTCTTGGTCACGTCCGGCCCGAATTGACACCCGACGCCTCTTTTACTCGGCGCCCTGCCCTCTTGCGGCTGCGGGTCGGACCAGAGCAGCTCGCACATCGGCCCGTCTTCCGGCGGCTGCCTGTTCCTGTCGATCTGCCTGATTTCCTCCAGCGTGACGTCGTCGCGCGAGAACAGGCCTCCGTGCATGACGAGGACGCGCTTGTTTAGGCAGTGAGCGAGGGGGAGCCAGTTGTACACTTCGGTGAAGAGCTCCGCCATTTGAGAGCTGTACTTGGACTTGACCTCGCCGTCAAAGCCGTACATTTGGTTCATGGTGGCACTCTCGTGATTGCCTAAAATATCAGAGCAAATTTATAATTTTTTCTTATGATTTTATGGAATGTACAGGGTTGTTCTGTTGTTCATCACATATGACACGGAGTATTGTAGCTAAACGATTAGATTTTTACAAATTCTAAGTTTTGGGTTCGTTGAAGGACTATTAAAGCTACAATTTGAAAATATTTTTACAAGATACAGAGTCCAAATAAGTCCCAAATAAATAAAAAATAACACAGTTGTGTTTTTTAAATGGAACATCCTGTATATTATTACATTTTTAGTTTCTACGATTAGAATAAAGGTAAATTGGACTAGGGTTTATCACACTTAAACCTTACCGTTTCTGAAATATTTTCAATTTTGTATAATTGCAGTAAACATTTTAAGGCTTATTCATTTCTCCAAAGGTATCAAAGTTTTTAATGCTAAATCTTTACTGAAGTTTATTTATTGATCAGTTATTTGTGTGCAGTAATAAAAATAATACTACCTCATACAGAGTGTCTAAAAATGTATTTTAAATAATTTCTAGCTTTAATCGGCAATAACTTGTTTAATTTAAATGGAACACCTTGTATATTTTAGAAGAATCAGATGCACAATTTAATTGTCTATCAAATTGTATTATACCATTTTTTACGTATCCCTTCAAGTTATCGTAGAAATCGCGTTTTCTTATAATTTGTCCTCATTTATAAATATACCCATGGAATATAGACATTTTAGATTGTTTTAAAAAAAATAATTAATTACATACGTAATTGTGTTAGTTAATAAATTATTCTAAATAAATGTTGATTTGAAACAAGAAATCAATATAATAATAAGTTATGAAAATGAACGTCTCTGTTGTTATAAATAATCATTTGTCAAAAAATGAAATAAAATTTTTAAGCTGTTACTTTTTACCACACTGTCTAATACACATACAAAATTCAGTTTTTTAATATTTGAAGCAATTATTATTAATCAGCGGAAACAGTCAATTAATGTAGTTTGGAAACTAAAATCATATTAATTGGCCCTCTTTAACAAATATTTAAACAGTTTTTTTTATTTTTTAATGAAATAAATGAACTAGGTATATTGACAATATTAGTATCTGTACTCTTTAAAAATTTGTTACATCTTTAAAAATAATTTAAAATATCAGTATTCCATGAGTATATTGATAAATATGTCTAAATTACAAGAAAATGCATTTTCTACGAAAACTTGAAGAGATAGCTAAAAAGTGGTACAGTACAATTAAATTGTGCAACTGATTTTCATAAAATTTACAGGGTGTTCCATTTAAATTAAACAAGTTACTACCGTTGACAAGAAGCTGAAATTCTGGTAATTGCTTGGTATTTGCGGCTGATTATAGACTGCTGCTGACGGCTCTCAAAATGTTGCCATTATTTTTTAAAATTTTCAAAGCGAAATAACTCGGTTATTATTAATTTATTTTAAAAATGGTAAGGGGAAAATAATATGTTTCTTTTGGCCAGATCCGCCACCCCCTAAAATATCTGCACTTATTTCTGGGACACCCCGTATAAATATTATAAGACTGTTTATATTAACTTCTTCATAAATACTTAGCCTGAGTTATTCATTAATTATAAATGTTAAAAAGACAAAGCTAAAATTTATTTTTAGTCATATTTTTTAAATATAATACCACACAGTAATATAATCTAAAATTAGGAAGCAAATTAAGTAAACAAAGTTATTCAAAGAATGAAACTTATTCACAACCTTATCACCACTTATTATTTTTTCATTTATTTTTGGAATTAATATATTTATGAGATTATTTTGGATCTAAAATTAAAATTAGTTGTTTGTTGTATGATTTTCTGTAATTTTGGAAGATATTAAATAGAAAATAATCTCAAAAAATGTAATAATATTAGGAATATACACTTAAAAAATATTTTCACATTAATTATTCCAACAAATGTAGCAATATTGTGAAGATATATTACTGTTCAACAAATTAAAAAAGTGTTAAAATTAGGCTACTTAAAAAAAATACTTTATAAAATATATCTTACCTCTCGACATATAAAAATGATTCGGATATAACAATTTAAATCCAAACAGTGTAAATATACATTCTACCGAAAAGGAACCTCGGTCCACAAAGTCCCCATTGAAAAGATATGGATTGGTCTCGGAAGGTAAACCGTTCAATTCGAATACATTTAATAAGTCGTAGAATTGACCGTGTATATCACCACACACAGTAAATTTGTCCTTGTCACCAAAAGTAACGTCTATTAATGTAGGTTGAGCCATGAAGTAATTTTTGATATCTAATAATATCTAAAATCAATCAAAAAAATGTTGTAAAAGATGTATTATGTTCAAAAATATATATTCTTACTTTGTAGGCATATTTCCTATGTAACCTTCCCTGATTTTTATATGATTCCATTAATTCCTTCATGAATTTTAATGTAACTTTCCCGTTTTCTAACTCCGGACCTGTATATTCGTTTTCTATGCTCATTCCTTCTATATTAATCGTATCGGCGATGCTTTTCTTCTTGTAATCCACCGAAATGGCCTTTTCAAAAGCGATTTTCTTCACTATCTTATTACACTCGTTATATTTTAACTTGGCATCTTTATCACTAGGTCTCATTTTTGTTACATATTCGTAATCTTTCAGAGCTTCCTTCCATTTTCCTAGGGCCATAGTAGCGGCGGCCCTCCTGTAGAACCCTTTGACGTAGGTCTTATCTAATTCTATTGCTTTGGAGGCATCAGTCAAAGCCGATCCGAAGCATTCCATTTTCAGGAAGGCGAAGCTCCTGTTCCCGTAATATATTGCCACGTTAGGATTAGTTTCGATTGCTTTGGTATAGAGATCAATGGCATCATTAAATTGTTGCTCTACGAAACACGTAAAATAAAAAAACACAGGTAAAATAAAAATCGAAAAATATTCTAGGTTAGATAAACAAATATTAAATTTCGCTTAGTGATGCGTGAATAAACATGACGAAAGCACCGTAATACACGTTAAATAGGCAAGAAGAGGATTAATTATCGTAAAAATGAGACTTAAATTAAAAACTTAGCTTACTTTTGAAACAATCGTTCGCCTCGGTTTTGTATTTCTCAGCGAGTTCGGCATCTTCCGCGGCGACTGTGGGGTTTTCTTGTGCATCGGAACTCATGATTTAATGCGAGAAACTATTTTATTTACAATTAATTAATTAATTACCTATTATTTTTGCTATCGACTGAAATAACACAAAATTTGAGAGATTTCCGACATTTCTTTTTATAAAAATGACATTGACTTTTCGGTGACTGACGTTTCAAAATAAGTGTGGCCAATAGACAAATTCGAAAAATTATTAAGTCACGTGACATCACTGACATTTTTGAATTTTTTTAAACTTTATAATTGATAAAATCGATTAAATTTAAATGAAGAAAAGGTAAAAAATACACTGCATTGGCATTTACTACTTTATTTAAAAAAACAGCACAAGGTAATACTTAAACAATACTTAATTTTGTAACAAACTTTTAAAAATACAAAAAGGACAATACTTTTAGAAAAAATACTTCTAGGAATGTGTGTATACTGGGGCATAATGGCAAGTTCTTCATATTTTACTGCGAATATGCGAAAATATTTCGAAGTTTTTTATAACGCGGAACGACGGAATGTACATCTCTGGAAAAAAATTGTTGTAACTACACATTCGTCAATAAATAACCCAAATTTACCTAATTCTTTCCTAAGTCTGAGGATCCTGCCTCTATCTACTTCGTACACATATTGACCATCGCTAGAAAACAATAAAAATAAACATAAATCCACGTAATTACATGTAAAGTCCTCACTGTCTAGTTTTATGTAACATTTTTTTATTCGTTAGCGAATTCAAACAGTTCCCCAAGGTATCCAAAGTCATACAGTACGGATGAATAAAAATTTTCTTTTCTGAAATAGCATCTTCCAGGAGTCTTTGAAAGTTTGCCAATAAAGCTTTCTCACTAATTTGTTCTAATGTTTTCTGAAAAAATTTTAAAAATAGGAGAATTTAAATCATAGTGTAAATGACTGACACATCTAAAATTCTGACATAGTTTAATGTTAGTTTTTAATCAATGGGATATAGGGGTCGATCTGACCGAAATTATCATCAATTTTAATTTCTATGGCTACTGTGACGCCGTTTTTTTCGATAGTAGAATACTTTACCTGTAATACTTCAGTCACAATAAAATAAGCTAGGATAAAAGGCTGAATACTACTTATTAATACTTCTTCCAGATAATTTTGCTCAAAAATACTATATTCGTTATTATTAACAGTAACTACTTTCTGTTCTATTAATCTGAGCAATGCTTCTTCAAAATTCTAAAATATAAATATTTTGTTAGTAATTTAGTTCATGTTAAGATTTTTATATACATATTAAAGTTAACATTTTCTATATTATTTATACAGGATTGCGCACCTCATTCGCCTCGGTTGATTATACGAAAACGGAAAGATGTAGAAACAAAATATTTTATGGGTAAAATTATTTGGAAATGTACAGGGTGTTTCAGAATTAAGATCCATACCAAAGTTATATTTTTTCTTATGGAACACCCGGTATTTTATTTCATTTTTGGATTTTTGGGTCCAAAAAAACGTATTTATTATAAGCATTTCTTGAAAACTTTTCTATTTCGCAGAGCTATGGTAGTGTGGTTTATAAAAAACCTATTCATACCTACCTGTCGTTGGAAGTTAAGAAAGTGAATTTGCCGTAATTGGCTCTTTTATAGAAATTCCATATATCTACAAGTGATAGTGATCGTAAAATAAATAAAAGAACTATTTCTTCGTTTTTCTTGAAAGAATAATAAATACCTACATATTTAATAAATATTATTTATTAAACTACTGTAGGCAAATTAAATAAAAATAAACTGCTATACATTTAAATAAAGTCCATAAACTAATTTCGATTTTAAAAATAGCTGCTGTCACTAAAAACTTGACATCAACCATCTTGGTTCCCATTTTACTGAAAAATGGCTCTTTCTTCAAAATCTGAGCTAGATAGGTATAGGAAACCCTAATATAGTTTGAAAGAGCATTTAAATCTGATTCGATTTATTTAAAAAAATACAGGGTGTTGTATTTGAAATAACGAAGTTTTTATGTAAAATAAATATTTAAAAGAGACCAGCAATTTTTGATACCCCTGTATACATTAAACAAAGGAATTAAATTTTTCAGTGGAGTTTATTTCTCTGGCTTAAATGTCAGCACAAGAATTAATTCTGAAAAGAAATGTACAGGGTGTTAATAATCTATTCTATTGTGGCATGCATTTTAAATGTCTTTAAATATCTCAAAAACCAAAGATTTTAAAGATATTTAACCCTTATAATAAATGCCTTATTTTATGTCCAAGAATCCAAAAATGAGATAAAATACAGGGTATTCCATAAGAAAAAATATAACTTTGGTATGGATCTTAGTTCTGAAACACCCAGTATATTTCAAAATAATTTTAAATTGTGCACATTGCCTTCCCACATATACTCATAAAATATTTTGTTTCTACATCTTTCCATTTTCATACAATCAACCGAGGCGAATGAGGTGCGCCACCCTGTATACAAAAATTAAACATATTAATTTTAAAGAACGTTAAATAAGAGTTACCACCCACCATTTTACACCAACTTTCTAAAAGAACAAATTCAAGGCAGAAGATAGACCGTAAAGTACGAAAATGCACAAAAAGATCATCTACAAATAAAAAGAGCACCAGTTAGTTTCAATACTACCCGTATAAACATAGTTTACAGTCAAACAAAATTGCGTATTTCAATGTCTTCATTTAAATGGCACATATTTTTTGAAACACCCTGTATATTTAATAGATCATATTTACTAAGGAGAAAAAATATTCCCAATAATTGCTACTAATAAACAACAAACTAGTTAATATAGACATTGATTTTTTTTATTCAACTTTGTTTGATATGATAGTACGAGAGCTAGCAACGTTGCAAAAACAAGTATTTTAAGACGTCTGGCTCTTTCATATATCTTTTACTATGCTCTCTGGAACAGCATGCGGCCCGTCTGGCTGCCGGTAAACGTTGCGTTCCCTACTGCGCGTTGAAAGAAGATCCTATATTTTTATTAGTCCTTTAAATTCTAGTATTACATTTTAATCGAACATTTCTCCATAGCGCAGTGCGTAGAGTTTCCGACCACGAACCGATGATTCAGAGTTCGAATCCGGGTCAGGGCAAAGACTTTTTTATTTTATTTTCGTTTATTTCTGATAGTAAAGTCACAAATTAACTACAACAGATGCGAAAGAACACCGAATTACGCGTTCAGGTTTCTGTGACCTTCAGAAAGAGTTCATAGACAATCCGCTTCGATGTATAGTTTGGGTTATTATTTGTTTGGGTGAAAATAATCTGCACCAATATGTTATCGAGGCATATAATCTCACAGTAATTTAATAGATTGCTCGTCATATTATATCAGTTCGTAGGAGATTAGGAAAAAAAAAAGATATTTATAGTATAAAAAATTAATTTATTTAACAAAATTTAATTAAAGATGTGACAAAATAGTTACTTTTCTATTGGTTCTATCGGACTTTTTTCGACTATATAAGTCTTTATTTTTTGTAAACTTTAATGCATAAAATATTTTCAATCTAATAAATAATTTAATGATGTAAATAAGAGGAAATTTCTCACATGGATGGTCAAATTCTATAGTTTTCATTATATCAAACAGCCTCTGAATGTTTTCTTCAGTGCAAAACTCATCAAAATTTAATATAAATAATTTTTCCATTTCCAGTACATAAAATGAACAAATTTTTCCACTTTCATGATCAAAGGCTTTTAAATGGGTAAATAATTTCGAGTTATCCAGAGATTCGGATTTTTTTGCAAATTTTAGACAAATATCACATTGATGTATTTGAAGGCCCTTTTAATTGATGTAGTCAAACATAATTAAAGGCATTTTGAGTTGAAAACATTTCTCAGAGGCTGTTTGATATAATGAAAACTATAGAATTTGACCACCCATGTGAGAAATTTCCTCTTATTTACATCATTAAATGATTTATTAGATTAAAAATATTTGATGTATTAAAGTTTACAAATAAAGATTTATATAGTCGAAAAAAGTCCGATAGAACCAATAGAAAGGTACTATTTTGTCACATTTTTAATTAAATTTTGTTAAATAAATTAATTTTTTATACTATAAATATCTTTTTTTTCCTTATAAATAAACACATTTGTATCCCATTTTAAATAAGATATACCGTATGATCGAATAAAAACGGCGTCAGCGATGGCTATGAAATGAAGATCGCTGTCATTTTATATGTAAATTTATATAGGAAATGCCATCGATCGTCATTTCCAAGCCAACTGGACGCCGTTTTTATTCGATCATACGGTACAAATTACCAAAACTTAGAAATAACAGTTCAAAAGTTCAACAAAAATCCTACACCCGTTTTTAAAAAGAAACATATAACCATGCACTATGTCATTCCAGCAAGCGAATACGACACAGCATAGGTTTCCGGACTAAACGACTGGTGTATTTACACCACTCAATAGGCGTGTGGGGTGTGCTGAGCGGTTTCCGATGCAGTCGCTTTCTTTCGCATCTGTTATAGGTAATTTGTGGTAAAGTATTAAATATTTGTTTTTTTTTTTAATTACCAGAATTATTTAATACTTTACTATCAGTATATAAACGAGAATAAAATTAAAAAGTCTTTGCCCTGACCCGGATTCGAACTCTGAATCATCGGTTCGTGGTCGGAAACTCTACGCACTGCGCTATGGAGACATGTTCGATTTATGTTCAATACTAGAATTTATAGGACTAAATTAATAAAAAATATAGGATCTTCTTCCGATGCGCAGTAGTGAACGCAACGGGTATCGGCAGCCAGACGGCCGCATGCTGTTCCAGAGAGCATAGTAAAAGATATATCAAAGAGCCAGACGTTTTAAAATACTTTCTCGAAAACGTTTAGACTCTTAGACTATGAGTTACTGTAAAGTACCAAAATTAGAACTACCAGATGTGAACACAGGACCAAACTTACCTTTTTTCATGGTACCAGGACTTCTTAAAATGATAACAATCAAAGCAGCATCGACTAAATAGTGCAGGACAGGATTAACATAGATTTGTAACATTACAAAAGGTACAGAATATGCTATAGTGTCCTCTGTTAAAGAATGCCCTTTTAATTTATTTGGATTCACTGGCCCAACAACAATTTTGTTCTCCACTAATCCTATTCTATCATCTATTTCATAGATTAAATTCGAATGAACTTTTAGACATTCGTTTATATCATTTTGTATATCAGTTATAAATATTCTTGCACCCCATTCTTGTAGTATCTCTTTCAAAGCATTCATTTCAAACACTAGTTCTTTTCTACTTATAAATTTATTTCCTTTGGTTAAATTATAGTTCATCACCCAAGAAACGAGATTAAAACAACTAAGAACGGTACTTTTTTGTTGTCTCTGTACTATTTCATGTGCCAGAGGGGGTATATATGCTTTTTCTTCTTCTGTGATTTCCTGAATGTGTAAAGGGCCAAAACTGTGAGCTGTTCTGTCTAGTTTTGCTCCAAAGTACTCCCTTATCGATATAGGTTTGTCAAAATGAATATACATATTTCCAAAATTTTCTTTAATTATTTTCAGCGACTTGAAAAATCCCTAAAATTAAAATAATTGTCACAAAAATTGAAAAAAAAAGACGTCATGGTGACCTATGAAATGACAATCTTCTCTATTTTCACGAAATGTTTAATTTTTACTCAATAATTTTTTATTTTAGGTCGCTTCTCTGGAAACTATATTATTTTTTCGGCAAATTATCATAGATAATCATTTCAGAAGCTACTGTGACACCGTTTTTTTTTTTTAGTTTTACTTACAGATGTACTTTCTTTTGGCTTGGGTATTCCTAACAATTCGAAACTGAACAAGCTTTCCTCTAATATTCTGTCATAATTAATACTAACAGGTACGAAAAGGATGTCGGGTACTTGTCCCAGGAAAAAGGCTTTTAAAATCATCATTATCAAGCCTGCAATGGAATATATACAGGGTGAACCAGTGTTTATCAAAAAGTGTAATTTTCAGATTTTCACTCAAACCTAGTGTATTTTCGTATCAATTGATACCTAGTTTTTAAAAAAATACTAACTACATACATATACAGGGTCCGGCAATAGTGCGTCGGGCATCTGTAGCTCCTAAAATATAAAACTTAAGAATTTTGTTTAAGTGCAGACCTAAAGTATGTACCAGGATGTATTTCAGGAAAATATTTTAACTTCTATAGGGTGGCTCAAAAAAGTGTGAGTGGACCTGGATGATTTTTTTAAATGGAACACCTTGTATATTATTGCATTTTTGGCTTCCTTTCAGATCACTTTACATAACCCTAAGATATGAATAAATATATTTCGATAGTTTCAGCGATAATTAAAAAATAAATCAAAAATATATATTTTTTAGCCCTTCTTAAAAAAATTATTAAAAATTCAAGAACTGTTCTGAAATCAAAACTATGTTAGGTATTTACTTTAGATGGTCCGTCCTTACTTTACTATAAATTTGGTAATCGTAAATCATACAGGATGTTCAATATTCTACGCCAAACTTTCTAAAATATAAAATATTTTTCTTTGTTTTTTTTAAATGGAACACCCTGTATATTATTTTTTCATTAGATGGAGGGTTAAAAAATGAACATTTTTTGTATTTAGAGTATTTCAAAATTTTTTACGGTTTCGCAGATACACGCAGTATTATTTCATATGGCGCTTTCAGTGGTAAAATTCTAGAGAAAAATCATTGTGTGTCTGTGATAAAAATTTACTGTGGAAAATGCCATATGAAATATAAAACCGCAAATATCTGCGAAACCGTTACAAATTTTGAAATATTCTAAATACAAAAAATGTTCATTTTTTAATTCTCGGTCTATTGAAAAAATAATATACAGGGTGTTCCATTTAAAAAAACGAAGAAAAATTATTTTATATTTTAGAAACTTTGGCGTAGAATTTTGAACATCCTGTATGATTTACGATTTTCATAATTATAGCAAAGTAAATACAGGCCATCTAAAGTAAATACCTAATATAGTTTTGATTTCAGAACAGTTCTTGTATTTTTAATTTTTTTTTAAATAGGACTGAAAAATATATATTTTTGATTTATTTTTTAATATCTCTGAAACTATCGAAATATATTTATTCATATCTTAGGGTTATGTAAAGTGATCTGAAAGGAAACCAAAAATGCAATAATATACAGGGTGTTCCATTTAAAAATATGATCCAGGTCCACTCACACTTTTTTGAGCCACCCTATAGAAGTTAAAATATTTTCCTGAAATAAATCCTGGTACATACTTTAGATTTGCACTTAAATAAAATTCTCAAGTTTTTTAATCTAGGAGCTACAGATGCCCGACGTACTATTGCCGGACCCTGTATAAAATGCTAATGTTTATCTGTGTCGTCTCTACTGAAGTAACAACTTGCTCTAGAAAGTTGCTTTTTTTACTAAAAGATAGCTAATTGGCTTTTCTAAAAACTGTCGTCGCCGGATTTTTTGTTTTTCATTTAATTAAAAAAATATAAAAAGTATTTTTTTTTTTCCTGATGCGCCAGGCTTCAACTAGTTATTAAATATTTAAAAAATATATTTATAAAATAATTAAAGCATAAAAAAAACACCAATTTTCATCCAAATATTGACGTTACTTCAGAAATTATTTGGAAAAAATCGAAATAAAAATGCGAATATTATTACATTTATACGAACTTTTTTACTTATTTTTATCTGCAGAATATGCTGCCGTAGTTTCCGGAATACAGTTCGGAACACCCTGTATTTCATAAAAAAAAGATTGGCGTAAAAATCTCACATGGAAAACATCACATTTTTAGGACACTCACTTATTCTGTATTATTAAATTCTATAGTTTGTCCAGCGACAGTTGTGTCATCATTTTTTTTTCTGTCATTTTTTGGATGTGATCTGTCGATATTTTCCCTAACTTGTTGGACAGACTATAGTTGAACTTATACAGGGTGTCCCAGAAATAAGTGCAAGTGTTTTAAGGGCTGGTTGGCAGATCTCGATAAAAGAAACATATTTTCTCTCTATCGTTTTTCAAATAAGTCCAAAATAACGGTGTTATTTTACTTTGAAAATTTCCAAAAAAAAAATATTTTTTGCTAAAATTTTGAGATGGATCTTTTTCGGATTTTCTTTCTTGTAAATTTAATGTAATACCTATGTTGCCATACTGTCAAGAAATTATGTTTTTTAACTAAAAACTAAAAAAATTTCCAAAAAATTTTTCAAAAAATTTTGAATTTTTAAAAAAATGTTTTCGAGAAAGAAACCTCTTAGGCGTGTTACTGATGCATTTATTTCTGTGACACCCTGTATGAGCGACAAGAATATTAAAAAAAACTTACCGTATTTTGGAGCTAAGCTCTTATTACTTCTACTTCTAGTTCCCTCGATAAAAAACTCAATTGGCTCATCACCATTTGCTACCAACTGATAAATATACTCTTTAAAAGTTGGCCAATATATCGGATCACTGTTTGAAGCCCTTTTAATGTAAAAAGCTCCAGTATTTCGCAGCATTTCACCCATGCCCATCATCCCATGAAAATCTAATATATTTTTATTTTATTTTAATAATCTTCAAGCATGAAATCTTACTTTAAACTTACCCATAGCCGCTGCAATGGCTGGAATTTCCAAGTCAAAGGTAAAACAGATATAGGAGAACAAAATGAAATCTGCGTAACTTCTGTGAGATGGCACGTATATCACAGGACAGTCACCCATTCGGTTTTTCAGCTAAAATTGCATTAAAACAAATTAATGTGATATATACAGGGAGTTTTGAAAAACAGGTGCCATCTCTTGTGGCTATGACAACTTTGGTTCAAAAATATAGTTGAATCGCCCTGTATATCTATGAAAATATTTTTAAAATGTGCAATACTATTGCCTGCATATTTTACAAAAAACAAATAAAGTAAAATTCTCAAATAGGAGACAAATAATCTCAAATAGGAGATCAATGTTGAGCTTTATTTTAAACACTTTTTTCCCCCTGTGTATAACGAGATCCTAGAATATCATTGTTAAAAAAACACTTAAAAATCACTATCTACATAAATATCTATTATATTAACCTTTGTCCTTCATTTTTGTGTAATCAAAAAATACTTTTTAATAATTATGTTTATTTATTTAGGTATCTTATTTACCCAATATTAATAGATTTTTTATTAAAAAACATATTATAATTAATTAACTCAATTTAGACAAAACTTGTTTACCTCTGCTACACCTTCATAATTAACATAAATACCCGTACAAACTCTCAGACATATTTTTGTCAAAACTAGAGCTAGCCATCGTATAATTTTCATATTTTTCTTGTATCCGATTTCATCTAAAATTTGTCTTACATCGTTTTCAATATCTTTTTTATTTACATTCTTACGCTGGCTTATCTAAAATGGGAAATTAAACTTCCTTAAATTATATGCCCTACTTTTTTTGTACTATATACTACTGTAAATAACTATAACTTACCCACCTCTTCTATTAAATTTCGAATTTTAAGACTCTTTAATACAGCATATTTATGTGACTCTGGAGTTGGTTTGGGATTTATAACCACAGGGTATTTAATATTTAACTGTCTCGAAGCCCAAAACCAGTTGCTGAATTCTGCCCTTCTTGCACTCAGAATATCTTCATATTCCTTCTGATATAAAGTCATTATTAATTACTGAATTTTGTAGCAGTTTCATATAAAAAAGTATGTATTTTTATACATAATATCGCTGCTAAGCTAGGTAAAACTACACTGAAAACAAATCTTCGACTTCATTGTTCAAAGATTGAGAAATAATTTGAATAACTTGATTTTAGTGACGATCGGGGACAAGGTTCGTTATTTGTACGATGACGCGTGTTGTTAACAATTAATTACGAAATATTTTGTTAATTTATAAAAATTCGCTTTATTGTTTATTTTAATTTTCTGTCTCTGTCATTTTTCTGTCGGCTGTCGGCCACCTGGCGACCTGTTTCGATATTATTACGAATTGTATTTTTAGTTGCATAAAAATTCTGTTTTAACTAGTAATTATTTTGATTTCACCATTGGCAACAATGAGGAATCACAAGTGTCAAAGTCAAATATTTAACAAGTGTCAAATGTCAAATAAAATAATAGAATAATAGAGGTTAGGATAAATTTAAATTTATTTTTTATTTGTTTTTAATGAAATGTTACTGTAATTATTTGTAATATACTAATTATGGAACAATACTGGCATACAGTTTCAAGTGCTGGAACATTTCAATTCAAAATAAGACCTGTTTTTGGGATAGACTCCCTAAATTTACAAATATTCGAACCAAAGCAAGCTTGGAGCGCAAATGTGTAATATCTGATTATTTATCAGTATTATTTTACTTTTCTGCTTGATTTTAGATTAAGAAAAATGTATTGGAAGAGCAGTCGAAGAAACACCAGACCGAGGTTTCGAGTTATTTGAACAATGTAAAGAATTATTTAAAACACCATTCTGATGATGTTGAATTGAAATTTGTTGAAGGGCATTTTACTGTTCATGTTTTGCTTAAAAACAAAATGAAGCTTTTATATTTTGAAGCAACAATGCTTAAAGTCAGTGTAATTGTATTAGACTTGTTTACATTCATAGTAATTAATTTTTAGACTGATTTTGGCACAAGTTTATTTGAAGTAACCGACAATTTCTATGAGAATAATACGAAACATTTGAAAGAATTAATGGAATTGAAAAATCAAAATAGTAAACTTAAAGAAAGTAATGATTAGATAGTAATATGTGAGATATTTAATTAAATTATTCCAATTATATATTTTAGATAATGAAAGATTGAAGATAAAGCTTGAAGAATTTGTAGAAAGAAAAAACAAGGATGAACAAGAACTGTTATCAAAATTCCTGATGTTGCTGAATGAAAAAAAGAGACAAATTCAGCACTTAAATGATCTGTTATTGGCTTTTAAAAAAGGCAGACCCGTGACAAATCCTGTTAAACCCACTAAAATTGGTAAGAAATCTGGTAAAAATAAGCCTGTTCCTCAAACACCGATTAGTGAAAGTGAGTCTGAAGATTCAAACAATACAGACTATGAGACAGATAGTGATAGTAGCAGTAATGAAGACCAACCAGTAATTGTTGAAAGTAAAAAGAAGCTTGAGATTGAACCGAAGCCAAGTACATCGAAAACAAAGTTCTGTTTTGATGATGATTCACCTCCTTTACCTTCACTAACCAAAAGACTACGAATAAGTAGTGACTCTAGTCTTAATACTACTCCGGAAAATACCAAATGCGAGAAAAGTAAAGGAGAAATAGTTGAAAGTGAAAGTGCTAAAGCTATAAGCACAACTATAGAAAATACAAAAACAAGTAAAGAAGAAATAGTAGAAAGTAAAAGTGCTAAAGCTCCAAGCAGTGATTTTATGGAAGAATCACCAACTGTTGATTTTAACACACAAGAATTACTTGATAATATGTAGTTATAAGGTAATAAAGTATTTTTTAAACATTTAGGGCAGTCTCTTTCATTAAACCAAAAGTATGCAACTAGTGATACAATTAATAGACAACAAATATAATAACTAATAATAAACTAATTGTTGTTTTGTTTTAACGTAATAATAAATACGTAGAACGAATGAATCACAGAATATACTAACGAAAAGAATGAATCAACTAGTGAATCTTAAAAATATTCAAACATCCCGCTCGAGTGTCATATGTCAGTTGGCTGCGCTGCCACATTGGCATTTCATTACGTCAGTCATTGTTGAAGTACCATTTTGTATGGTAGACGTCCTAAATTTGTGTACTTTTTACTCGATATTTTTACGTTTTTACTGCAATTTACCGTGGAAAATCGTGCAATAACGAACAAACCACCTTTCGAAATCAAATTAGAAGTGAATCAACACAACACACCATGAATCCCGAATAGTGAGTATCGATTTTATTTATCTTTTGGTCCAAAGGAACAATCAACTTTTGTCAAATCGTTTTTTTCTCTACCAAATTGCGCAGTTTGTATGCAGTTTTTCTTTAAATACAAATCCCGTTACGTCTGTCCCATTTTTCATAGTTTTCGATAAAGAAATATTAGCGATTTGGGAGTGAAAAATAAGTTTTATGATAATGGTTCCACCCACTGGCTAGGCTACCGTGAAGGGTGAATTACAATAAGCACGTCATTGTACTATGGAGATTTTTCTTGTCTGTCATTTTTTTTATTTACCAGTCTAAAATCCTTTATTATTAAAGTATTCGTACTTTGTTTTTATTAGTTTTAAGTTTATTGTCCACGTCTTTGTTTTGAATGGGAGTCAGCATCGATGACAATCGCCCAGTTCTGTCATCTGTTCCTGGTTTTAAATCCTATTTGTTTGATAATAAATATCATGACTCAATACAATATCGAAATGCACGATATTTTTATAAAACAATCAAGATTTTTTCTACAAAAATAAACAATTTCTAGACCATTTCAAGGTTTACTAATATCATTAATGACTTATGATATTTTACCAATTTTTGTTTGGCAGATCTCATGTTTATTAATATTTCACAAGGTTAAAGAGGAGTAGGTATATTTTTTAGATTAGTAGAAAATAATGCTTATTCTTAGCTGTGTATTCACTTAATTACCTTTGCTTAAACATTACATTGAGCTTTATTGCTTTTTATTTGAATTATTTATATTAAATTAACTACCAATGTACCTTTTAGAAGTTTCTTTTTATTGTTCAAGTTAAGTAGGGCATGTTTTATTATCTATCTACTTGTATTAGAGTAACTTTTTAATTAGAAACAAAAAAATCATTAACTGTTGTTATTCCTTTGAAGATTTTTTCTATTTTGCTCTGAAAGTAATCATTTTTATTTTTAAAAATGTAATTTAATGTAGTAATTAGTATTTTAGTTGCTCTGTTTATAGTTAAGTAGCTGTTGGGTTCCTACTAATGTTTTTTTTCTAAAAATCTTGCTTTGTTTGACTAGCTAGTAAAACTATTTTACCAAAAATGCTGTAATTAATTGGTTTTTTATTTTCAGCGATTATTTATTTAAACTTTTACTTATTGGCGATTCTGGCGTGGGCAAATCATGTCTCTTATTACGATTTGCGGTAAGAACATTCATAATTTTGTATTTTAATAAATTATTATTTATATTTTTGTCATTTTTTAGGACGATACTTACACTGAAAGCTATATTAGTACAATAGGAGTAGATTTTGTAAGTACATAGTATAGTTATTTTAAATATCTTTAAAAAATACTTTTATCTCAATCTTAAGAAAAGAATTGTTTATTTTTTTTGTTTTAAAACACCTAAATTTACTGTAATTCAATTCAGTTGTCTTTGAGATGTTTCTTGATTACAGAAGTATTCATATCTTGACATAAATATTATCTTAGATGAATGGAAAAAATAATAGGTATCTCTTTTTTTTCTTTAGAAAACCCTAGATAGAAATTTAAATATTTATGACTTATGTGTATACCTAAAAAATGTAGTTTGTTAAATAAATATTTGGCCTTTATTTTAGGTTTGGGGATAAACATATCAATTTTAAAAATCTTTTACAAAAATGTAGCTATATTTATAGAACAAATATAAAAACTTCAGGATTGTTTTTCATAAAGATTGCTAGAACAAAAGTCTCTGAAAATCATAGTATTTTATTTTTATTTTGTTGAATAGTGTTGATTGTTAATTTTTTGTGTTTTTTCGTAGAAAATCAGGACTATTGACTTAGATGGAAAGACTATTAAGTTGCAAATTGTAAGTATGAAAATTAATTAATTATATTTTTACGCTAAATAATATTCGATACACGTCATAGCTTTTGACGATGCTAGGTGACGGCAGTGTTGCCGCGTGGTAACCAAAATTCTGGAGATTTTTATTTTTTCTTATTAAATGTTTTATATACAGAGTGTCCCAATATTCCGTGGACATAGAAGTACTACGTATTTTTGGAACAAAATTAAGTTCATAGGGCACAATTTACCTCTGTACAAAAGTGCGTCGTTTGTCCGCTAATCCGCTAAAGAGCATCAAGTTTATAAAAATAAACAAATTTACAAAAATAAACACATTTTTTCAGATAATTTAAGAACCGTTATTCCGATTTGAATGAGATTTTGGGTGTCTATGTTTTGCTACGTGCTTTAACACTTGACTTTCGCAAAAATCGAGAAAAAGTACGGGAAGGGTAAAAACTACCCCCACTCCTATATAAAATTTAAAGAATAGAATGAAGAAAAAGAATGTTTTTTGTCGCATCAAGCTATGAAGACGCTTAAAATCTATTATGCTCTAATAATCTAGTTAGCGAAAATATGGGATTTTATGTTAGTTTCACAAATAATATTTGACAATAAGCTTCATAAAAAACTTAAAATTAATTAATGTTTATTTTTGATTGATACCCTTTAACAAACGAAGCACTTTTATATAAAGGTAAATTATGGGCAATTAACTTATTTTGTTTAAAAAAATACCTAGTTGGTCTATGTCCACAGAATATTGGAACTCACTGTATGTTTTGTAAGTCTGCTTTGGACGTTCCCATACATAACAGCGACCCTGTATATGTTAAACCTACAATTAGGGTGTATTCCGTTGCAAAACCAGGCGAACCAGACCGGTAAACTACGGTAAAGAACGGTTCCTGAAAAACATCGGTTGGATACGGAAAAGTTTGGTAAAATATTGGAAACGTCAAATGTTGACGTTTTCTAAATTTCAATACCTCTATTGTAAAATTTATCTTTTATGCATTTTTAATGTACCTATTCTCTGCTTTTACGTTTGCTTCTTCTTTTCAGTGGAGTTTAATATTGAAAAGTACTTTATTAATAAACTGTTAAACTCGTTAGACAGCTGAAGTGAAGATTTGCAGGTCCAATATTAAAACAGATCAATAATAAATAAACAAATCTAATCAGTATTTATATTTTTATAGCTTACAAAACAATCACGATTACTTGTTGTCTTATTTTTCATGTTTCCTTTAAATGTTCCTGATTTTAAGAAACAATGGCTGGCATGATAAGTTTAAATGATCCTAAAAAGTAATCCTATTTAGTTAATGAAATTTATTTACTTTTACTGCCTACCTCCACTGCTTTTGGATGTAAATACAAAATATTATTACAAATTTTAGAAATTAAATGAGAATTTCACTCGAACTTCCAATATTTGCTTGATTTCTGTCACATAAATGACATTGATTGACAAACAAAACCAGAAAAACCAGCCTTCTCGCGCTGGTTAGTTTGGTGACAGTTATAACCGAATTTTTCAGGAATCGTGTTCCGTAATAAGAAAACTTTCGGGAAACCGATAGAAACCGAACATAAAACCATAACCAAGGTAAGCAACGGAATACACCCTAAAATACTAATCCTTTTTTTGGGATTTTAGTGGGACACAGCGGGTCAGGAACGGTTCAGAACGATCACCTCGAGTTACTACAGGGGGGCCCACGGTATAATCGTCGTGTACGACTGCACAGATCAGGACACGTTCAACAACGTCAAACAGTGGCTCGAGGAAATCGAACGTTACGCTTGCGACAACGTTAACAAGCTGCTGGTCGGCAACAAGAGTGATCTGACCACGAAGAAGGTGGTCGATTTCCAAACAGCTAAAGTAAGTTCTCTGTTCTACTCTTTTATTTATTTATTTATACTGATGTGTAGTAATCCGTCTATTGTAATCGCAAAACATTTTCCGATGCACGCATAGATAAATGAAACAAGTTTAGATTGGAAAGTGCCCATAAGGACAATGTAAACACTATTTGGCGCTATTCTTGCAACGGTCGCGACCCAAAACTTTTGAAAATTTCGGAGCGGTTCGGCTTTTTCCGGAATTATATCGCCAAATATTGTTTATTCAAATTTATTATTATTTTCGTTTAATTTTATAAATAAAATACAGTGTGTTGCATACAAGAAACTTTATTTTATATATAAGGTCGCATGTATGAAATACCTATGAAACATTGGAAACCGACGTTATGCCACGATCCACGATGATTTTGCAGTTCACAGTTCACAGCACAGCTTTTTAAGTTTTTAATGCCACTTTTTCATAATTATTACCGGTTGGAGTAAATAAAACTTGAATTAAACTCACAAGATAGCAATAATTACTTTGAAAATGGACGCTATAAACACTTTTCGGAATTTCTTTAATGAGAGCGGTTTAGATTTTTTGAAAGATTATTATGTATTAGTTTTGAATATTCTGACTTTGACATGAGAAAATAATTTCTGTTTTTGTTTGCCGTTGTTCTTAGCGACCGCTATAGCAGCGCCAGATCGCGTATAACGGTCGCGACCCAAAATTTTTACGGGCTTTCCAATCTAAACTTGTTGCATTTATCTATGGATGCACGTCATCAATGATATCGACATTGACACTAAAGTCTACAAACCTGACTAAATGAAATTTTGGCAAAAATGTCTAAATTTGTTGTATAATTTAAGATACCGAGCAGCTCTTCGTTTTACTTCATAGAGTAAATGACTAAAGTAAAATTTTGTCGCCTACCCAGTCCCACGGATCACGAGCCGTTACTGGCATAGTGTACAGGGTGTTTAAAATGTTTAAAACATCGCAACGCTAGTTATAATGGACTGTAAGAAAAGCACCGTAATTTTTTCGCCTCTTCAAGGAATACGCCGACCAGCTGGGCATCCCCTTCCTGGAAACCTCGGCCAAGAATGCGACCAACGTGGAACAGGCCTTCATGACCATGGCGGCCGAGATCAAGAACAGAGTGGGTCCGCCCAGCTCAGCGGCGGATCAGGGCGGCAAAGTCAAGTTCGACCAGAGCCGTCCGGTCGAGTCGACCAAGTCGGGATGCTGCTGAAAGGGATTTTTATTTTAATTTTTCATTCGTGGTAAGTGGCTAAATAAGTATCCCCTATTACTAGTGTTTTACAAAAGTAGAGTTTACTTAAGTGTCATTTAAAATCGTTGAACAAAAAGACTAAGGATGTAGTATGCCTAGATCATGGTACAAAGAAAACAAGGTATGATCGATTGCGGCTCCAATTTCGTTAAGTTTGCGCATACCACCTGTGACGTCATACGTCATACAAAAAATATCCATATTGTTCAATTGCCATAACCCCAAAAGTTTTGTCAAATCGGCGAGTTTGACATTTGAAAAATTATTTTCACATTTATTGTGTCATCTGTTTGACAATTTGAAATTGGCGCGCGGAGCTTGCCGACCAGTGGTGCCGTTTATCACCTGAGACGTAGTGACCAACCTGCGCAATATCATACCTTGTGTTCTTTGTATCATGCTTTGAATAAGAAGACTAAGGAAGGAGCATATCAAAAATCTTAAGTACATCGCGATGGGCCTCAAATATGGCCAATTTAAATTCCGGTTTATCAGTGTCGTTCTAATTTTATTTAAAAAATGTAAAACTATGATGTAGGGTAGACGTGGGGTAGACTCAATAATTTGTTGTTTTATTTTACGTTGTGAATAAATGTTGGTAGTTATTAAAATTGTTATAAAAATATATAATTCTAATAAAAATAGATAAGTTATAATAAGTATTTATTACCACAAACATCCGATACGCTACTGAAGCAGGTAAGTCAAATTAACGTATCTAAATTCTTTGACATCTAATCTTTGACAAGTAATAAATAAAAGTTAAAATGCAAGAAAAATATATAATTTAGTTAATTTAAGTGAATTTCATAAATGATCGGTTTACTACACGTATGTATATTATATAGTCACTTACTAGCGAAAAGTTGTTCCATTATTTCACTCAATTTTTGCCGAGATTTTATTTTTATTTTTAGCCAATTTTTTTTACCCAGTAGCGTATTTCAATATGATCTTATCATTTATCACTGTATAATAACTTTGTTGTGGCAGAAAAATATACCAGTTAGTTTCAAAATATTATTTTTTTTCAAACGTCACAAAAGTATTAATTTTTGCGACGTGATTGACAAAAATAATATAAAAGTAAAGCACTTTACGCCTAAGCATAAAAGTATGAAAATATATTATTAAAATGACATAAGTCTCAAATTCAACGAGCCGTAACCATAGTTTCTCGATATATAATTACTCATGGTACAAAGAAAACTTGAAAACAAGGTATGGTCGATAGCGTCTCCAATTTCGTTCAGTTTGCGCATATCGCCTGTGACGTCATATGCCATACAACAAAATATCCGTATTGTTCAATTGCCACTAATAAAAAAAGACCTAAAATAGGAAAGAATTAAATAACCCCTAAAGTTATGTAAAATCATCGAGCTGGACATTTGAAAAGTTATGACACATTATACACATTTATTATGTGTCATCTGTTTGAAAATTTGAAATTGGCGCGTGGAGCTTGCCGACCAATATTGCCGTTTATCGCCTGTGACGTGGTGACCAACCTGCGCAAGATCATACCTTGTTTTTTTTGTATCATGATAATTACTTACAAGGTATGAGTTTTAAATATTTTCATATTATTTGGAACGTTTGAAATTGTTTAAAACATTATTTGTGGCGTTTGAAAAAAATAGCATGTTCTATTCAGAGTAAAAATGACTTTTGTGCTTCGGCTGTATGTTTAAAGTATGTCAAACCTACAGTCTCGCCACGAAAAGTGTCATTTTTACTCCTAATAAAACAATATACTAGAAAGTTTTATGGTTTAACGGGCTTTGTGAGTTAAAACATAATGATATTTTCAGTTTTTATAATTCTTGATCGAAAATAAACGGCGTCAGCGATGGCTATGAAATGAAGATCGCTGTCATTTTATATGTAAATTTATGTGGGAAATGTCGTCGATCGTCATTTCCCTGCCAACTGGACGCCGTTTTTTTTCATATGGTACAAAGTTAAAGCAAACTTGACTCTAACCATGTTTTACGCTAAGAAAGGTTTATTTCGTGTAATAAAGATTTAAATGGTGTATTAAGTACATAATATTTATTTAAATGTCAAATAATATTATTGAAACAAGTGCCAAGTTTTATTTTTAATTAAGAAAAAAATTGTATAAATGTTTTGTTTTCAAAAAAAAAAATTATCTTAAATTCGTAAAACCTCAATTTAGAATAAAATGATCGAAGAATGAAATAAAATTTTATAGCCCTGGATCAAATCGAATTAAAGTAAGTGTATGTAACTTTTTTTAAATATTAATAATTACCAGTAATTAACATTAATGTACCAACATATTGAAAATTGTTATTTCTTTGTTAAATACGGTTTAGAATCCTTAAAATAACAGCAAAAATAATCGAAAATCAACAATGAAATAATAGTTTTGTTCAAATTTCTTAATCAGCTGAGCCCTATTATAGTTCGCAAAAATCCGAGCTATATTATTACATTACTCTGAGGGAAATACCGCAAATAATCGATATTTTTGACTCCGCCCCTAATCACATGCTTCATTCTTTTAAAGCTTTACGATTTGTTCACTAGAGGCAGCACATTTTGTCGAGAGGTTGACCAACTTTAAGAATATATAAACAAGGGTATAATAAACAAATTATGAAATATGAAAGTAGTTTCGAAAAATGTAATAATATACCGGGTGTTCCATTTAAAATGACAAAAATGCTACCACTTTTAGTATGAAGCGCTAACACTGTAAAGCTGAGAATAATTTAGACAGATAGAGCAGCTACAGCAATAGTCCAATTTTTTTAAAAAATCTTATCAGTGTCATGGCCGTGAATCACCCTGTATATCTCTGCTCTTTCCTTAAGCCTTTTTATTCAAAGCTCTAGACGCAGTAGTTTAACAAACTGATTTTTTTAACACCTTATTTTTTTAAAATGATCATTACTTAACTGTGACTACTATTCTTAATATTTTTCTTTTATTTTTTTTAGGTTTAAGTGGCGAAAACTCATCTTTTAATTCTTTTTTTTGTACGGTAGTCGACGACAGTGCGCTACGTGTTATATTAGTAAAGTATCCGTCTACATGTATAGTTATATTTCTTTGCAAGTTCATATCCAAAATAATTGAAATAAATAAAAAACACAACAAAAAGAAAATTCGTAAAAATTTGTAATATAAAATGTAACAAAACAATTAAAAACTTATATCTATAGCCTAATGAAAATGTCTAGTATTTTTTTTCTATTCGTTATTTATTAATCGATCGATGGAAGAAAAATAAACGCCCTGTGTATAATAGCGGACTTTTTTGAAACAAGAGGGACATAATTGTAACTTATCAGAGATCTTAACATAACGTTTTAAGATTGAATTTCCATATATTTGTGATGATGTGTTTATTTTGGTCTTTTTTTGTTTTTTGAAAGCTGCAAACTGATTTTTTTTTTGTTAATCTGTAGGTTTATTTTAATAGAAATATACTTCACCTTATTACAAGTGTGGTTTATTTATAATCCCTTTCCTCGGTGTTAAAAATATAGTTTTGTCTGGATGTAGGTTGGCTAAAAATATTTTTTTTATATATGACAAACTAACTTAGCGCATTCTCCGCCATATATAATTATAATTTTAGAAGATATTCATAAAAAAAATATAAGCACTAGTTGATTAGGATATATGCAGAAAATCATTAAAATATACATATAGGCAACCAGTTATACATCACTAATTTTTTAATTGAAATTATGTTCTAGGATTAGTTTTTATAGCTACATGTTTTACAGATGATTCTATAAATGAAACGAATATAAAAATATAACACAATATTTTATTTTAATCATATTTGCAATTGGTAAATCAAAATATTGACTTATTCAAACATGGAAGGCATATAAATACTCACTCTAGATGTGTTAAAAACTTAATAAAGATTATTTTATAAAACAATATACATGTAGAGCATGATAAATTATAAAAAATCATTAAAAAATAATTTCTAAGCAGATAAAATTGTACTTTTCTCAATAAATTGATTTCTAACATTTTTAAAATTCACTATAGTCTGTCTGACGAGAGAGCACATGACAGTGACGGTTGCGTCTGTCAAAATCTTACCTGACGCGTCGGACAGACTATCTGTATTTTATACAGTGACAAAAAAGTATAACAAAAATATAATTGAAGAAAAAAATAATTGTCTTTATTGGAATGAATGTCTAAAAAGGCATTTACTATAAAATTATTTAGGAATCTGTAACAAAAAAGTTTAAATAAAGAAAAATAATAAGTTCACCCCTTGAACTTAAGTATTTCTATAACAAGTCTATTTTATTTTTAGTTTTATAGTTTAATACACGATTCTTTTAAACTTTTGTCAGTGCGATCTTTTGAAATCACTATCTACTTCAAAAACTACCATCACATGGGCGTATAGTCCAACTGTACGTAGAGTTGCTTGACTCCCACAGAAGCGAAAATCATTTGGGTGTGTTGCACCACGTACTTTGGATCCACGTTTTTCGACACTTCTAATTTTATAGCACCCACATAAACGTCACTGCACAATGTCCAAAAGTGGGGCTCCTGCACCGAATACACCCCTGCCAAACTTATTACCTTTTGGTAGCACTGGGGCAAAACATTGTCCAAAGCGTGGGGCTGTCTTTGCATTAATATAGCTAAGGAGTCTTTTATAAGGGCTAGAACACTAAGAGCGATCAGCAACGCGATAAACATCGAACAAATAGGATCGGCTATCATCCAGCCGAACATTTGCATCAAAACTGCTGAAATTATTACACCTACACTCCCTAGAAACATAATTTAACATTTAAATTATTTAATTGTATTAAGAACAACTTAATTTACCTAAAGTATCTGCTAAAATATGCAAAAACACTCCTTTCATAATTTGAGAGTTACCCCCTGAAGTATCTATGTCCATTGTGAAGTCATGTGAATGGTTATTGTGTGAATGACCATGTGAAGAGCCTCCATGTGAGTGATTGTGACCATGAGAACCGCCTCCGTGAGAATGCCCATGTCCGTGACCATGTTGGAAAGCATATATTCCGACAAGGTTTACTAAGAGACCTAGTACAGATATCACAAATAATCGCTCATGTTTCACCTAAAAATTAAATAGTTTGTATTCTCTATAAGCATGCTGAATTATTATTTACTTCTGGTGGTTCTATGGCCCTTTCTACTGCCTCTGACATTAAGAAAAAGGATATAAAAAGTAAAAACAACCCATTTACAAAACCAGCCAGAATTTCTGCTCTGACATAACCATAGGAATACTTATCGTTTGCTTTCCATTTTGTAATTACTGAAGCAAAAAGTCCAGCAATAAGGCCCGTACAGTCAAAAAACATATGAAATGAATCCGAAATCAAACCTAAAACAAATGGTCATAAGATTAACTGAATATTAATTAAATGAATAATGTTCCTACCTAAGCTGTTACTCCAGACACCATATATTAGTTCCACAAAAGCGAACGAGAAGTTTAGCATTAAAAACAAAAATAGATTCCTAGAGTTTCGATCAGAGAATATTAATCTAGCATAGCCGTTGACTTTTTCTTTTATCCTGGACCCGAAACCCCTATGGTAATTGTCTTTGTGCGACAGAGGTAACATATTGTTTGATGGTGAGTCAAAACGCTGGAGTTTTCCTTAAAACATTGTTAATCTGGACGTGAGCAAATTTTTCTGGGTGTGTTTATATAGTTTCCTTCGAATAAATTCGAAATGTGGTAATACTGTACAGAGAATTAATGAAATAATGAGTTATAATTTAAGTACTTTAGTTATAATCCTAGCAGCACTTGCAAAATATCTTAAAATGATTAAAAAATATATATTTTATTTTGAAATCAGCCGAGACCGGCTGCTAGTGAATTTTGCCATGTTGTCAATTTTTGACAGTGATGGATTTTCAGTGTGTACAATAGTTAAATGCAAAAGTTACCAAAAATATTATGCACAGATTAAAAAGTTTAATAGAATTTACGGTTGGTGAAATTGGTATTTTCAGAGTGTACAATAGTTAACTGCAAAAATTACCAAAAAATTTGTGCATAGATCAAAGAAAGTTTGACAGAATTTACGATTGGTAAATCTGGTTCCGTTTCCTTTCTCTTTCAGAAAAAGTCAACATGGTGAGTACGTCAATGTTTTTCGTAAATTAGTTTTAATTTTATTAAATAAACCCTTTGTCTTTTCAAATTCTAATAAATAATATTCGTTTCTAATTTTGGCGATTTTCTGTCTAGAAGAATTTGTTATCTTAATACCTGTTATTTAATTAAATACACAAAAGAGGTTAATTCAATCCGCGTGTGATGATAAAACTCTTTACAAGACATATTTCGTGGTTGTAAAAACTGATTTAATGAGTCTGATCGTTTCTTTTATATTGCTTGTTAATGCTTATTGAAACCTACAAGTTTACTGACATGTTTTCAGCCTCCAAAGAAGGATTCAAAGGCTGGGGCCAAACAGCCCCAAAAAACTCAGAAAAAGAAGGAAGGATCCGGAGGAGGAAAGGCCAAGAAGAAGGTAATTCATTCGTTTCACTAATAATTGAATTTTTAATAAGAAATTGTGAATTTATTTGTAGAAGTGGTCCAAAGGCAAAGTACGTGATAAGTTAAACAACCAGGTATTATTTGACAAGGCCACATATGATAAGTTATACAAGGAAGTACCATCGTATAAACTGATCACTCCCTCAGTTGTTTCTGAACGTTTGAAAGTAAGGGGCTCCCTTGCTAGAAGAGCCCTGATCGAATTACAACAGAAAGGTAATTTTGATTCCTAAAAATTAACGAGCTGAGATTTATAAAGTTATTTTGATGAATAATTATAATCTTTATTTTCTATGAAAGTAAAAACTGATTTAATGAGTCTGATTTGTCCTATATCTTACAAATTAACCTAGAAGTTATCGAGTATATTCTAAGTTGTGGTGATATGTTTTTTAGGCCTGATCAAACAAGTTGTCCAACACAGAGCACAGCTTATTTACACCAGGACGACAAAGGGAGACGATCCAGTTGCTTAATTTGTAAGAATATATTCTTAAATATATAATTTTAAGAAAAAATGTACTGTTTTTTTTTTTATAAACAACTCCTAGGAAAAATAAAACTTCAAACCTTACCAAGCTAAATATATTTTATTTATTACAATAGAACTTAAAGCTATAAAAAATAATATAAATCGCGACAAGCATTCCTATTATGAGTTTTTTAAAAATTAATTATTAATTAAATCAATGTAAAATAATTAGTTATTACTCTGTTATAAAGAAACAATAAAGAGACAGATAAAAAGAGAAGTAGAAGAATACTGTTCCATATAAAGGGTTAATAAAACTTATTGCACAAAATATCGGAGGAATGGTTGTAGTAAAAAAGATAAATCTTATTGGAGTAACAATAAATATAATTTATTAGAAAAAAAAATTATTTAGTACCTATACTTCAATTCTTCAGGCATGTTCTTGAAGATTGCAGTTGATATTAACTAGATTTTCCCTAAAATTAACACAATAAAAAAATCACAGATAATAGAAAGCTCATTATATACAGGGTAGCCCAGTTTTCTGAAAAAGCTTACTTAAAATATACTTACGTTTTGGTAAACGTTGGTATCACCGTTTTTAGTCTGTTCTACTCTTAATTGTTCTTTCAAACGATCTACTTCCTGAAACAAATAAATAGATCAGTAAATAAAAATCGTTTTAATAAATAAAATATGAAAAAACATACTTCTGACAATTTTTCTATAGTCGCTGTAGAATCCGCGTGGATCGTCTTAACTTCATGCTTGTTGCTGATCTGTTGACGTTCTTCTAAAAGTCTCTGGTTTTCTATCCGCTCTTGTTCTAACTGTTTCTCTAAGGAGGTAACTCTATTTTGTAGCTGAAATAAAAAAATTAAACATAAAAAATAGACCAAGAAGCTGTATAATCAACATCTTAATTTACTATTGTTGATTCTATATTATTTTGTATGTTACTTTTTAATATATCCACCATTATTTTATGACATATATTTACAACTAGTGACGAAAACGATAGAGACATCTAGGGGACAATTTCATAATACTACAATATATGAAGTACATAATACCGGGTGCATCTCAAAAGTGGCTCACCCCTATAACTTTTTTATTTTTTTAGTTAAAAAAACGAGATTTGGTATGTTTGTATATGACATAAATTAGGATTGATTGACGTATTCAATTGTTTTTGGTCACTTCCGGTTTCACCGGAAATGACTACAACTTTTGATTTTTAAATGGCACCCCCGATATTTTTTTACTTTATTCGATAGAGAATGTCACTCTGAATAGAATGACATATCATATATCAACTTTTGACATTTTCGCATATGGTTTATTTGAAATTATAACTTGCGGTTCGTAACGAAAATTTGACTTGATATACCAAGTGTGTGGTATCAAATTATTCGTAAAAAATGCTTTTTCCAAATATGCTAATGAGCCACCCTCGTTCCATTTGAAAAAAAATTGAGATATGCTTAAAAATACGATTTAAGCATTTTCTAACTGGCCAGGACAAGACACTAAAAACATTAGACGATCAAATCTATTTTTCCAAGGCTCCTTGATGAAGAATTAGTGTTTTTAACATAGCCATGGCACTCTAGATTGAATTTTAAAATACAATTTTTTATTAAGTGAGAATGTCAAAAGTTGACATATGATATGTCATTCTATTCAGAATGTCATTTTCTATCGAATAAAGTAAAAAAATACCGAGGGTGACATTTAAAATCAAAAGTTGTATTCATTTCCGGTGAACAGGAAGTAACCAAAAACAATTGAATACACCAATCAATCCTAATTTATGTCATATACTAACATGCCAAATCTCGTTTATCTGAAAAAATAAAAAAGTTATAGGGGTGAGCCACTTTTGAGACGCACCCGGTATAGAGATCACAAGGACTTTTATACCTTAATTATACAGAAAATAACTCAGTATACACAAGACAGGGAACATACTACCGGTTAGTCTTTAATCCACAAAAATATGAATATATAAAAAGCAAAATTTAAATAGATCCTCTTTAAAATTAATAGAATTGGCAATATTATATGAAAAAATAAACATCCATAAGAAATGAGTCATCTATATGGCTACTTTAATTGACATTTGACATCGTTGACATTGACAGGAGGCTTTCGAAAGTCCTACGCTGTTTTCCGAACACTGACACATAAGATGGAATTTCTTTTTATGCTTCTTTTTAATAAAATTATGGTTTGACCAGCGAGAGAGTACATAATTTTGACAGGAGACATAAAAATAACAGAAAAATATACTTTCGTTACAGTTCTTCAAAAACTACACTTGAACGCAACAAAGCAAAGTTTACAATTTAGAGACGAGCAAAAAGCTAAAAATATATTTTTTTGACAGTACCTCTTCTATAATTTGCGGAAGAGAACGTTCAATACATGTGTAGGCAAATGTAATGCCGTTTACGTCTGGACTAGATAAACTACGGCTTTCACGTGGCTGCGAATTAAAATTCAGTAAAAAATTGTATTTTTTCTTGTATGGAAATAGAGATTTTACTTTTAAGCCAAAAAATATAACATTCCCTGGTAGATACACGCCCTATAACGTCTATATTTTTATTAAAAAGTCCTGTGACAGTGAAATGATTCCTAGAAAATAAGGCATAACCTAATCACATTATAATCTAATATTTTTGGCCCAAAATGTAGTTTTAATCTCACAAATAGATAAAGATAGTATAAATGTGATTGATTCCTTTATAAAAGTTTTTTTTTCTTACCTGACAGACGTGTCTATGCTTCAACTCTTCCAATTCTGCTTCTTTTTCGGCAAGCTGATTCCTCCACTTCCTTTCTTCTTGTTCTATGTTACATTCTAATTTCTTTAACGCTCCATCCTGTAAAATCACTTAGTTCATCTCAATGTACCTTTGAGTAAAAATATTAAGGAAGGAGTATAATGCTATCCATGGTAGAGTAAACGCCACGAATGTTTGGGAGTGATTCATCGCTTGATGAAGTTAGAATCGACACGCGCGCTATCATTTTTACATTAAAAACGTAAATTTTTACCGCAGACGTAGGTTTTAAAGGCCCGGTCTAATCATCTGCCTGCGCTCCTCCTACTTATTCGAAAATGTTAGCGTGATTGACAAAGACGATACTATATCGCGTTTCTTTGATTGATTCGTTTTTGTGCGTCAGTCCATTGGTGTGCTTGCAGTGCGACCAATGGGGCATTCCATTTTATATTTATAACCAAATATATGTTTTGATAAGACTTTGACAGTTAAAACAACAAATTACAATAGATTATATATTGATTATTATATGACTTGAAACACCACGGCACTGGAATTAAGTTTTGTGTGACCTTGAACAGATTAGTTCACATGGTAGCGACCGATGAATCACTCCCAAACATTCGTGGCGTTTACTATAGACGAAGGTGGGGATCGTTGACAGTTGACGATTCATTTGACACATTTGAATCTGATTTGGAATTTTGTGGATTTCTCAGTCTTTACTGAGCTTATTTTATGTTATTTATTATTTATTCTACTACTGACAGTTGTTTAGGTAGTAAATCTAGAAGGAAATTGTGACAGAATTTAAAATAACCGTGACACTACTGGGATTTATCGAAAAAGACTGTAAAATAGTTGATTGTGTAGCGTGCGGTAGATCTCGGTTAAAAATCGAGGGAAGTAATAAACTTTTCACTACTGAGTGACTATAGGTCTGTTTCCAGAAGAATCCCTGACTAGTCAGCACGTTTCTCATTGGTTAAAATGCGTAGAAACCTGATTGTTAGTCAGGTTTCTACGCATTTCAACCAATAAGAAACGCGCTAAGAGTCAGAGATTCTTTTGGGAACAGACCTTATATAATATACATACGTGTAGTAAACCGATTTTTTATGAAATGCACTTAAAATTAACTAATTATATGTTTTTTCTTGTATTTTTGCTTTTATTTACTACTTCTCAAAGATTAGATTTTAGATACGTCAATTTTGACTTACCTGCTTCAGTAGCGTATCGGATGTTTGTGTTAATAAATAATTATTATAACTTATCTATTTTTATTAGAATTATGTATTTTTATAACAATTTTAATAACTATCAACATTTATTAACAACGTAAAATAAAACAACAAATTATTAAGTCTACCCTACAGCATATTTTTACACGTTTTGAATAAAATTAGAACGTCACTGATAAACCGGAATTTAAGCCGGTCATTTTTGGTCCCCATCGCGCTCGAACTAAGTTTTTTGATATACTCCTTCCTTAATCTTTTTATTCAAAGATTCGTTCAAATTATGTTTAACAATTTGTTAACTGAACCTTTGCGATTTTCAAGTTATTTTTACTATTTTTCTTTGCAAAAGAACTGTTTAGAGTATTTTTAAACATCTAGGAAGAACCACCTAGAAAACAAACGGTCTATTTTTTCATCCACGCAATGTTTTATTTAACTTTGACTTACAGGTAAGACGTAATAAGGTAAAACGTTCCGCGTGAACGTTATACTTACGGCATCGTCAATTATGGACTGGTATCGCAAAATTTCCCGTTTTAATTTTGCAACCTCTTCGCCCTGATCCCCAGTGGAAACGGCAACGGAAGTTTGTTTCTCTAAGTCCGATACGTGTTGCAGTATCAGTCGTTGGTATTCTGGTTGCCAGTCGTCCACAGAAACTGATTTTAGTCCTTCCAGGTTGGGGAATAGTCTTTGCAAGAACTCTTTGTGCGAGTCGCGTTCTTTGTTCTTGATCTCTGACGACAGTTTCTAAAGAAATCGTTAAATATCTGTAGAAGTCAGTCTATGCAAGTACATGGTGCATGACAAAAAAGGTTATATATACCGGGTGCGTCTTAAAAGCTAAAAAGTGTACCCCACCCCTATAACTTTTTTTATTTTTTTTTAGATAAAAAATCGAGATTTGCTGCTTAAATTGTTAGTATAAGACGCGCGTAAATTAGGATTGATTGATATAATCAATTGTTTTCGGTCACTTCCTGTTTCCCGGAAATTACTACAACTTTTGATTTTTAAATGGCACCCTCGGTATTTTGCAATAACTAAAGAATCCAAGGACAAATAACACCCGAGAGCAAATTGTGCCGATGTCACCAAACAGTGCCGTGGCACATACTTTTCTTAACCTAGCTGTTTGAAGCAATATTTATATTTTTTGATAATTGTTTTGACTACGTCTATGGTGTAGCATCCTAATTAATTACGAAAAAACGTATTAAAATATTAACAAAAGGTACAAAACTAGTATCGGCGTATAGCACATATCAAGTACATATAGATGTTAATTGAAATTGAAGAATAATTATCGAATTCAATAAGAAAACGCTAAAAAGTTGGAGTGGACTGTTTATTTACCTATGAAACTAACTTCTGGCTCTTTCTTAACGCTGCTGCTTTTACACTTGAAAGCTGAACAACTAATCACCATTGTAATACAGTTTATACAAAGTTTACTACACACAAACTATTAAAAATCGCTAAAATTGTCGCTGGTGACCAAATGATGACTCGTTGTTTGCCATCAAAAGAAAGATCTCTAAGGTCACAAATTCTGCTGCAGCCCGTATAGGGGCGTTACATGTCCTACATATGACATGTCAACTTTTGACATTTTCGAATATGGTTTATTTCAAATTGCAACATGCGGTTCACAACGACAATTTGACTCGAAATACCAAGCGTGTGGTACCATATTATTCATATAAAAATGCTTTTTCTAAATATTCTAAAGAGCTACCCTCATTCCATTTAAAAAAATTGGCGCAGGGAGGCCCGTATAGCCGCCCAAACTAAAATATGTTAATAAAAAGTTGGTAGGCAGTTCTTTTAGCTTCAATTATCTGAAAAACTGCGACTTTGACTGATTTTGATGTTATTACAAATTTTGTTGCAAATATTATTCCTAATCTTAAATTGAAAACCGCGTTTCGCTAGCTACTGTAATTTTGGAGTTACGATTTTTTAAAATTGTTAATCCCCTCCCATACCCCCTTACCAACCCCCCAACCCCACCAATAACTAATGGCCAGATTCTCCGGTGCCACAGTATTTTTGAACCAAATTTGGTTAAAATCGGTTTAGCGGTTTTTGAGTTATCGACAGACGGACAGACAGACACCATAAAAATATTTTGTATTTATAGACGATCAAATCTATTTTTCCAACGCTCCTGTACTAAAAATTAGTGTTTTTAACACAGCCATGGCACTCTAGATTAAAATTTAAAACACAATTCTGTTTTAAGAGAAAATGTCAAAATTTGACAGATGATATGTCATTCTATTTAGAGTGACCGAAAACAATTGAATACGTCAATCAATCCTAATTTATGTCATATACTAACATACCAAATCTCGTTTTTTTGTCTGAAAAAATAAAACAGTTATAAGGGTGAGCCACTTTCGAGGCGCACCCGGTATATGAACTATACATAGGTAGTTAGTAGTAGAAAAAGAGCTATTGAGTATATGCACGAAGTGGAAAGTGAAGGCGTTGATCAACAATCAACAAACACCTAATTTTACGGCGTGATTGTAAAAAATATAAATAACTATAGGCAGATCATAGAAACTCATTATAATTGGAACTTGGCTCGATTTTAGTTGCCATTGTTTGGAACTAAATATTATTTGGAAAAAACTAACAGAAAAGTAGAGATATTTAAATGGTTTTGTATCTCTTGTAATTTAAATAAAAAAAAATAAAGTAACCCGTAAAGAATTATATTTCTATAGGCTTGGTGCATTCTCCGCTGGTGCTGCCACCGCCCGGGAATATCGTAAATAACGAACACATACAAATACACGGGTTTAAATGGTGAGTAAAGGAAAAAAATTGTATATAATTATTCTAAAAGTGTTTGGTTTGGTTCGCTCTCCTTTTTACGTTAACATTTTTTTGGGCAATTTTATTAACATTTGAAATTGTCACAACACAACAAGACAAGACGCCTAGTTCGAATTCTTTTTCACTTATATTTTACTACCCGAAACAGCGTTATATCAGTGTTTTATAGAAAACTAAAATACTTAAGTTTTATGACAAAACCACGATTTGAATATTATTTTAATGCGATCAACATGACGGCGCACAGTGCTTCGAACATATGGCTCTAGAGGACAAAAATGCAAAACTTCTCTTTTATTGTAGGCAATTTATTCAAACTAAGTTTATTTGACACAAATGATGAGTACTTTCATTGTACTAAATGATGAAGTTCTTAGTCCCACGTTTATGAAAAAAAATCTTATAAATAATAAAAATGTTGGAACTGTGTTCTATCTAAGGAAATAATAATTTATAGCATGAAAAAGGTGTAAGCATTAAATAAATCCCTGTGATAAAAAAGAATTGAAATAACAGTAGAACATGATTCATCGCAATATAAGCCTAATATAAGATAAAAATGTTTTTCTTTAATGAAAAAGAAACATTAATGTTATATTTAATTAAAAAAACTTAAGATACTATAAATTTACTTTAGGACAACAAAATGCATAGATCGTAACTACTCTGATTGAGAAGAATCACTGCTGACAGAATCTTCCAAATTTATAGTATCCAAATCACAGGTAGATGAAGTATCCTCACATATAAGATATAAGATATTTCTGTACATCATTTTCTAATATGTTACTTTTTCGCGTTGTTACTGTTCTTTTTGTTGGTATGAGGGGTTCGGATGTTAATAGTTACCTCTTTAATAGACCACATCCATATATTATTTTTTCCTTTTCTTTATTATGAGGTTTTATAATAAATTGAAAGATTTTACGAAGAAACTTTTTTATGCGACGTTTCGCTCCAACATAGTGGGCTTTTTCAGGCACAAGTGGTGTCTCATTTGACTGGAAGGTTCATCAATATCTAATAAAGAACACATTTTTTGAAATACAAATAATTTTGAGTTCTTGTCCTTATGATCAAGCCAAGTATTAACCAGATCGGCATTGCTTATCAATTTTATTCCATCTGAAAAGTATTATAAAATAAAGTTCGCCGCAAGCAGACGAAGGTGAAGCAGGTGAACTACACAAAAATTAAATGTGTATGAATATGACAACAAAAATATTCAATAAATACGATATATTTTGATATGTTTTTTTTTAAATACCTTTTTGAAGTTTGAAAACGTAAAATTTTTATACCCATTTAAGAATCATCTTAAAAAATAAATAAAAACTAAACAATCACGAACTTGTTTAGAAATAAGTTTAAAGTACATACCTTGTTTAACAATATTCATAGTGGCTTTCAATTAAGTATGTACCGTTTAACTCCATAATATACAGAACTACTATGAATGTTATTCTTTTCACTGATAAGAAAATGATCGCAAAATTTATTTTTAGTGAAAATATTTGCTAACAAAAAACGCTGTTTGTAAAAAATAATATACAGGATGGTTGAACATTGCTATAAGTATAAAATTACATATTCAGATATTAGTAAATTTTAACTTTTTTTCGATTTTTGTCCATGGGACGAAGCACTGAATTTGTTGAAATCAACTGAAATGCACCAAGCTTATAGCTCTAAAAAACCTTGAAAACACCTTTTTCACAATTAAAATCGACAAAAGTTGAAGGTGAAATCCTGTTTGATTATTAATGTTTTTGATTCCCACATTTAAGAAAAAAAAAAATAACATCAAACTTACATCTACATCGACAGACTCCGAAGTCTTTACAGTAGCTGGCTTATTTCTGCTCTCTGCAGCGTTTAATGCTTCCATCACTTTCCAGTTCTTTTTGCGCAACTCCTAAAGGCCAAACGAAATCACAGTGTTGGTATTAAGAACACACAAAAAACACAGCAAATATATTTAAAATGTTAAACGAATTTTTAAGAGAAAGATAAGAAAAGTAGCTATTTTCAATTAAAAATGTACAAAACCTAGACAACACTATAAAAAACTCACACCACAAAAAAATCTTGCAAAAAATAGCTACTTACATTATTTTTATTTTTCTGTTCTTCTAATTCCGATTGTAGTTGACTGCAACAGTCGCTAGATGTCTTCAGTTCCGTTTGGTACTGCTTTTCGGCCTCGTGGAACCTCTGGTTCACCGATGACAGTTCGGATTTGACAGACGATAGTTCGTTGGTCAGATTGAGCATTTTGACTTCGTGGGCTTTGTTATCGTCGGAGGAACCGTTCATCTGGATGCTTTTTTCTTCTTGTAATCTTCGATTTTCTAATTTCAACTGTCAAAAAATATAGGTATTGTATTTATAAATACCCTGGACTCTGATTCAGAGTTTTTCCGATCGTTGAAATTATTAGCGAGAAAAATAGGATGTAATCAGTGACAAGACTTCATAAATACCACTGTATAAAAAAACTAAACATACGTCACGATTTTGTATGTTTTGTTTGATTGACAAATTTTAATTTTTACGAGTTGCTGCAAAGTGTATAGATCTGGAAAAACATTGTGTTTGAACTGAATTATAAAGTGATTAAGGTGAATCTTAAAAAAGGCTTCCAAAATTGAAACTTAAAAAACTAAAAACATAAAAAATAATGAAACTTGCTTTATAATTTAAAAAATTAATAAAAAATGGACGACACTGATCGACAGGAATTTAAGTCAGCCTTTGAATAAAATGATTAAGGAAGGAGTATAATGCGAGTGGGAATCCTTGACAGTTCTGTTTAACAATTCATTTGACACATTTGAATTTGATTTGAAATTTTGTGGATTTGTCAGTCTTTGCTGAGCTTATTTTATGTGATTTATTATTTATTCTACTACTGATAGTTGTTTAAAGGTGGTAAATTTAGAAGGAATTTGTGGCAGAACTTAAATTAACCGTGACACTATTGCGATTTATCGAAAAAGACTGTAAAATAGTTGGTCGCGTAGCGTGCGGTAACTCGGTCAAAAATCGAGGGAAATAATGGAACAACTTTTCGCTAGTAAGTGACTATATAATATACATACGTGTAGTAAACCGATCATTTATGAAATTCACTTAAAATTAATTAATTATATATTTTTTTCTTGCATTTCTGCTTTTATTAACTACTCGTCAAAGATTAGATGTCAAAGAATTTAGATACGTCAATTTAACAAAATTACTGCTTCAGTAGCGTATCGGATGTTTGTGTTAATAAATAATTATTATAACTTATCTATTTCTATTAGAATTGTATATTTTTATAGCAATTTCAATAACTACCAACATTTATTCACAACGTAAAATAAAACAACAAATTATTTAGTCTACCCTACGTTATATTTTTACACGTTTTGAATATCATGAGAACGGCACTGATAAACCGGAATTTAAGTCGGCCATTTTAAGTCCCTGTCGCGGTCGATCTAAGTTTTTTGATATGCTCCTTCCTTAATCCCTTCATTCAAAGGAAAACAAGGAATAATTTCGACCAACAACATCATAATTTAGAATCACCCTGTATATTACATTACCTGTTTAATAATCTCCTGTAATCTCTGTTCCTCTTTGTGCATATTGTCCGTTAAGATTCGTTTTTCTTCTGCGTGTGCTTGAATGGCGAAGGCGCTCTTCCTCTGCAATAAAAATTAACGGAACATTTGAACTACTTTACCTTTATCTAAGTATAAAAAATATTCGAAATCATTTTATCGATTAAAAAAAAGCGACAAATTCTATTAAATCGATGCTAACGTACCTCAAGATCAATAATATACTCCTTGGACATTCTTAATTCCTCTTGTAAGATCGCCTCTTGTTGCATAACATTCGATTGGTAGGTGGCTGCCTGTTCCTGGAACTGTTGTTGAAGTCTTTGCAGTTCGTTGTTTAGATTGGTGTTGTCCGTTTTTAGGCCATGAATAAGCGCCTCTGTCTAAGATACAAGAAAAAAAGGATTAAAATTGGTTAGAAGAGAATAAGATTTTTTTTGACACAACCCGTATATACATACATAGTTTCTTATATATTGAATTTCTCATTGGCCCAGTGATCACTAGATATTGTCAAGTACAACAATAATTATACTTCATTCAATGAAAGACTTCTTTCATATATTCACTTTTGAATATACAGGGTGGCGCCTCTCATACGCCGCGGAGGCTCCAAGGAGAACAAGAGTTTGTATTGAAATGAAATTTTGTGAGCATATGTAGGTTAATTCAGAGCACTTTTTAAAAATATAGAGAGTTCTACAGGGTGTCTCCAAAAAAAGTTACATATTTGTATAGTTGTGTTTTTTGTAATAGAACACCCTATATATTAATTGATTTTCGGATGCTAGGAGAAAAATAAAGGTGAGTTTTACAAGAGAAGTATATGTTTAAAATGTAAGGTTTTTTACATATATAAGAGAGAATGATGAGAGAAATTATTATAACTGCTTTGCAAGGTAGAACTCCACATATGCCTTTTAAAATGAAAAGATCCTTTTGAAAAGACAATCATTTTATGCAGTTAACAGGAAAGGAAGCATTTTGAGCATTTGATTTCATCTAGTTAATTTTTGTCACATAATTATAGGTTTACATCCAGTTTTAATTCTGTAATAATTAAAATATGTTTTAAACGTGTACCTTTGTATTACAGTTGAGTATTTTACTCTACAATTTTTAATTTTTGTTAAATTAACAAAAGGTACATCACAGCCACTTAGATTTTTTCAAATAATAAAGATCTACTGACGACTGAAACAAAATCATAAAAATTAAAATATCTAGGAAAATCTTTGTCTGAGAGGTAGGCAACCTTAATAATATTTTGAGGATATATAAATTCCCCATTGAACACCGCAATAATATACAGGGTGTTCCATGTAAAATAAAGGAGTAACTTGCTTTTAAAAGTGACTAATGTTCCATATTAATTTTGTATCACCCTGTATAACTTTTCGAGCCAAATTTCAATTTGGTTTATCATACAATGGTTACTGTAACTAAATATCAGGATATATAAGGTCAACTAAAATTTAGGTAGCTGTTATCGAAATTTAAAATTTACTCTTCATTTTCACAAAATGTGAAATATGTCAAAATCCTTAGATTTTAGGCATATGCTTCTTTAATAAAACTCACCTTTATTTTTTTCCTAGAATCCAAAAATCAATTAATATATAGGGTGTTCCATTAGAAAAAACAAAACTTTGATGTGTAACTTTTTTTGGGGACACCCTGTATAATTCTATGTATTTTTATAAAATGCTTTCAGTTAACCTACATATGCCAGCAAAATTTCATTCCGATATAAACTACCATTCTCCTTGGAGCTTCCGCGGCGTATGTGAGGCGCCACCCTATACAACAATGGTTTCCAAAATTTTAATATAAAGAACTTACAAACAAAAAAAAAGCAAAATAATAAAAAACTTGTATAAAAACCGCAAAAAATACCTCTTGACACGTAATAACCACACTGTCCCTCTGCATCTTCAAAGCATTATTGTCATCGACCAGCCTTTGCAACTGCACAAGGTCCTTGTTCCTCAAATCGTCCAATTCCTGTATCTTCTGCTGTAACCTGTTGTGATTGGCTACCAGTTCAATCTTGCCCTCCTCGGAAGCCCTGACTTTCTGCTGCCATTGGCTGCGTTCTTGCAGCTGTTCGCTGCGAACCTCCTTTAGTTTGGCTTGAACTCCGACGAGCAATTCTTGCTCGTCAGCCAGGAGTTTCTCTTTTTCAGCTAGTTGTTTCTTTAATTTTTGAACTGGATCGGATTTTCCCTAAAATAGATAAAAATATTTAAAAAAAAATAAAAAAAAATTAAATAAAATATTAAATTATTAAATGTAATAAAGAAATGTATAGTAAGGAGGATAAAATAAAGTACCTCGCTCCAATCATCAATAACAGCTGGTGCTTCCAGTTGTTTGTTAAGCAGAAGATCGATGAGAAGTTGGACTTCAGTACGAGACAGTTCGCTGTGTTGGACAGTGTATATTAATTGGTCTCTTTCTGCAACTTTATTGAAAGAAAAATAACATAAATCCATGAGCAAATAATAAGATTGTCTATTATTTTACTTGTTTTTAGATGAGAGAAATAAAAAGACACATTAAGAGAGCAAACTTTTTTTTCAAATATAGGCGATAACAAATAAACTTTTAGTTACGTCATCGACAGCGCGATTATTAAATTCATTGTTGCCAACCATGGACATATTCGGCGCCGGACTGACTAACTGGAATTTAAATTTACCACTAGGAATTCAGGTGGTAGCTCTGCTGTAAAAAATGTCACGTTGCCACATTTATTTATTTATTTCCTGACATTTGGATTCATTTTGAGACTCTAGTTCTGTATTACGAGTTTTTGGTTTAAGTTAATTGTGTTGTAATACTTTAAGCTAAAAAAAATTTACTAGCAGTCGAAAATTGGTCTGGTTGCCAAAGTGCAGTTTAACAGCCGTTGCAAAAAACTCATCGCAATCTTATTAGAATATTTTGAACGGGAAAGCAGTAATAATGACCCTTTATGTCCCCTGAGTGCTGTTAAGGAGGTGAGTTTTGTTAATGTAAATAATAACTGTTTATAGATTTATAATTATTTTTTTTTGTTTCATAAAATATTTAAATTAAAAGAAAATATGTAAAAGCCGGCAACTCTGTGCCGGTCAAGCTTAATCACGTGACTAAAAGTTAATTTGGTATCGTTAACAGGTTGCCTCGTAACTTTGAACCAATCACAGTAGTTGGCGCGATGACGTCAGCTAGGTGATATTTAAAATAACTATTAACAAGATGTTTAATAATAATAATAACAATTACACACACAAGTTACATTTTTTTTTCTATAAAGTATTTCTTTATTTTTCTCTAATTTTTACTACTATGACATTCAACATTTTTAAGCAACATTTGTATAAAAAAAAATAGCTTTAGCTTTTTGCCATGTTAAAATATCGCAAGCTAGTCGAAATAATTTATTATACATAAACATCATTCAGCAAAAACAATACTGAACATTATAGGCGGTTACAGGTAGGAATGATCTCCATTTCTAAGGAAAATTTGATAAATAATTTTAAAAAACTATCTAGTTCATCAATTATAATACGTTAAGTACATTAAAACTTTAAAAAATATAGTATATCCACTAGAGGTGGGAATTCTAGTTCCTTGGGAGGAACTAGTTCCTTAGTTCTAGTTCCTCCAGAGGAATAGTTCCTTGAACTAGGTCTTTAGTTCACAATAGTTCCCGACTAACATTGACATCCCCCTTGCTTGCTAATGCGTTTCGTTGTCAGTCAGAACTATTCACAGTATGATCTGTATAATTTTTATAATGTACGGAGATATAACGAGACGTGTAATTGTGTATGTTAAAAACATATAAGTAAGTTTTATAGCAGATAAAAAAAAATAAAAAAAAATCTCAAATCAGAATTTAAAAAACTATATCACAAATCAATTGGAGCAAATATTACAAAAATTTTACGAAAAATTGCATCTTTCCTCACTTCAAGCTTTTTGTTTTTGTCTAAAAATTCAGAATATCTACTTCGTTTTATAAGATATTTCTTAATTTTAGGGACCTAAAGTGAAACATTCCCATAAAATATTTAAAAAACAAACTAAAAATCAAAAACAGTATCCACGACAATTTGGCAATAGACAAGGCCGAATCCATCGTCGTCGCCTTGTATTATATCTCGGATCTGCCGACTGAATAGATTCCCGTGAACTAGTCTTTTAATAGTTCCTCTATGTCCGGATCCGATAACATACGGCTGGCACTCCCCACGCCTGCCTAGCATCAATCGCGCTGGCTGATCCATACGTAAACTAGTCTTTTATTTAGTTCCTCTAGTTCCTTTAGGTCCGGATCCGATAACATACGGCATACCGCTGGCACTCCCCACTCCTGCCTAGCATCGATCGCGCCGGCCCGATCCGTTCGTACGTAAACTAGTCTTTTATTTAGTTTAGTTCCTCTAGGTCCGGATACGATAACGTACGTCTGGCACTCCCCACTCCTGCCTACCATCGGGCTACGCGCGCTAGCCGATCCGTCGCCGTCGCATATTATTCTATATCGGACACAGTCTCGATCCCGGAATAGGTCCTGAGGAACTAGTCCTTTGAGAAACCAGGAACTAGTTCCTTTCATTCCGGGGTCGGAATAGTTCATTGGAACTAGTTCGTTCACGAACTACACACCTCTAATATCCACTAAAACTGTCTTATGATCCGCTCAAATGCACTTAATACACGGAAAACCTTCGGAAAACAATGTAAAATTATTTGTAAATAAGCTGAAAACTGCTTAGTACCAGACGATGACGCGCAATATGGCGGCTAATGTCGAGTTACGAGGCAACCTGTTTAATTTAATAACCTTGGGTATGATCTATAAGTAACTTGACGTATATATCTCAAATATGTCAATTTCGACTTAACGTATGGTAATCGCAAAACATTTTCCGATGCACGTCATCAATCATATCGAAATTGACACTACACTGCCTATAAAACTGACTAAATGAAATTTTGGCCAAAATGTTTAAATCTGTTGTATAATTTAAGATATAGAGTAGCTCTTTATTTTACTTTATAAAGCAAATGACTGTAACAGATATTTTATTTAGATTAAAGCTGCAAAAATTAGTTTAAAACGTTTTTTATTATCGCCATGTTGGTCACATTGCGCCGCAATCAGCAACGCTGTCGTTTATTATTTGGCAATTATCATAATTTCATCATTATTTTGTATAATATCATGCTGTTCTTGAATCTTTGGGAATAATTCTCGTTTTTTGCCGATTTTCATAGTTTTTTTTTAAAATGTACTTTTAAGCAGAAACAGTTCTTTTAAGAACTAAATTTTCGAGTTTTTGTATTGCATTTCTTGAAATTGTGTGTTGAAAATATGCCTAAGTATTTAAACAGTCGAAGCAAAGAGCTTGAAGCTTTCCTGATAAACTATTTTGAACGAGAACGTGACAATAAAGATCCTTTATTACCCTTGACCGCAGTCCGAGAAGTAAGCACATTATACCAGTTTCAAAGTTATTTCTACTTATTTCTGCTGCCTTATATTTAAATATTTCTACTGTGTTAGTGACTACTGTTAATAAATTAATTAATTACTTAAATATTAATTATTAGATTAAAAATGCAACGTAAAAATCTTTAAAAATTATATAATAAATATACTTTTTCTTAATTTCCCAATTTTACACTAAGATTCTTCTCGTAAATCCATCACAATCTGGCAGCGCTGTCAAGTTGATCACGAACATAGGAAATTATTTTGCGATTACTTTATATAGTTTGCTTCTAAGGTACAGAAATGCATAACTCTGTAAGACACAAATATAATAAAGTTTGCTCTCATTAATATGTTTGTTTTTATAAATACTTTTATGAATTTGTACCTCTTTTTTGTTCCCGGACAACTAAAAATTTAAGATTTGTCATAACATTAGGTCTAGATAATGTACCACTAATCTATGTCTTACATCTAACCATAGTGTTTTATTTACAACAGTTTAATTCTTTTAATATAATAATAATTTATATAGAGAAATTATATTGTGGATAGTACACAAAAATATATAAATTAACGTCAATTTTTTAAATTATTTTTGCCCTGATGTGACGTAAAACGGTTTATGTTGGCTACGCGTTGCCCACAAGAAAAAACCGTGTCTAGAATATTTTACAGTCTAAGTTCTAAACTTATTTTAATACCTACCCTATAAATTTAATCCAAAAAAGACCTAAATTTACTCTCAAAACCTTATTTTTTTTTAAATACAATTAATAATTTTTAAAATAAAAATTTCTAAAAATTTTAACTACGAAAAATGAACGGTTTTACTAACTCATCTGTTGTTTGGCGTTAAAATCGCCCTTTTTCTTCTTTTTTTCTTTGCCGGTGTTGGGTAAGGGCTCGTTGGACGAAACCGTGGCAACACTGTTAACAGTTTTGACTTCTTTCGGTTTGTCTTTTTCGACTGGTTGAGGTTCGGCAGGCGGGGTCGGTTTTTCAGCTGGGATTTCTTGTTTCTGTTGCTTGTTCTTCTTTGAAGATTTCTCGGGTTGTTTCTTCTCTTCCTTGGCTTGTTCGGATTTGCGAACATCATCCTTCTGATATCAAAAAAGACGTATATTTAAAAGTATTTTTTAAAAGCATTACTAATACACAGTTAAAGTTCTTTTAGTGACAATACAATAAAACTTATTATTGTCAGTTATAGTTACTGTGTTGGAAAAATATTAGCAAAGCGTAAAATGTTATCGTTAAGTTTAGAAGCATTATAAGAAAAATAGAAACCATAAGAAAGCATATTAAGAGTCCATTTCACTAGTCCAAAAAAGTAGGAAAATAAGCGTTCAGCATTTAACGTTTTACGTAAAACTGGCTAGGTATTTTTTTACACAAATGAAGAAGGAAATTAAAGATAAAGGATTATACTACGAGCACTAACAACTAAATGTTAGGACAAACAAAAATTTATTAATTTTTTTTTATTTTCATTAACTGAATTATTTAAGAAATACTTTTAAAATATATTAAAATCTAACATTTCTAATAAGTATTTAAATAGTTTAGTTTCTATAAACATTAAAATAAACTGTAGGCCAATAAATAAACAAAAATATTGCACAAAATCGTGACAATTAAATGTTCGGACACTTTAAAAAATAACTGTTCTAATATGGCGTTACATCGGCATGAACTTTTGCAACCACTGCAAGCCTGTTTGGCATTGTTTTTATTAATGGTTGGCATACGCCAGAATAAAAATTTTGCCATAATTCACTTAATGCCATCGTCAAATGGGCAACGGTTTCTTGAGGATCGTGGCACAATTTTTGTTTTGTTTTATGCCACGTCTCGATAACATTAAGGTCCGGACTGTGCGAACGCCATGAGGGAACCTTGATGTTCATGTCCCTAAACCATTTTTTAGTACATAACCTTATTTTAGTGGTTTTCCTGGGTCAAATTTGTGTAAGTAAAGTCCTTTATTATACAGGGTTATTCACCTCAAAGAGTATTAGTAGTCATTGGGACACTTTGGACAGACAGAATTCCAGGAATTCCGGCGCAGGAAGTGACGTCATCAGCTAAGAACATGTAAAATACGTTAATAAACAAGAATAAACAGGTTTGAACCGCTTTGAACCACATTAGAATCGCTTTTTAGCTTAAAACAACCTGTTCATTTTTTGTTCAAACCTGTTTATTTCTATTTTAAAGCGGTTGTTCCTGTTTAAACCGGTTTATTCTTGTTTATTAATCTATTTTACATGTCCTTAGCTGATGGCGTAACTTCCTGCGCCGGAATTCCTATAATTCTGTCTGTCCAAAGTGTCCCAGTGACTACTAGTATTGTAGCCACACGATTAGATTTTTAGAAATTGTGAGTGATAGGATCGTAGGAGGACCACTAAAGCTACAATTTAAAATTATTTTCAAAAGGTACAGAGTCTCCCATATAAATAAAATATATCAAAGTTGTATTTTTTTAAATGGAACACTCTGTATATTATTACATTTCTGGTTTCTACGATTAAAATAAAGGTAAATTTGATTAAGGTTTGCCGCACTTTAATCTTACCGTTTCTGAAATATTTACGATTTGTGAAAATGCAGTAACAATTTTAATGCTTCATTTCTCCAGGCGTATTTAAGTTTTTAAAACCAAATATTGTACTGAAGTTTTTCTATTTACTAAATTTTGTATTGCAATAATAAAAATAATACTACCTTATACAGAGTGTCTAAAAATTTATTTTAAATAATTACTAGATTTAAACGACAATAACTTCTTTAACTTAAATGGAACACCCTGTATATTTTACGAGAAAAAAATGCACAATTTAATTGTCTATCAAATTGTATTAAACCATTTTTACCTACCTCTTCAAATTTTTATAGAAAATGCATTTTCTTATAATTTAGACCTCATTTATCAATATACCCATGGAATATTAACATTTCAGATTATTTTTAAAAATGTAACAAATTTTCAAAAAGTATAGACACTAATATTGTCGATATAGGTCGCTTATTTCATTAAAAAATAAAAAAAACTGTTTAAATATTTGTAAAAGAGGACTAATTAATATGATTCCAGAATTCGAACTACATTAATTGACTGTTTGCGTTGATTAATAACTGTTTCAAATATTAAAGAAACTGAATTGTGTATGTGTATTAGACAGTATGATTTGTTGCTTTAAAAAATACCTAAAATGTCAATATTCCATGGGTATATTAATAAATGAGGTCTAGTTATAAAAAAAATGCATTTTCTACAAAAACTTGAAGAGATAGGTAAATAACGGTATAACACAATTTCATAGACAATTAAATTGTGCATCTGAGTCACGTAAAATATACAGGGTGTTCCATTTAAATTAAAGAAGTTACTGCCGTTAAAGCTAGTAATTATTTAATATAAATTTTTAGACACCCTGTGTAAGGTATTATTATTTTTATTATTATAACACAAAATTCATTAAATAGAGAAACTTCAGTACAATATTTGGTTTTAAAAACTTAAATACACCTAGAGAAATGAAGCATTAAAATTGTTACTACATTTTCACAAAATCGTAGATATTTCAAAAACGGTAAGATTAAAGCGCGGTAAACATCAATCAAGTATATATTTATTTTAATCGTAGAAACTAAAAATGTAATAATATACAGGGTGTTCCATTTAAAAAAAATACAACTTTGATATTTTTTTATTTTTTTGGGACACTCTGTACCTTTTGAAAATAGTTTTAAATTGTAGTTTTAGTAGTCCTTCAACGATCATTTGGCTACAATACTCCGTGTCGAATGAGGTGATAAAGGTACGCGCACACTGACCAGCGCCGCACTCGCCGCACCAATCGCACTTTTTTCTTGTCGCGCACACTAGCTTTTTTCGTTTTCCTGTTATTACCGATTCTGAACCGTCCTAGAACTTTGCAGCGCATGCGCAAATGAAATAATGTCTTCATATTTCCTTCTGCGCATACGCATCACAGTTCTAGGACGGTTCAGAATCGGTAATAACAGGAAAACCAAAAAAGCTACTGAGTCGTACCGAACGCGCCGCATTATTCGCTATTTTTTTTCTTTTTACCCCTACTACACCCGTATTTGCCAATCGAATTTCTCATCAGTCGCTTCCAGAGACCTGTCTGCGCTGATAAGCGTATTTTACAATATTTCTCGACAATGAATGACAACGAACAAGAAATAATTATAAGCTCCATGGTAATAGAAGAAGAAAGAAATCACGAGAAAGAATCGAAAGTTATAAGTTCACAATATTTGCAAAAATTTACATTATTTCCATATTTAATTGAGGATGAACTAAAAATTTTTCGATATGAGCCATGAAAAATTTGCGAACTTTCTTAGCATATTGAATTTCTAATCTCCTCTTCGGCTACCTAAGTAGAGTAGGAATTGCATGTGACGTCAGCAGAACTAGCCGTATTTATCGAAAACCATTCTGATCCAACAATGCTGGCCGCATTTTCGTCGATGCGATTCGTGCAGCTCTGGCTAGTATGCGAACCTTCATTGAAAAACACCACATATTATACAGATTATAATCTTTGTTTTATCTTTATTGTTTTTTGTGGTTCCAATTTTCGGAATCGGGCACTAGTTAGGTGACTAGTTTGCGCACATAGCACGCCCACTTATGGCCTCTAAAATTGTGCACAGCGCCTGACCGGCACAGTTATTAGAGACATATCGGAAAACCGAATAGCGTCATGCAGTATTTACGCGTACCTTATCATGGTTACGATATGCGCGAGTCAATTTTTAACGCAGCACCCGCTAATAACGTTACCGCCTGACGTAATTTGCGGATCAATTACACCAAGCGCTCTTTCTAAATAACCTCTGATAACGTTTAAAAAATTGCTTAAATGGGCATGTGCGGGTATTTGACAACCGGCGAGATCTTTTATTTTGGGTTATGTTTGAATTGTTTTGAATTATTGCTTTATTTTTTTATTTGATAATTTGATATTTAAGTAGCTGGGATTAGTTTTAATTAAATAAATATGGCCCAAAATATGGATTCCGCCTCTTCCAATACTAAAGAACCTATAAAGAGTCTTAGGTTTACAGCAGATGGCGACGTAGCCCTTCTAAGAGAATTTGTTGCTTGTTGCGCTAAACCCACTGGCAGACGTTGAACAATAAAGCACTGGAAATAAGCACTTGAGCCCTTTAGTTTTAAAAAAATTCAAAGTTAGGTTAAGTTTAAATAGCGGACGCGACGCGATCAGAATTCTTTCCGATCCGATAACTATAAATGAAGAGAGTTAATACCACCTCACGTAAAGGAAATAACACCTGGCCTTATTAGCGTCCATGCACGCTATTCGGTTTAGCGATATCTCTCTATTACGCTGTTTATTGTAATTTTACGCGAGTTTATTTTTGCGCACAGGAAATTTGACTCGTTTGCACATCGTCATAAAAAACAACTTTCGTACCACGAATTAGGGACATGATTTTTATCTGTATACTTATAGGATACCTAATCTGTGGTAACATAAACAATATTTTTCTTCGATCGATGCGACGCGTGCGGCTCTTGTCAGTGTGCGCCTACCTTAACCCTATATTTTTATAAATTATTTTCAGTGTAGAAAAAAAAAGCATAAAAAATAAAAATTGTTAAACAAGTGGTACCATCTACCAGTCTGATTTCTATCAGTTAAATCCTACAAACTTACGCTAATCGAGCGTAAGAGCTCCAAGTCGTCTTTAGGGTGAATAGTCTCGAAGTGGTTCGCAGTTGGAGCTTCGAGGATCACAGGAGAAGAGACGCTTTCGGCACCCTTGTTAACAAGGATGGGGCGTACTTTTTTCACGCGTTTCTGCAAAAGCCTCAGGTTATGTACAGCGAGTTCTAGCTAGCTTAGATTAAATTAGTCTAGATTAAAGAGTTCTAACATCTTAGCAAACATCTATGCTAAATTCGTCTAACATGCTCACAATAAAAGCTTTTACGAAAACAGGAAAACTGATACTAATGTACAGGACAAGTCAACGATAGAGTAAAGTCCATTATCTCATTTGTTTCGAGGTTTACAAAAAAATATTAAATATAAAAGTTATAGGGACGGTTAAGATGCACATTTTAAAATTATTATAGAGTATACAGGGTGCTTCAAAACTGAGGCGAATATAACATATGTTTTTTAAATGGAACACCCTATTTTTTATTTTATTTTTAGATTCTGCGTAAAATTCCATAACTTTTTTGTTTTATACCTAAAATTAATAGTTTTTGTAATATTTAAATTTGTTTAAACAAATGTTACATTGCAGTGTGATAAAAAATTGTCAGCGATGGTATTGTCTTTGAAGTTGGAGAACTAAAATTTGATAGGAGAATTTTATAGAGATATAGAAAAAGACCTATGTAAAGATATTTTAGTTAGATGCTACAGGGTGTTCAAAATATATTTATGAATTTCAACTACTTAAAATTAAGAAATTTCAAATTTTTTAAATGGTACACCCTATATATTATCACTTTTTCTGATAGATTTTACAAAACTCAATGGGTAAAAACAGAAAAAATTGAAATAAATCGCAAACTATTAAAAATAGGTATGACATACTTAATAAAAGTTGAAGAGTTTTGTAAAATCTATCAGAAAAAATGATACTATATAGGGCGTCCCATTTAAAAAATTTGAGATTTTTTAATTTTAAATAGTTGAAATTCATAAATATATTTTGAACACCTTGTATCATTTAACTAAAATATGTTTATACATATCTTTTTGTTCATCTCTATAAAACTCTCCTCCCAAATTTTGGTACTCCAACTTCAGAAACAATGGCACCACTGACAATTTTTTACCACACTGCAATTTAACATTTGTTTAAACAAATTAAAATATTACAAAAACGATTAATTTTAGGTATATAACATTATATATAAAAAAGTTATAGAATTTTACGCAGAATCTAAAAATAAAATAAAAATAGGGTGTCGCATTTAAAAAAACATATGTTATATCCGCCACACTTTTTTGAAGCACCTTGTATACTCTATAATTTTAAAATGTGTATCTTTCTTAACGTTCTCTACAACCCTTATATTTCATTTTTTTTTTATAAACCTCAAAACAAATGAGATAATGGACTTTACTCTATCGTTGATTCACCCTGTACAAAGTGCAACAAGCAAAAAACTAATTAGGGCACCAAAGAATAAAAGGCATACACGGGCTGGAGTAAAATAAATGTGTGATGTAAAATTACAGGACGCCATTTTTTTGGCGCCAAACAAAGGAGGAACACCAGGAACAATTTTAGCGATTTTTAGTAGTTTGTTGGGTGTAGTAAACTTTGTATAAACTCTATTACAATGGTGATTTGTTCAGCTTTCATGTGTAAAAGCCGCTGCGAGAAGAAGAGCTAGGAATTACGTTTCCAGGTGAATAAACAAACAGTTAAATTTCTGCACTCCAATTTTTGTTTTTTTTATCAATTTTTTTAAGGCTTTTTTAATCAAACAATTGGCATAACACCACCTAAAAAAGCAGCATTCATCAAAGGCCTGGGTATTGTAGGCAAAAAAATCATACGGTATATCGCAAATCGCAATCGTCCTATACAGGATGGTCCAAAATGTATTCCGGAAACTTCGGCAGCACATCCTGGAGATAAAAATAAGTAAAAAAGTTTGTATAAATGTATGTCCTAAAATGCTTAGTTTCGGAGATACAGGGTGTAGAAGTTTCATTTTTATTTCGATTTTTTCCAAATAATTTATGAAACAACGTCAATATTTGGATGAAAATGGGTTTAACTTTTTTCAAGAGTAATAAGCATTTTTATAATACATTTATAACATTTTTTTTACTTATTTTTATCTGCAGAATATGCTGCCGAAGTTTCCGGAATACAATTCGGACCACCCTGTATAGTATCGGAATTATTTTTAAAGCGTTCGCTACTTGGTAAAAAATATTTCTATTAAAAAAAATACTATATAAAATTATACACATAAAAAATTATTTAAACCAAAAACCAATAAATAATAAAAACTATATCTGTCTAAATACTGAGCTGGTGCAATAAAAAGTGCAAACAAAGTAAATACTACTACAAAATTATAATTATCTAAAATATTTTGTGCTGAAATAATACTAATTGTTCTAAATAATTTCTATCATCAAATAATACTATCACTATCTATATCCTTAAACAAATAATGATCTACTTATTAAGGATACATAAAAAAATAGAAAAAGTTAAAATTTTCCATTGACTGTAAAGAGTTAACAGATAACAGATATTCTTCAGTCTAAAGAAAATTGTAAGAAAACTATACAGGGCGAGTCTTAAATAAGTGCAAATATTTTCAGGACTGGTAGATTTTGATAAAAGAAACATATTTTCTCTTTGCTGTTTTTCAAATTAGTCCAAAGTAACAGAATTATTCAAGTTTAAAATTAAAAAAAAAAAATGATTTTTAAATAAAAATAATTTTATTTTTAAAATAATTTGGGAACTATACAGGGTTGTTCACCACATACGACACGAAGTATTATAGCTAAACGACTAGAATTTTACAAATTGTAAGTTTTGGGTTCGTTGAAGGCCTATTAGAGCTACAATTTAAAAATATTTTTACAAAATACAGAGTGTGCCAAATAAATAAAAAATATCAAAGTTGTATTTTTTTAAATGGAACACCCTATATATTATTACATTTTTAGTTTCTACGCTTAAAATAAAGGTAAATTTGATTAAGGTTTATTACACTTAAACCTTACCGTTTTTGAAATATTTTCAATTTTGTGAGATTGCAGTATAAATTTTAAGGCTTCATTTCTCCGAGGGTATCAAAGTTTTTATTACTAAATATTTACTGAAGTTTATTTATTGATCAGTTATTGTGTTGCAATAATAAAAACTTTACTACCTTATACAGAGTGTCTAAAAATTAATTTTAAATAATTACTAGCTTTAAACGGCATAATTTGTTTAATTTAAATGGAACACCCTGTATATTTTATGAGAATCAGATGCACAATTTAATTGTCTATCAAATTGTATTATACCATTTTTTACCTATCTCTTCAAGTTTCCGTAGAAAATGTATTTCCTTGTAATTTAGAACCCATTTATCAATATGCCCATGGATTACTGACATTTTAGATTATTTTTAAAGATGTACCAAATTTTTAAAGAGTACAGATACTAATATTGTCGATATATTTCGTTTACTTCATTAAAAAAAACTGTTTAAATATTTGTTAAAGAGGACCAATTAATATGATTCCAGTATTCAAACTACATTAATTGACTGTTTACGTTGATTAATAATAATTGCTCCAAATACTAAAAAGCTGAATTATGTATGTGTATTAGACAGTGTGTTAAAAAGTAACACCTTAAAAATGATATTTAATTTTTCGACAAATGCCTATTTATAACAACAGAGACGTTCATTTTCATAACTTATTATTATATTGATTTCTGATTCAAATCCATATTTATTTAGAATAATTTATTAACGAACACAATTAAGTATGTAGTTAATTAGTATTTGGGCGGAAATACTGGTGGTATATTTAATTAATGGTATACTCTTTTATAAAGATTTAACTAGTTTTCTTTTTGCATACAAATGGGCTAGTAATATTATCGTTTTACTAAAAACGATAATATTACTAGCCTGTACATTTTGTACATTTGTTGTTTTAAAAACAATCTAAAATGTCAATATTCCATGGGGTCAATATTCCATAAATGAGGTCTAAATTATAAGAAAATGCATTTTCTACGAAAACTTGAAGGAATAGGTAAGAAGTGGTATAATACAATTTGATAGACAATTAAATTGTGCATCTGATTCTCATAAAATATACAGGGTGTTCTATTTAATGTAAATAAGTTATTGCCGTTTAAAGCTAGTAATTATTTAAAATAAAATTTTAGACACTCTGTATAAGGTAGTATAATTTTTATTATTGCAACACAATAACTGATCGATATATATACTTCAGTAAATATTTAGTATTAAAAACTTTGATATCCTCGGAGAAATGAAGCCTTAAAATTTATACTGCAATTTCGCAAAATTAAAAATATTTCAAAAATGGTAAGGTTTAAGTGTAATAAACCTTAATCAAATTTACCTTTATTTTAATCGTAGAAACTAAAAATGCAATAATATAAGGGTGTTCCATTTAAAAAAATACAACTTTGATATTTTTATTTATTTGGGACACTCTGTATCTTGTAAAAATATTTTTAAATTGTAGCTCTAATAGTCCTTCAACAAACCCAAAACTTACAATTTGTAAAAATCTAATCGTTTAGCTACAATACTCCGTGTCGTATGTGGTGAACAACCCTGTATATAAATGTTTTGCATCTCTTTTAGTGCCGTAATATCAGAGACCTTGGGAAAATTTGCGGTAAACAGGCAGTTATAAAAATTATTCTAAAATATACAAGAAAATTTCAAAAAAAATTCACGATTTTCAAAAAATTTTTTTTGGCGAAAAAACCTCATAGACGTGTTCCTGGAGTCGAAATATACCACCCTAAAAATATTTGCACTTATTTAAGACTCCCCCTGTGTATAAAAATTAATAATTTGTATTTTAATGCTTCAAAACTGACAATTTTATTGATATTTCACCTGCTATTCTTATTAATACTTTGTTGATTTTTTCATATTTGTATAGTTCTTCTCGCGCAACTATTACAAAAGTTTGTGTTTTTTAAAAATAAAAATAAGCTTGTTTAAATAAAACCAGAGCCAAACTAAAGGCAAATAAATTAATAGAAAATATAATTTAAATATTTAAAAAATGTATATTTCTGTTATAACAGAAAAGTTAAATATAACTTTAAAAACAGATTAAAAAATAAAATATTAATACATATATCCTAAAGATCAAAATATTCTTAATATAGCCCATAATATAGTGTCTACACATCTTATCTACTGTAGTACTTTCTTTATATTTAGCCAAAGAGTTACATATGGCATTGGCATTTGAAGCATTAAAATAGTACTGTATGATCGAAAAAAAAAAACGGCGTCCAATTGGCTTAGAAATGACGATCGATGATATTCCCCCATATAATTTTCCATATAAAATGACAGCAATCGTCATTTCATAGCCATCGCTGACGCCGTTTTTTTATAGAGCTTCTTTACCACTTTTGAGTAAAACCATAAAGAAAACTTTTAATTTATATTTCTAAAACTTGTAAATTCTGATAAAATATGGTAACATTGTTGACATTTATAGCATTACAATAGTTGGCACTATTGTAAATGCATTATTACCTAAAGAAATCACAAACAAAAACATAAAATTAATTTAGACATACAAATTCTTACCTTATTTATAACTTCCTTTACTTCTTTTTCAACAGGAATCTCAACAGGAACTTCCTCAGGCTCTTCCTTGAAGTCGACGTGAATTTTAGGGTGTTTGGGTGAAGGTTTACCTTTAAATAGTATTAGAAATTTAGAATTTTGATTTATTACGTAGAAAAAATAATTACCTTTAGGGTTGACAGACTTTTCCTGTTGAGTTACTTTTGATTTCTCCGAGGTTTTCTCTATAACTTTTTCTGCAATGTTCTTGGGGTCTGGAGATTCTGTTTCTTCTGGCGTCTCATTTTCAATGTTATTTCCTGAAGATTTCTCTTTATTTACCTGTAATTTAACAATAAAATAATATTCCTCTCAACAATTAATAGTGATTTTAATTAAAATATTATCAAAAACAATGTTATTTAAAAAATTCTTTATATCTATAATTTATAAATCAGCATTTCCTTATATTTTGTAAACTAAATATCCAATTTTAATATATTCCTTATCAGTTTGTCAATATATACAGATAATATGTAGTTAATTTGTTAATAAAATACATTAAATTATTTTATTTGATTAGTTTTTTTGCTTAAGCAACAAATACATTGATAACAATTTTTAAAAATGTGAAAATGTTAGTCATTTTTAATTTTGTAAATATATTTTGATTTAATTTGTGCTGAATGGGCAACTAAGTAGACTACTTTTATTTTTATATTTTTTTGGATATATGTACCAGGGTTATCAGGAAAATATATATATAATTTAATAAAATGATTGTATTAAAATAGTGTAGTAATAAAAGTATACAAAAAATACAATATATTTTGAATATTATATTACCTTTTTGGCAGCCTTTTTACTTTTCTTCTCTTTTGGTTTGAGTTTAGGCCCTAGAAGAGCACTAGTTTGTTTTCGGTGTTCGGCAAGTGCTTCCTCATAGCTTTTCTTTTTAATGCCCAGTTTGAATACCAAAAATAACGAAAACGAACCAATAACTAACACACCGACAAAAATTAACGGTACTGCTATATCCATATTTCCTAGAAATAAAACATATACCTTAAGTTATTTGCAATAGAAGACATAAAACGATAATTATTCAAGAGTACATAACAGTTTTTAAAGAGAAACTAAATGAATAAAATTCCAACTTCTAGAATAAATGTGGTATGTGTTTAATTAGGAAAAAAGTGTGTTACTATATCTAGTAATCTGAAGAATTATTTTATAAATTTACTAACGGAATACCGGGCCACGTATACCGTATATGCGAATAACATTTTACATTTCATAGAATAGAAATTTACCTTCTATAAAACACAATGTCTTCCTAAACTCACACTAGCACTAAATATTATATAAAACTGTATAAATATTGCGAAAAGAAATATAATACGTGGATTTTTAGGCACCACAAAAATTAAATTAGGATGGAACAAAACTGAAGATTAGAAAACGATAGGCGACTTTGCCAGATTTTTGACAGCTTAACAATAAGATTTTTATTTGATTTTTATTGCGTTGGTTAGACTTGATTTAATCAGGAATACCAAGCAAAAAATTTAAAAAAATAAAAACTATTTAAAAGCTAACATCTCTGAAGCTAACAGATTCTATTTACAAGAATCTTTTTAATAAACTGTATTGGTAAATATTTTAAAATAATGATTCATAATGTTTAAAAGGGTTAAAAAATATCTAATATTACTGGCAGCTCTGGCTAGGGACATTTTGGTCTAAATGAAAACAGTTACCGCCCCTGGAAAATATTCTTTTAACAAGAGCTGTCAACGTTGAGTCAAGTTAAAGACTTGTGAAGTTATTTTTTATATAATTTATCTCATATTTCTTACTATTTAACTATATAGAATTAGTTTCTTATTAAACTAAGGGATATTTATTGAATAAAAACACTTGTTTCTTAATAATTTATTAAAATGTTAAAGAAATGCCTGATTTTATAGTTCATCTAATTATTTGCGTACCAGATAATTTCAATATAAAAAAAATAAGTTTTGTATGATATTTTATACTGGAGGGAATAAATACAAATAAAGACAAATCATTTAATTAATTTAAGAAGCATATTCTACTGAAATTTTAATAAAAACCATCCATGTTTATTAAAAAAAGTTAAAATCGAGGCATCCAAGAGCAAAAAATACTCGATCGTGATTGGTCATTTTCGGTCGCATGGAGGTTTTGAATTTTATTCTCGTTCGATGTTGCCGGATTGTTAAAAAATGTCGAAAATCTTTTTTTCTATGTGATTTTTGTGAAATTATATTAGTTTAAATTGACCACTGGCACTATAATAAGGGTTTGGTAAGGGTCATTTCTATATATTTTTAATAAAACAAGTATCAGTAATGTTGTTTTGTAGAAATTTCTTTAATTACTTCTTGTGATTACGTACTAACATTATAGTCTTTATTCTTGGTTTCGATATATTTATAGCATTAAAAATATATTTAAACAGCTTTGTTTTATGTTTATTTCATGATTTTTGTGTGTTTATGTTTATAATTACTTATTTGTTTTTTATTTATGACAATAATTATTTTATCTTACGTAAAAAAACGATTTCAGTGGAACGTATTGAGTAAATAATAACTTTTGAGAACAAAATTAAACCTAATTTACAAGAATTTTCTATAAACAATTTTATTAGTAATAAATAAATTAATTTTATGAGCAGCTTAGTTTTACGAATGACTTCAATCTGGCAACGCCGGTCCTCCTTTGGTCGTTTGCAATCGAAGGATCCGCACGTCCTCTCGTCGGTTGCATGGATTTTTTAATTTTCTCACGAAAAAGTGCGTTTAGTGTACACAATTTATGCGTAATATGTTACTAGTGCCCTGCTTAGCCTCCTGAAAAAGTGAGTACCCATAATTTTATGTATTTTTTGGGATATTTTAGTTTAAAGTTTTTGGATTTCGCAATATCCATCATGGCTGCCTTCTTCTCAATGTTCCCCATTAAGTTATTAATTTTTAAGAATATTGTTTAAATAATCTACGTAGATTAATAAATAAGTATGTAAAACTATGTATTTTTGGTACTTTCTATACTGCGTGTTACATAAGGGTAAAATAGTACTACATTTTTGGTAAATTACGTAATGTATCTTTGATTTTTTGTTTAATTTTTTCGGTCAAGCAATGTTTAAATAAAATGGCCGCCTGTTGGAATTCGACGTCTTGATTTTTTCTAAATTGCTATTTTTAATTTAAATTTCTTTTTATAGGGCATACTTGGAGTTTTCTTTATTTTTTAAAAATATAATATGCGCATTTTAATAATATTTTGAATGAGTAGGTTTTTTGTATTTAAGTTTTAAATAGGTAGGTTTATTAGGTATTTTATTACGTATTTTTTTTATTTAAGAATCCTACATGCCTACTCGTAGTATTTATGTTTCAGCATTTTTGTAATGATTTCTGATATTGGTATTTTAAAATATATTTCTCTTTTAAAGCGCGTTATGTAATATTACATATTAAAAAATAGTATTAATGTTGACAAATGATTTTTGCTAACTCAGTATTAGTTGTAAATTTGCATTGAAGAAATAAATCAATTGTTACTGAATTTTTATAAAAATTAAATATATTTCGAAAACAGTCAGTATGATTTTGAGGTAAATTTTGATCGAATGTTTTTTGTGTCTTCATAGTAGAAACTAAAAATGTAATAAAATATATTGGATGTCTCATTGTTAAAAAAAATATTACTTTAATATTTTATTTATTTGAAACACTGAAGGTTTAACTTTTAGCTCTAAATAATATGTTACAACTCTAAAAACTGCTTGTGTATTTTTATTTTTTTATGTGTTACATCATGGAAAAATTCTTTGGATTTTGACCATATTCATCAAATTTATATTCTTTTTTTCTATGTCATATAACATCTTGATATTTTTGACATTTTTGGTATAATAATCAAGGAAAAATCTTATAAAATATTGCTGAGATATAAATGGAGCATCTCTTTTTTCATTTAAAATAAATATACCTATTTATATATTGTCGTAATATTTTTATAGATGTTCGATAATATTTTTATAGGTATTCCAATATTTTTTCTTTTTTTAGGCGCGTTATATTAATACTACAACACCACACACTCCTTCCCCACTCACACGAGCATTGCTAGCTCTCTGTGTTGGTTAATAAAATTTCCTAATTCAACATTAGTGAATTTCATTAGCTGATGCGGTTGGTTAACAGTGTTTTTGTCGGTGTGGATCCCCGGCTTAAGATGACTCCAGAGCGCGGCGCGGCCTTCCCCAAGAGAGGAGACTTCTTGGGTCACCCCCTAACCCCGATGTTCGGGCATCGATGACCTGTGTAGCATGCAGAGGTACCCAAGGGAGTCACCACCCTCTGATTTACGAGCTAGGTGTTCTAATGCTAGAGGCTTCGGCCGGATACAACCTGGCACCCAAGCTCCGAGATTTCTTCGTGCACGTATTCCGTGACCCTCGAAGAGGCAGGGGCGGGATATCGGACACATTGAAGATGATGAGGGGGGTCCGCCTGTAGGGGGTCCCGGTGGATGTCCGTCCGACGGGTGACGAGGGTGACCCAGACGAGGCGGCTTAATTGGGATGGGAACTGACTGGTGAGGCTTAATCGTCGACCAATGGGTCGAATCTGCACAAGGAAGGCAACCAGCACACACTCGCAGGCGGGTCGTGGAAACATTTCTTTGTTTTTTCTCTTGGTCTGCCCCGCGTCGAATTTTGAAGGCAGAAAATGTCGGGAGGAGGCGAGCATAACCAGGCCTAACTCAAACCTGTTAAAAGTAAGTTTATTTTTTTATATTACATTAAATTGTAAACTTTTACTGTACTCTCTACCAAATAACTTTTTTACCGCACCATGTAGCAATCAAAATTCTTTTTATATAAGTGTTGTATATTTTAGTTTTTTTGTTACATGAGCTTCAATTTAAAGTAGAATAACTTTAATAAGTTTAAATTCGAATTTAACTTGTAGTTACTTATATAACTAATTTATTTTTTTATCTTTTTAGGACAACCCGGGTTCGCAGCGCGATTTTAAAAAACAAGATTGAAAAAGTCAGAAATTCTATCTACATGCTACATATGATCAGTCCCAAAAAATTTCGGATTGTTCCAGGCACCGTCGAATACCTGGAAAACGTGTTTATTGTCAACTCTACAGGATCGACCGAAGTCCATGGAGTTGGGGGCATTCGATGTGCCCCATAGCAGTGAGACGCCACTGTTTTTTTCGCCGTATAATTATTATGGCGGGACTGAAAATGAACTTAAGCAAGATGCGATGGTGAGTTTTTATATTTTTATATTGTTTTTTTTTTGTTGTCTATAGCTTGTTTTTGTTGTAGAATGTTTAGGAGGGGCGTTAATCACCGCGACCTTATAGATCTATTGTGTGTTGTTTTCGTTAGAAATATTCAAATATAATTTTTTTTCTCTTACAGGTGATACGGTAGGGCTGGAGAACTTCAAAAGTCGGTTCGCGTCGTGGTTCCAAAGCAGTAACTTTAGGTTCCCTACATTTACAGAATGTTGCATTAAGTACTCGTTTTTTAATTTACAATTTTTACATCCATTTTACTTTTTTTCTTACTCTATACAAGGCTTTAATATAAAGTTTTTTAGCAATAATAAATGGGGGTAATAAAAAAATAACTCCAAAGAGACAAAATTAGGTAGCATATTGTTTTTCTATTATATTTGGAAATAACTATTTTTCGTCTTATTTTAACATTGATAATATTATTTAATTTTTTTAATAGTGATTTTTAATTAAACGTAAATTAGTAAATAATGCAATTTTACATTATAATGAGAATTAAAGTATTAGTAATTTATTTTTGTTACTAAAAATAAACAAGGCTAAAATTAAATTCAGTTTGTTCCTACATAAATATTTTTAGTACTAAACTGCTTTGGAATGATTTTTTTGGGGGGACAGTAGCAGGATTAGGGCCATCTTCTAGATGCCATCAGGTAAATTTATATAACTTTATATTTATCATTTTCTTTGACTAAAAAGTGTTTTTCTTTTTTTAGGTAGGTGCGCTAGCGTAGTCGTTTGTTGTAGCATTATATCCCTTTTCCCCCTTTTTAAAAAAAGTTTGTAAGACGCCTGTGAAATTTGTATAAGTTAGTTATATAAGTAGTTGAATAAGAATTGTTGAGGTTTGGAAATTAGAAGAGGACAGAGAAGATGGAAGAGGATTGCTGTGAAATAGAAGGAAAGGAGATAGGAGATGTTTGAGGAAAGGAGGAGGATTTTGTCCGCTGTAATGGAAGTTTTTTGAATGAAATTTGGAACAACTGTATTGAGGTATTTTTTTTCATCTAGTTACAAAAAATAAATACTTATCACAACTTTTATTTTTTTATAGATGTTATTGATATCTTGGACATCACGTTTCATTTATTTGTGTATTATACAAGCCTATCTATTGGTGAAAATGTAAAATGGCAGCTGGTATAACACCTTGTATGAATTTATTATTAGGAACTCCAACGAAGTTTTGACATAATTTAAACTGGGAAAAGGCTCACAAATGACTAGTTTAGGCTGCAGTAGTACCAGGACTTTAAATTGGCTTTCACAACACAGATATCTTTCAAAAATGGTAAGTTTTAACATATCATATTCTTTTTTTTTAAGTTTTTGGAATACTTGAAAATTATGATAAATATTCATTATTTACAAGTTTAATATTTTGAGTTTATACTTCTACATATATTTTAATAGGTATTGTTATGGATTCTGTGGGTCCACTAATTTAAACTCACCATAAAATACTTAACGAATTTATTTTCTCACTATATACACACATAATTAACTTTTTAAAAATCCTGCACCAATTTGTCAACAAATTTGTGAAAAAAATTCAATAACTAACCGTATTTTAGATAGCTGCTTCTCGAACGTTTGAAGATTATCTTTAAGGTTTTTTTTTATTTAAATTAATCTAATTTGATACTACAATTTTTCCTATTTATTTTAATTTTTAGATATCTGTTCGAGTGATGTACTGGGCGTTAACAGTTGCTGTTACAAATCTGCAAATGAGTTACTACTGTGCATACGTTTGAGAAATGTCAAGAAATGTTTTGAATGAAACGATAGTGAAAAACTTGTCCACAAATGTCAATTTCAAGATACAATCGATAGTACTAATATTGATTGGCCTCCATTACCATTATGCTATAAAAATGGTAAGTTATTTATCTTATCTTTTTTTATTATAATATGCATTGCAAATGCATAATAATGTCTGCAATTTTGTATTTAATTGCAAAATTGTAGGCTTAATAATAAAAATAAGTTATAAAAATATTAATATATTTATTCAACAAAATAAAAACACTAAATCACCACAATACACCAAAACACTTTTACTTTTACACTGGACGCGCGTTTCGCCAACCATGTTAGCATCATCGGCAGATGATTATAAACTCAAAAGTTCATCTGCTGATGATGCTAACATGGTTAGCGAAACGCGCGTCCAGTGTAAAAGTAAAAGTGTTTTGGTGTATTGTGGTGATTTAGTGTTTTTGATTTTGCTGTGTAACACCAAAGGTTCCTACCCTCAACTGTAATATTTATTCAATCTCAAAATATACTTATGATACCTACAAATATGTGCATCAAACAATTTTATCTAGTATAAGTATTTTCTTTTTGTTAAATATATGAAAATTTAATAATATTTTAAAGAGTTGCTCCTTGCAGTTGTAAAAAAAAAAAGTTTTTCTTTTTTTAGGTTTTTGGAATGCTTGAAAATTATGACAAATATTCATTATCTACAAGTTTAATATTTTGAATTTATACACATATATTTTAATAGGTATTGTTATCGATTGTGGGTCCGCTAATTTAAAGTCACGATAAAATACTTAACGAATTTATTTTCTCACTATATACACACGTAATTAACTATTTAATAATCCTTCACCATTTTGTCAACATTTCCTATTCAAAAACTAACCGTATTTTAGATAGCGGCTGCTTCTCGAACGTTTGAAAATTATCTTTATCGTTTTTTTTTATTTAAATTAATTTAATTTGATACTACAATTTTTCCTATTTATTTTAATTTTTAGATATCTGTTCGAGTGATGTACTGGGCGTTAACAGTTGCTGTTACAAATCTGCAAATGAGTTAGAAGTTTGAGGAATGTCAAGAAATGTTTTGAATGAAACGATAGTGAAAAACTTGTCCACAAATGTCAATTTCAAGATATAATCAATAGTACTTAGATTGATTGGTCTCCATTACCACTAAGCTATAAAAATGGTAAGTTATTTTTATTTTTTTATTATTTAAGGCTACAATTTTTGTATTTCACTACAAAATTGTAGGCTTCAAATTCAAAGTAAAATAAGTTTGAGATTGAAAATATATTAATATATTTTTTTTCAATCTTTTTAGTTATTTACAAATTTGTATCAGACAATTTTAATTTTATTTAGTATGTTTTCTTTTTGTAAAAATCTATGAAATTTGACAATATTTTAAAGAGTTACTATTGCGTTTATTTTTTTAATATCTACCTAACATATTAAAAAAAACATATTTTTTTATTCCAAAATGTGTGAAGAAACAGACTATAAAAATTTACTTATTTATTTTTTGTATTTTTAGTCAGCTATATAAATTGGTATTAATGGACGTTTTGACAGCTGTTGCCAGTCCAAGTTCCAGTTTTAATGGAAAATCTTTAATGGACACAGAAAAATGCCATTTACTGAATTGACTTCAACACCTGTTACCTTTTAATAATGGTAAGTTATGCCTATCAAATTAATCTTATAAAATTTTATTTGCAAAGCTTGAAAATGCTGAGAAATTATTAAAATTTCCGTCATATTCAAGCTCTTTTGGTTCAATATTAACAGGCTCTATTTCTGTTTTCTTTTGTGAACTAAAACAATAATAAAAAAGACTTAAAAGCAGGACAAAATAAAATACAGACACTGTATTACTGGTTGCATATCATCGATCATGGAAAAAAATGCAGTTTTTAAATCTTTTTTTAATAATTAATATTTAAGTTTCCACTAAGAATACACGCAATAAAATTATAAACCGAGTAAATATAAGTTGATTTTTTTTATTTTGATATTTTTAGTAAAGTAGATACCTTATTTATATCTTTTTCGATCGTTAAAACCGCAAATATTATTATATTAATTATAACTATTTTTTATTAGATAAAATTAACTAATTTTAAGTCTATCTAAGATCTTTATTGTTTATTGTTTATTTAATATGACTTTTTTAAATTGATATAAAAAATAGCTATTATTTTTTTACATAATTTTGAATATTTTTTTATGTTTTAGAAAGATGATATAAAAAATTATTAAATATTTGTTTTTCAATTTTAGGTATACAACGGTACAATTGCTGTTAGAAGTCAACAAGTAGTACTAGTTGCAGATAATATATTATGGTGGACATAAAGCTTTAAATGGAATGAAACTTACAGGAAAAATAAAGGAAAACCATTTTAGACTGTATGTATACGTAATAGCTGTTAGAGTGTATGCAGTCCTTCATCAATGGTAAGTTATTTATCTCTTTTTTTTATTAAATTTCTTTGACAAGGTTGCAAATTATGATAAATTTAGTATGAACAAACTGACGTCATAATTTTTTTTTGTTATTTAATTTTTTTTATCTTTTAATTTTTTTGTACTTTTAGTGAGCTGAACAAATTGATGGTAATGGACATTTTGACAGCTGCTGTCACAACTCAACGAACAAGTTGCAGCTTTGAAGGAAAATTTTTGATTGGATACAGAAAAATGTCGTTTCAGGATGTAAAGTTAATAGGACCAAGATTGTGCTTGACATCTGTTGCCTTTTAATAATGGTAAGTTATTTTGATCATTTTATATACAGAGATTTTCATACAACTGGTTCATTGAAAGTTTTTCAGGGTATATATTTAAGTCTCTAACTAGTTTAATTTGGACTAAATTTCATTTTAAAACACTTTTAATGAGCTAGTTACGTGAAATACTCTGTATATATTTTTATGAATTGGCATTGATAAGCTTGAAAATTCTGTAAAATTATTAAATTTTGTAGAATATTCATACTTTGCAGTTTGTACAGTCTTAGAATTTTATTTTGCCTTAAATTTTAACAGGTTTTAACTTTTTTTATTTTGGAAGCTAGAATTTTCATTGAAAATATAAAGAAATTAGAAGGTTTTAACGCAAGTTTTAATGATTCTTTTTTTCGTATATTATTTTTATCCATCTTTTTAAATTTACAGGGTATCTTATTTAAAAATATATACATTTTCTACCAATAACTTAAGTGGGTGTCAAATGGCAGTGTATCATATTTATAACAATAAAATGTATTAAAACTTGACAAGAAACCCTATAATTTGTTTTTTTTAATGAATGGTCTAGCTCAAAAAATAGAAAAAAAAATTAAATGAACAATGCTAAGAGTGTATTACTGGTTGCATAGCCTTTATTTTTTTTAAGTTACCACCAAAATAAATATATTAATTTCCGAGTTATTGCTAAATATTAGTTTTACTTTTATATATATATATATATATATATATATATATATATATCTAGTAAATTAGTTATTTATTTTTTTGATCATTAATAAGTCATAATAATGTATTACTGTCATATCAAGGAAATTTACAATTTTTATATTATTTCTGAAGTTATCAATAAAAGTCTTTCTTTTAATTTTATATGACTCTTTATAACTTACTCAAATTAATATAAAAAATGTGTATTATTTATTTGTTATTTTACATAGTTCCAAATATTAAGATAATTTATGTTGTTTGTCTGCTTCTCTGATACTAAAAATTTACTACAATAAAAATTACCTAATATATTTTTTATTTAGGCATACCTAAAGGACAATTGCTATTAGAAACAAATAAGTCGTACTAGCTGCAAGTAATATTTATGGCGGACATCAAAAAGCTTTAAATGGAATGAAACTTGTGTAGAAGAAATCGAGGAAAACCATTTTGAACTGCTGTTACTTAATAGCTGTTAGAGCCGATCCAGTATTCTTCATCAATGGTAAGTTATTTATCTATCTTATAAAATTTCATTGGACAGCTTGAAAATTTTTAAAATTTTCTAATATTCGAGCGCTTTTGCTCCAATATTAGAACAGCCAACAACTATTAAAAATAGGCAGGATAAAATAAAATGCTGATACTGTATTACTGGTTGCATATTTTTACGGAATCCGTGGGTCCGCTAATTTAAACTCACGATAAAATACTTAACGGATTTATTTTCTCACAATTTATGCTGATCACAACACACAATTAACTATTTAAAAAAATCCTTCGCCAAATTGTCAACATTTCAAAACTGTTTGGTTTAAAATTACAGTAAAAATTTACTTAATATTTTTTTCGCATTTTAGGTATATGCTGGAGCAATTGCTGTTAAAAATCCACAAGCCGTACTATCTGCAAATATTATTGTGGTGATCAAAAAGCTTGACATGGAATGAAATTTGCAGGAAAAGACTCAGAAAGACCATTTAGGACTGTACTTAATAGCTGTTGAAAAGTGGTCGCAGTCCTTTATCAATGGTAAATTATTTATCTCTTTTTTCTTACTAAATTTCATCGACAAGCTTGAAAATTATGAAATATGCAGCTGCACAGATCTCTGAGGTCAACGTCTATTCCTATATGTCATTTATTAAAAATTGATATAAAAACTTCTCAAAAATAATATTTAAATGAAAAAAAGGAAAAAGATTTAAAACATACCGATTATTATACAAGGGTGAAAACCTTAATTTAAAAAATATGAACTTTGATTTTTTTTAACATTTCGTTCTTTCATTTTTTATTAATTTGTATATATACCAATTTTTTATAAATGATATATTGTGGTCTACCTGGCAGAAATAATTTTCATCAATTGTTATTTCAAAAGCCACAATAATGCGGTTTTTTTTTCTCATAGGGTATATGCAAATTATTAATTTAAAAAACATAGTTATTGCCTTAATAAAAATATATATATTTTAATTTTTGCATAGATCGTTTTATTCCTTTTTTTAATATTATTTTTATTTTATTTTTTAGATATCTCCTCATTTTCTTAACAATGGATATCTACAGTTGCTCCTACTCCTCACTTTCCTCTTTCACTCGACATAAAGCAGACTCAATACTCCTCAATGCCTCACCAAGGTTCGTTAGCTTCATTAATAGTGTTATTGTTTCAATAAATTTGTTTATTGGTTTTTATCCTCTTACTATGTAATTACATCAGGCGTCATTTTAATGTTAATTTTTTGTAAAATTTTGATAATCTGGATAGAAACCTTTATTTTTTCTTAAGCTTTTGCAATATAAAACACTAGTTAAGAGCAATACACTTTATTTTATGAATAGGACCATTATCTCTGTTGATATTGTTTTTATATTTGTGCTTTGTGTTGCCTCTAGTTTGAGGGATGTTTGATTAATTTTAAATCATTCAAATCAATGCAATAATCTTTATGGAGGATATGTTGAGCAACATAATACTAATCTGTTACAATTTTTCATTTCAAGCTTTTTTTCAATCTCACCTATCTTATATTTTACTTCCATTCACTCAGTTCAATCATTAAATTGTTATTAAATAAAACTATATTGTATTCTGGATTTCGTAAAAGGTATTTTTTAAAAGAATTAAAAACAATCTTTATAGACTCATTTCCAATTTATTTTTATCTTGTATTATTTATATTTTCCTAAGCTTCTCTGAGTTTATTCCAGATCATCAAAATTATATTTTTTATACTTGCGCAGCTGCGTCACTATAGCCCTATGAACACAAGTATTATTTTGGTTTTACAGTGTATGTTTTTTAATATTTCATTTATTGTATTAACGCGAAACTAAATTTTATAGAATTTAACTAACTTTATCTTCATCCGGATGATAATTTAATAGTTAATGGTCAATTTAATATTTTTTCATAAAAATTAAATGTGATTATTGAATACCAATGTCAAGCCAGTAGAAATGATTTATTAGTGTTTATTTTTTTGAAATAATTTTTTTATTAAATCAATTTTGGATACTTGTGTTCATATAGTTTTTTTTTGCTTTTGAGAATTATTTTTGGTACCCTAACACAGATGTTTTTAATCAATTTATATGATTTTAAAATATGTTTATATCTATTTTGTATTTAAATTTTAGCGATAAAGTTTGTTTCTTTAACACAGAGAGCAATGCACTTCATGCATTGTTTTCTTTTTTATGTGCAGAATTCTCTTTATATACAGTATGTCCTCAGAACGTCTTTACAAGAGCAAAAGCTTTTTTTTTATTAACATTTTCATAAAAAATACATTTCTTATAAAAATATTTTTCTTTTTAATATTTTCATTTTAATTTATTTAACAAATATATTGTGTGAGCATATTCGTAGATATACTGTGCGATTCAAGTATATTTATACTAAAATTGTTTTTTTTAAATGCAATAAAAGTAATCCAATCAAAATTGCATAAATTAGTTGTTTTAGAACCTTTAGTATTACTGGTTGCCTAATCGATTCTTATGTAATGTTGTGGTAATGTTCTTATTATTTAAAAAAATCTTATTTCCAGTAGTAATTTTTTCTCTCAATTTTAGTATTTAAAATGTCTCTGAAAAATACAAACTGATGTTTGCTATGTGTTAATAAAATCGTTACACTTGCGTTTAAGATAATTAATTACTGCTATATAATTTTTTTATAAAATATGAAACAAACTTTATCTCTTAAAATTTATGAATTTTACATATGAAAATGGTCTGCTAGGGTATATAATATATTTATTGTAGGATCAATTGAAATATCATAAGCCATGATATAAAAATTAACACTTGTATATACATATTTGTTAAATATATAATTTTAAGATAAAACACATTTTTACACAAAAATAATAATTCTAGTTTTATATGTGGCATATCGTTTTTCAGTTGGTCCTTCAACATTTAAAATCTTTTGGCATAGAATTCATTCCACTTAAATGTCCCAAAAAGATATATTTTAATACCAGTTTTGTATGTTATTTGGTGTATTAGAATTTTATAAATATTGTTTTTAATATTTTGTTAATAATAGTGATCTATAGCTTACCTTTGCTATCTGTAATAAGAAATATTTCTAAATATTTTTTGTCGAAAATAAATATTACTTTATAACATTTATTAAGCAAAATAAATTTGCAGATCCCTATTATTATCAAAGAGATATCATTAAAGTATTTCAATACAATATCTTTTTTTTTTTCAAACGTCATAAAACTATTAATTTTTGCAACGTGATGGCAACAAAGATTGACATAATATAAAAAAGTAATTTTTACGCTTAAACACAAAAGTGCAAGAATTATTATTAAACTGACATTAAGTGTCAGATTTAACAAGCGTAACCATAATTTCTCGATATATAATTACTTACAAAATATTACTTTTAAATATTTTTATATTTTTGCAATTTTTGAAATTGTTTAAAACATTATTTGTGACGTTTGAAAAAAGAACATGTTCTGTTCGGAGTAAAAATGACTTTTCACGAACGTACAGTCTCGCCGCAAAAAGTATAATTTTTACTCCTAATAAAACAATATACCGTATGATCGAAAAAAACGGCGTCCAGTTGGCTTGGAAATGAACATCAATTACATTTCTCATATAATTTTATATATAAAATGACAGCAATCTTCATTTTATAGCCATCGCCGACGCCATTTTTATTCGATAATATTGTACTATTTCTGTACAAATGTTATTATCTGTTTTGTATATAATATTATTGTAATCTATTGCTGTATTTTTGTTATAAAATTGCTTTGTATACATCTATATTTTGTAAGCGTTTTAGAGGTTCCGAGCACTACGTTTACAGTCATTTCTTTTTTCATTTTAAATATTTTTTTGTCGTGTCTAATAATTAATCAGCTAATTAAGAATATTTTTTTAGTAGCTAAAAAAGAATAATTTATATTACCACAGAGTGGCCCAATGTTACAAAAATAATCATGTTAGGTCTTCACTTTGAAATTTTCACTAAATTTTTTTTTATAAAATATAGGGGTTACAGTAGATCATATTTTAAAGTCAGTTCGTAGAAATACACAGGGTGTTTTTAATATATTTTTGCTTCATATTGGTAGTATTTAAATGCAATGTTGTTATTTTAGATTTTTCCTGTACATTTTTAAAGCTTTCATAAATTTATGAAGTCGTATTTTTTTAATTGAAAATCTACATTATAAAATGCTAATGTTTATCTGTGTCGTCTCTACTGAAGTAACGACTTGCTCTAGAAAGTTGCTTTTTTTACTAAAAGATAGCTAATTGGCTCTTCTAAAAACTGTCGTCGCCGGATTTTTTGTTTTTCATTTAATTATAAAAAGATAATAAAATATTTTTATTTCTGATGTCATGGCGGATGCGCCAGGCTTCAACTAGTATTTTATATAACAAGATCAAAACAAATTGTACTAAATTACTTTATACGTTGGTAACTAAATATAATATAATGTCTTTCTTTGCTATATAAATAAAACACCCTTAATTTTATAATAATGTACTTTATAAATAACAAAATTGTGGCATTGTTAATATTTAGAAATTAAATATATCCAGATATTTGAAAGTAGAATATATTAAAAAAATTATGCTTAAGTAATTACTCCTTCAAATTACACAAATAAATTACATTAAATAACATTCTTATGAGCTGATACTGTTGTTTTGTATGCATCTGGCAAGCTTTTTCTGGAATAATTTATTTAATTACCACTTATCAATTATCTGAACTAATTTTAAGGCTGTAAACGGTAGTTTTGGAATCTTTAAATATTTAATCAGTGATGGGATTAAGATTTGTAACTGTGTAATGATTAATCCACCACTGTATTCCAGTAGAAAATTGCGTAAATTAATTATATAAAGCTAATTTTACATAGAAAAATCATCTGAAAATAGTTATCTCAATTTCTTTAAATTTTAGTATAACTGGTTGCCTAATCGATTCTTAATCATTCAAACACCTTAAAAGTTAAAATTAGTTGAATAATTAATATATTTGTTTATTGCTTTCTAAGTAAGTATTGCTTTCAAATTTCAATTAAAAAAAAATCGTTTAAATTACTACAGGGTGGCTCAGTGTTAAATAAACTAGGTGTTCTATTTAAGATTTTCACTTCAATCTTTTTATTACAAAATATGCCAGTAATATTAGAGCACATATTAAAGCCATTTAAAATTTCAGTTAACTAGAAGTTTACCTTGTTATTTAATATGTTTTTTATTTATTTATCAACTATTCACTTCAATTTTCTTTGTATAATTTTAATTCATGCGATGAGCGATTAATTAATTTATGCAATTTTTAATTTTATATTAGTTTAAATGGAAAATAAACAACAAACCCTATAAAAACTTCCATTGTTAAAATGTTCCAAATGTATTTGTCACTTCCTCATGAGTGTATTTTCCGTCATTTTATCATTTCCACTTTGTGTGCTTTATTGAAAGTATTGGCGCTTGCTATGAAAAGTTTATCAATCAATAATGTTGCACAGACTTCCATCTCGCTCATTAGTAAGGATAGGTCATTGCGATTTTTATAAACTTGATTTTTATGAAAAATAAAATTGCCACAGTCCCCTTTTAGTGTCTATGATACAGGGTGATTTTGAAAATGTTACAGTTTCAGATACATCTCCTATTTCAGTAGTCTGACAACTTATCAATAAGTTTTAAATCATATTGCTATGGAACTTCTTTTTTTAATTTCTTTAAATAATTTAAATGTTTTTTTTAAATATCGACCAATGTTTAGTTTCTATTAATGGGACAGCCCGTATATTTGTCAGGAAATTAATGTATCTTCTCACAAGCCACCATAAGTCACAGTTTTTAATTAGAGGTAAAACAGTTTAATACAAATTTTGTTATATCCTATGTCATTGTTCTTAGTATTTATATTTTTAGTTCCTTATTGTTTAAACTTCTCATTTAAAAATTAAATAGATTAAAATTGGTTTCGCTAATTAAAAGATAATAGCAGCATTGTTTTGGCATGGTCCTATGTAAATTTTTATTTGTATTATTTTAAAATTATTAATTCTGCATCTTTTAACTAAAATATGCTGTTACATATATTTTCAAAGCTTGTGAAGGACGAAGTTAATTTTTTTGACAATTGTACAGGGTGTGTGATGAAAATATTAAGAAAAAACTTATTCTTATGTCTCTGGTTCCACCTAATATATTCTAAGTATATGAATATGTTTTTATTTTTTTCAGACTACTGATATAATATGAAGTGTGTGTAAAACTGCAACACATTGTGTCATAGAAACTAAGAGGGCCATGACAATTTTGTGTACTGTATCTTTGCTTTCAAGAAAAAAATAATGGGTTCGTTTAAGTAACGAGTTCGACATTTAGTATTCTTTACTAATAAGCGAGAAAGCCTTTAATTGCAACGAAATGTGGAAATGACGAAACCGTTTAACATGGGTATCTCATGTTTTATAGTGTTTCTCCCTTATGAACAGGAGATAGGAAGTAGCGGATTTTGCAGTGGCTACTATTTTTTTATAAAATACCCTACGGTCTAAAAAAAACGGCGTCATGAACGGCTGGGGAATGACGATGACAATTTTTGCGAACTCAAGCCCTAGACTTCATTTTCTTGGCCCGTCCTCTTCTTTATTGTTGAATGGCGCTTACTGCCAGTTGCCCTTAAGAAGGTTGTATTTTATTTTTATACTGCGTAAAAACCACTTTTAAATGGCGTAGTTTAAAATTACAGAAAAAAAATATTTTTTGGAAATAGATTTGTGTGTCTAGAACCGTTCTATCCTTTTTTATTTTTTCTATAATTTAGGGTTAATATTGAAGTTTTATGTAAAATTTTACTAGATACAAACGTCTAGAGATTAACCTCGCCAAAATTATCATCGATTGTTATTCCCCAGACGCCTTTGACGTAGTTTTTTTACTTTTTTTAAATCACATGTTATAACCTTCATAGTTTTTGAGCTACAGGGTGATTTTGATATATGCTTTTAACATGCTTTTTACCGTCCCTTGTATTCAGATTTCTTATTTTGATTGACAACCTGTACATAAAATATATAAAATACACCTTCCGTTGATAACTGAAGAACATAATTTCATCTGAAAGAATTTTTTTTATAAAAATTCGCTTTTGCTTATAACTTTTTAAATATTTATAAAAATGATTTTGTAGCTTAGAAACTAAGAGGGCTGGGATAATTCATTTATCACAGCCCTCTTCCTCATATCTGTAATTTCATCAATAAGAAGCCAACTATTTTGCGAAAATCTCAACTTTATTTCTATCTGCATTCATAAGCTAGAAACTCCCTAAAGCATATGAAAATGTTAATATAATAAAAAAATAATAAATGTTTATTTTTTTTCTACATCCTGTACAGGTTAGCAATTTACGTTGTCCAATAATTTAACAGGACGCCTTATTTTTGCGATAAATTTTATTTGTTATTTATTTTCCTGTAGCAGCACGTTTTTCGAACTCGCTATAAGAAAACTTACAGCAAGTTCTTAACTTGCTGTAAAAGAACTTGCTGTAAGAGGCAGCGCGTTCTTAAGGTCGGTTTACATGGTGCTGCTGAAACGCATATTGTAACACCGCACCAAGGCGGGTTGACGCGGTCCAAGTGTACTTGGATATAAGAGCCATACTTACTGCCATATAAGTATAATTTATGGATGCTGCGCGCATCTCACTTGTACGCTGTTTGTATCGTATCAATGTTTTATCCAAGTCGAGTTGGAAAGCTTCATATCATCCTACAAAGCTTTCCAATTCGACTTTGATAAAATAGAACCAGCTTACAAGTGAGGTGCGCACAGCATCCATATAAGTATACTTTTATGGCAACATTCAAGTGTAACTTAGTCCAAGTCAACCAGGCTTTAAAATTTATACCGTGTTCTTAGAACATGCTGTCAAAAATACCTGATTATTTAATGTAAATTTTAATACCTTATTCTCTCTCTTTAATGTAAATTTTATGTACCAAATATACGCAAAAATGAATTTAATATTCGTTTTTTTTTAATAGTAAACAATTTATTAAGCACACTTAGTCTATGTGGCGCAATCTGGTGTCAATGTACCGAACTAAAGTACATATGCACTTTAGTTCCGGGCATTAACACCAGATGGCGCTTCCATCATTTTTAGTTCTGGGCATTAACACTAGAGGGCGCCACTAGCATTTTTAGTGTCAGGCATTAGCACCAGAGGGCGCTTCCATCATTTCTTTAGTTCCGGGCATTAACACCAGATGGCGCTTCCATCATTTTTTTTAGTTCCGGGCATTAACACTAGAGGGCGCCACTAGCATTTTTTTTAGTTCAGAGCTTTGCCACCAGAGGGCGCCACATGCGCAAGCTTAAATTTAAATAAAACAATTATTTTTATTTCAATAGGTTTATTTATAATAATTACTACATATATATAATTATTATAATAATTACTACATGCAAGGATGGATTTGAACAATGATTATTTATTAAACAATGATTATTTATTTTATGTACAAGAGTATACATCGCATTGTGGTTGCAAAAGAGGGTTATCTCTCCATTAAGCCCGGTTGACACGGTACAAATGTACTTCGATCAAAATACACTTGGATGCTGCCATAATTGCCATATAAATATACTTAAGGATGTTGCGCGCTTCTTACGTACGCGTTTGTATGGTTGATATCAACTGTTTTCTCAAAGTTGGAAAGCTTCATAACATCCAAGTAAGTAGGCTTGCTACCAACTTACTTGGATGTTACAAAGCCTTCCAACTGGACTTGGATAAAACAGTTAATAAGATACAAGCAGCGTACAAACAACTAACACGCGCGTAGCATCCATATAAGTATATTTATATGGCAGTATCCAAGTGTACTAGGTCCAAGTATACTTGAACCGTGTCAGCAAGCTTTTAGTCATAGTCTCCTAAACTCCTAAGGTCTAAGGAGGCCATGACAATTTAGCTCAAGGTTGCTTATGAGCGAGATACCCTCAATTACAACCAAAATGGGACACTCTGTACATGCATCAGGAGTATCCATTTTAGTTGCAATTGAGTTTTTTTTTGACAAGATATTGTTTTATTAATAGAACCTAACAGTTTCTACAAACTTGAATTACATTTAAGTGAAACTATAACATAGCCTTCGCAGTTTCCATGCTAAGGATGATAATAAAAATGTTGCATTTCGGACACCCGTCGTATCTCACTAGCCTGACATGTTAAAAAGATAAAAACGCATTTTTATAAAACTATTTACATAGAAACCAAAGGCTTATTTAGTTTTACTTTTAAGAGTTTTATATACCAAATATTGACCAATATTTACTTTGTTTTAAATGGGACACCCTGTATATTTGCCAAGGGAATATTTTTACAAGCTTCTCAAAAATTCTTCTAAGAAAAATTAATGTATGTTTTAATGACACAGTGTTATCTATTTTTAATAAGCTTGTAAAAGGACGAATTAATTTCATAATATTCAGGTTGTCCCAATTAAAAATAAACATTTGTCAAAATTATATTGGACAAAAACAGAAACTAATAAGGCCACTGGATTCTTCGAAAAATCATAAAATTTTATATAACTGTGATACGAAGGGATCTGACACTGCCACATTTTCAAATTCGCCCCGTATCAAGAATACTAAGTGGGATAGCAAAAATGTAACTAAATAATAAGCCAAAAAACCCACTAACTAAATGGGATACTCCATATACAGGGTCCAGCAACAAACAGTACGCCAGTTATTGCAGACGCATTAAGTGCAGACCTAAACTGTGTATAGTTTGTCCAACGAGAGGGTACATGGCGTGACAGCTATGTCTGTCATTTTAATTAACATGTAAATTGTATTTCCTGTCATTTTTTGGATGTCGTCTGTCGAGATTTTCCCTGACGCGTTGGCCAGATCTTACTGAATGCAAAAGAAGAGCGTCGCCAGTCGATGGCCTAGAGGGCGCAGTAAAACAAAATCCTCGTTTTTTGCAAATTTCTCGAAAACTTGACCCTTAAGGCAATTTTTTAATCTCTAGCTTACTCTCGGCCCACTCTTGGCTACGCTCTATTTCACAAAAAAAATTATATACAGGATATCTAAAAAAAGTGCGAGTGTGAAGTATTCCTTTCTTGTCACTGTAGTAATTTTGATAGTTCCAGAGCTTGTTCCAATGAAAATATATACCTTACAGTATATTTTAAAAAATAACTAAAAATCTATAAATTGACGACGGTGTTTACCATAGAGTTAAAAATTAAGTGTTTAGAGTTGGTTTATACTAACTTTATCATGAATATCGTAATCGTACATTGTACAGGGGGAACAAAATTCGATGCCGAACTTGCTAAAATTTCTTATTTTTTAAAAGGAACGCAGTGAAATATTGACACGACTTTTTCACCTAATAGTTTTTTGTCCTGTATTTTACTTTTACGAAAACCCAAGAAAAATTACTGTATGTTTTAACCACGTTCATATTAAATTTTGAGCACCCTGTATAGTTATAACATTTATAATCGTTAGTACAGACCACCTGTATAGTAAATACCAAGCATTGTTTCTATTTCAAGCCTGGTATTTTTTTTTACAAAATAGCTGAAAAATACAATATGACTGAAAAAAAAACTGCGTCAGCGATGGCTGTGAAATGAAGATCGCTGTCATTTTATATGTAAAATTATATGGGAAATATCATCGATGTTCATTTCCCAGCCAACTGGACGCCGTTTTTTTCGATCATACGGTATATGTACAGTTTTCAGATATATTTAGTGCGATTCATGCAACTTTCCCTATTGGAGGTAGGAGCCAGAGAGTGAAATAAAAATAAACAAAAGACGATGAGAATTATTCTAAAAAATGTATAACTTAATTTTTTATCGCACTAAATGTCTCTGAAAAACGTGCACCTATATTTTATGTACTTATTTCTCTTGAACTATCAAAACAAATTTAGTGTAAAAACGTGAAAAAGAGAAACATTTAATACATCCACACTTTTTTGAGACACCCTATGCAACTGAACATAATTTCCTGAAATACGATCTAGTGCACGTTTTTAGTCTGCACTTAAAATTAACTTAAGCCGCTTTGTTGCAGGACCCTGTATATTTTTTACTGTGGTTATCAACACTGTCTATGCCATTGAGACAAAAAGCGTATGTCAAAATACAGGGTGACCCGGTATACTAAAAAGACCTAATATAATTTTTTCTGTTTGCGATTTTCACACTCCATTTTTTTACAAATGACGACAATGGTAGAGCACATATTGAAAATATTCTTATACATATACAGGGTAATACAAAAATATTTTTATACTAATGTTGTAGTATTCCTTTTAAAAAAACTAAAAAGAATTATCTATAATAATTTATAGAGCTCATACTTTTTGTACCCTTTTTGTTTAAGATTTTACTATTAATTTAAACTGAGTTATTTTTGACTTCAGTTAGATTTTCAGACATTTTTAAAACTTGTATTGTCCAATTTTCTAAATAAAATAAATGCATATAGTTTTGAAAAAGACACTATATACATGAAAATCTATTTTATGAAAAACATAAAATAATACTGATGTTATTTAAAATTTGAAAATTTCTATAGTAAATCTACTGAGCAAACAAAATATAAACCTTCCCATTTAAAAAAACTGCAACATTAAGTGTAAAATTATAGTAGAATCACCGTGTATATCTATTAAAACAAAAGTATATCTATTAAAATATTTTGCAAGAAAGAATAATGAAAAACTCTAACTTGATTTGAAAATGTTTCGGTATACTGGGTCACCCTGTATATAGTATATGTAAATTAACATATAAAATTTAAAAATATGTTACATTTGTTTAACAAAAGCAAAAAAAGAATTATAAATCCATCTAATAGTTGTTGGTTTCAAAAAGATTTTTAAGAAAATATAGGCAACCAACAAATCATCTTAAATTACAAAAACCCGAAATATTTTTTAATTAAAAGTTTGATAACCACAGCAAGTGGGACACATCAATTAATAATATTTATAATCAATATTAGGTGTATTCAATCAAATTGAGGAGTGTTTTATCAATTTTTCTTCTTATAGCACAATTAAAAACTTCTAAAAATTAGAACAACAAAACCAATAATATTATAATTACCTTACTTTGCAAATTAAGTTATTTAATTAAATATTTGTACTGAAAAAAAACACCTTATATTGATTATATTACATATAAAAGCAAAATGTAACATTAAAAAATGTGCGACACTAAAGTTTTACATAGATACAAAACAAATATTAGAAAAAACTGTGTAAAACAATTAGATGTACCTGTAGCATCCATATATTTATTAACAACATATAATTTTATATTAATTATACTGTACTTTATTATTAGATGAAAAAATAAATAAATATATATTTTTTATTAACTCTGTGTTTTATTGTTATTCTAATGAGGTAATTTTCAATATTTTACAACGATCTAAATTTTATATTACGAAACAATAAGGTAAGTAATAATAGTAACAATAAGCTAAAGATATTAAGTACTTAAAGAAAAATGCGTTAGCCAAAAAAATTACTCTAAACTGAAATAAGAATGATTATAATATTTAAATAATTAACGTTAAATCAACAAAATGAGACATTCAATTAGTAAAAAAATAATAATGATTAAATTTTTATCCGACTTTATATTTAAGAAGCGTTTGCAAATAATTTTAACGTCAAACACAAAGTTTTTAAGTTGAAAATCACAGACAAAATATTAAAAAAGAAGCGTTATAACAAACAGATGGTGCCCCATGTACTTCTAGATAATTAATTACAGAACTTCGATCAAGACAAACGAATATGGAATAAATGCGATAATAAATATTATTTAAAAAAATAATTAAATAGTTTCACTTAGTTTATATTATGGCGAATGCGCTAGGCGATCTTAGAATCTTTTAGATATAATATGAATATACTCTGGTCTCTGTTAAAAATTAATATATTTTTGATATAAAAAAAATCTGCTATAATTACTTTTAATATATAGGGTGTCCCATTTTAAAAACATATATTTCATACGAATAACATTAACAAAATTGACAACTTACAACATTTTTACATTGTTAAAATTAAAAAGCATGTGTGATAATCTTTGAAATCAGAAAAAAGTGCTATTTAATACACTGCTAATATACAGGGTAAAACATTAAACATGTTTATACCAATAACTGTAACAATTGAGAGCTTATGACATCCAAATTATGACAACCAAAGACTTTTTATTTTTTATTTATTTACAAAAAAATAGAAAAAAATATATAAATATAAAAATTTTTTTTTTCCAGTTTACAAAAAAATAGAAAAAAATATATAAATAAGTAGTATAATGTTTGTTTGAAATTAGGATAAACAGCAATGTTGTATGTAAAAAATAAAATTGTTAAGTTAATTTGTATTATGTTATGACAGATGCGCTAAATTTTAGAATATACAATAAAAATCGGCATTAGCGACTGTTTCATGACAAACCCTGTATAAAAATCTTTGTTGAATAAAATGCGCAACTAAAAATGTCAGTCCGCGTGGGCAAGCGTTTTTTACGACATATTCCTATTTACTTATTATCGAATTTGTTCCATTTGGCTGTATTACAATTATTACATTATTATTATTATTACAAATATATACAAAATGGCTTACTCTATATAGCCTGTTCAACGAGCCGAAGAAGAGTTTGACAGATAACATATCCTTAAAAATGACAGAAAATACAATTTACCTGTTAATTAAAATGACAAACACAACTGTCACTGTCAGGGATCCTCTCATTGGATAGACTATATTACACATGACATATAACAATACAAAATAGTAGGTATATCGATTTATTAGGAGTAAAAATGATACTTTTTGTGGCGACGCTGTACGTTCGACATTACAGGCGAGGCACAAAAAGTCATTTTTACTCCGAATAGAACATACTATTTTTTTCAAACGTCACAAATAATTGATGCAATGATTTAAACACAAAGAACGACGCAAATAAAATAAAAACATTTGAAAGTAAGTAATTATATATCGAGAAACTATGATTACGCTCGTTAAATTTGACACTTAATGTCAGTTTAATATATATATTTTTTCGTATTTTTATGCCTAGGCATTAAAATATTTTTTATATTGTCAATCACGTCGCAAAAATTAATAATTTCTGACGTTTGAAAAAAAATTATAATGATAAAAATTGATCAATCATGAAAAAACATCTGTCCCTAGGCCAGTGGCGCATCTAGAGACTGGATCTGGGAGGAATAATTGCAATATTTAAGTAAACTAGTAGATTTGAATGAAATTTTTGCTAAAAAGTTTTTTAGTAATCGGAGGAAAAAAAATAAACTTGGAATTGTAATTATTTTTATTTTATTTATAAATTTCTTTCTGGGATGGGTAATTATTCCCTTTACCACACTCGTATGCACGCCCCTGTCCTATGGTACCAAAAATATTTCATAAAAGCAAAGAAAAACTATATGAACACAAGTATTAACAAAATGGATTATTTTGCTAAAAATAATCAATCTAGAACTTATAAAAAATGATTAAATTGACCATTAAACTATTAAATTATCATCTGATCGTAGATATAGTTAGATAAATTCCATAAAATATAGTTTGTGTTAATACAATAAATAAAATATTTAAAAATATAAACTTTTAAACCAAAATAATACTCGTGTTCACAGAGCTATAGTGACGCAGCTGCGCAAGCATAACATTTATAATTTTGATAATCCGGAATTAATTTAGAGTAATTAATTAAAAATAATTAAAAAACTACTACTATAAAAAATTGGTAATGATACAAATTTATAAAGAATCTCTTTAATTCTATTAAAAAAATATTACGTTATAATACAACTAACAATTTAATTAATAATTACAATATCTAATGATTTTTAATGAATGCAAAAATAAAAGATAAATGAGATTGAAGAGAAATTATAACAGATTATTATTATATTGCTCAACATATTTTTCATAAAGATTAATGCATAGATGTTAATGATATAAAATTAATCAAACATGCCTCAAACTAGAGGCGATTAGATAATAAATAGAGCATCAAAATATAAATAAAAAAAAGACAATATAAACAGAAATAATGGTCCTATTCATAAAATAAAGTTAATTGTTCTTAACAAGTATTTTATTTTGCAAAATCTTAAGAAAAAAAACGGTTTTTATCCAGATTATCAAAATTTTACAAAAAATCAATAACACTAATATGACGCCTGATATACTTAAATAGTTAAGAAAAGGATAAAAACCAGTAAACAAATTTATTGAAACAATAACAATATTAATGAAGCTAACGAACCTTGGTGAGGCATTGAGGAGTATCGAGTCTGCTTTATGTTGAGTGAAAGAGGAAAGCGAGGAGTAGGAGCAACTGTTGATATCCATTGTTAAGAAAATGAGGAGATATCTAAAAAATAAAATAAAAATAATATTAAAAAAAGGAATAAAATAATATATGTAAAAATTAAAATAAATATATTTTTATTAATGCAATAACTATGTTTTTTAAATTAATAATTTGTATATACCCTATGAGAAAAAAAAACCGCATTATAGTGGCTTTTGAAATAACAATTGATGACAATTATTTCTGCCAGGTAGACCACAATATATCATTTATAAAAAATTGGTATAAAAAAAAATTTTCACCTTTGAATAATAATTGGTATGTTTGAAAACTTTTTATTTTGTTACATTTAAATATTACTTTTGACAAATTTTTATATCAATTTTTAATAAATGACATATTTATAGGAATAGACGTTAAAAAATATATTAAAAAAAGATATATCTATGTAAAAAGTAAAATAAATATATATTTTTATCAGCAAGCATATTAATTTCTCAAGGCCTAAAAAGTAGTAAACGAATTAAAAAAATACGTCCTTCCTTAAATTAATAATTTGTATATACTCTGAGAAAAAAAATTGCCACAATATATCATTTATAAAATATTGGTATAAAAATTTATAAAAAATTAAAGAATGAAATGTTAAAAAATTTCAAAGTTCATATTTTTTTAAATTAAGGTTTTCACCTTTGTATAATAATCGGTATGTTTGAAACATTTTTCCTTTTTTTCATTTAAATATTGTTTATGAGAAGTTTTTATATCAATTTTTAATAAATGACATATAGGAATAGAGGTTGACCTCAGAGACCTGTGCAGCTGTATATTTCATAATTTTCAAGCTTGTCGATGAAATTTAGTAAGAAAAAAGAGATAAATAATTTACCATTGATAAAGGAGTGCCGACCACTTTTCAACAGCTGTTAAGTACAGTCCTAAATGGTCTTTCTGAGTCTTTTCCTGCAAATTTCATTCCATTTCAAGCTTTTTGATCACCACCATAATATTTGCAGATAGTACGGCTTGTGGATTTTTAACAGCAATTGTCCCAGCATATACCTAAAATTCGAAAAAAATATTAAGTAAATTTTTACTGTACTAATTTTTGAAAATTTTTGAAAACAAGACTAATAAAAAACAAAAATAAAAAGGATTAATCAAAATTATATTTATAAAAATATATATTTATGGCGTTTATTCTAGTGGGGACTTTAATATATCGTTAAGGTGTGTGTGACGAGTTCTGTAATTTTAAACCAGTTTTGAATAGCAAATGTTGACAATTTGGCGAAGGATTTTTTTAAATAGTTAATTTTCTGTTGAAATCAGTATAAATTGTGAGAAAATAAAGCCGTTAGGTATTTTATCGTGACTTTAAATTAGCGGAACCACGGAATCCGTAACAATATGCAACCAGTAATACAGTATCAGCATTTTATTTTGTCCTGCCTATTTTTAATAGTCGTTGGCCGTTCTAATATTGGAAGAAAAGCGCTCGAATATTAGAAAATTTTAAACATTTTCAAGCTGTCCAATGAAATTTTATAAGATAGATAAATAACTTACCATTGATGAAGAACTGGATCCGCTCTAACAGCTATTAAGTAACAGCAGTTCAAAATGGTTTTCCTCGATTTCTTCGGCATAAGTTTCATTCCATTTAAAGCTTTTTGATGTCCACCATAATATTTGCAGATAGTACAGCTTGTGGATTTTTAACAGCAATTGTCCCAGCATATACCTAAAATTCCAAAAAAATATTAAGTAAATTTTTACTATACTAATTTTGGAAGATTTTGAAAACAATATTAATAAAAAACAAAAATAAAAAAGATTAATCAAAATTATATTTATAAAAATATATATTTATGGCGTTTATTCTAGTGGGGACTTTAATATATCTTCAAGGCGTGTGTGACGAGTTCTGTAATTTTAAACCAGTTTTGAATAGCAAATGTTGACAATTTGGCGAAGGATTTTTTTAAATAGTTAATTTTCTGTTGAAATCAGTATAAATTGTGAGAAAATAAAGCCGTTAGGTATTTTATCGTGACTTTAAATTAGCGGACCCACGTAATCCGTAACTATATGCAACCAGTAATACGGTATCAGCATTTTATTTTGTCCTGCCTATTTTTAATAGTCGTTGGCCGTTCTAATATTGGAAGAAAAGCGCTCGAATATTAGAAAATTTTAAAAATTTTCAAGCTGTCCAATGAAATTTTTATAAGATAGATAAATAACTTACCATTGATGAAGAAATGGATCCGCTCTAACAGCTATTAAGTAACAGCAGTTCAAAATGGTTTTCCTCGATTTCTTCTGCACAAGTTTCATTCCATTTAAAGCTTTTTGATGTCCACCATAATATTTGCAGATAGTACGGCTTGTGGATTTTTAACAGCAATTGTCCCAGGATATACCTAAAATTCGAAAAAAATATTAAGTAAATTTTTACTGTACTAATTTTTGAAGATTTTTGAAAACAAGACTAATAAAAAACAAAAATAAAAAGGATTAATCAAAATTATATTTATAAAAATATATATTTATGGCGTTTATTCTAGTGGGGACTTTAATATATCGTTAAGGTGTGTGTGACGAGTTCTGTAATTTTAAACCAGTTTTGAATAGCAAATGTTGACAATTTGGCAAGGATTTTTTAAATAGTTAATTTTCTGTTGAAATCAGTATAAATTGTGAGAAAATAAAGCCGTTAGGTATTTTATCGTGACTTTAAATTAGCGGAACCACGGAATCCGTAACAATATGCAACCAGTAATACAGTATCAGCATTTTATTTTGTCCTGCCTATTTTTAATAGTCGTTGGCCGTTCTAATATTGGAAGAAAAGCGCTCGAATATTAGAAAATTTTAAACATTTTCAAGCTGTCCAATGAAATTTTATAAGATAGATAAATAACTTACCATTGATAAAGAACTGGATCCCCTCTAACAGCTATTAAGTAACAGCAGTTCAAAATGGTTTTCCTCGATTTCTTCCGCACAAGTTTCATTCCATTTAAAGCTTTTTGATGTCCGCCATAATATTTGCAGATAGTACGGTTTGTGGATTTATAACAGTAATTGCCCCAGCATATACCTAAAATTCCAAAAAAATATTAAGTAAATTTTTACTGTACTAATTTTTGAAGATTTTTGAAAACAAGATTAATAAAAAACAAAAATAAAAAAGATTAAACAAAATTATATTTATAAAAATATATATATTTATGGCGTTTATTCTAGTGGGAGCTTTAACATATCTTCAAGGTGTGTGTGACGAGTTCTGTAATTTTAAACCAGTTTTGAATAGCAAATGTTGACAATTTGGCGAAGGATTTTTTTAAATAGTTAATTTTGTGTTGAAATTAGAATAAATTATGAGAAAATAAATCCGTTAGGTATTTTATCGTGACTTTAAATTAGCGGAACCACGGAATTCGTAACAATATGCAACCAGTAATACAGTATCAGCATTTTATTTTATCCTGCCTATTTTTAATAGTTGTTGGCCGTTCTAATATTGGAGCAAAAACGCTCGAATATTAGAAAATTTTAAAAATTTTCAAGCTGTCCAATGAAATTTTATATAAGATAGATAAATAACTTACCACTGATAAGGAACTGGATGCGTTCTAATAGCTATTAAGTAACAGCAGTTCAAAATGGTTTTCCTCGATTTCTTCTGCACAAGTTTCATTCCATTTAAAGTTTTTTGATGTCCGCCATAATATTTGCAGATAGTACGGTTTGTGGATTTATAACAGTAGTTGCCCCAGCATATACCTAAAATTCCAAAAAAATATTAAGTAAATTTTTACGTACTAATTTTTGAAGATGTTTGAAAACAAGATTAATAAAAAACATACACAAAAAAGATTAATCAAAATTATATTTATAAAAATATATATTTATGGCGTTTATTCTAGTGGGAACTTTAACATATCTTCAAGGTGTGTGTGACGAGTTCTGCAATTTTAAACCAAACAGTTTTGAAATGTTGACAATTTGGCGAAGGATTTTTTTAAATAGTTAATTGTGTGTTGAAATCTTGTTGAAATCAGTATAAATTGTGAGAAAATAAATCCGTTCAGTATTTTATTGTGAGTTTAAATTAACGGACCCACGGAATCCGTAACAATATGCAACCAGTAATACAGTATCAGCATTTTATTTTGTCCTGCTTATTTTTGACTGTTATTGGCTGTTCTAATATTTGAACAAAAGAGCTTGAATATTAGAAAATTTTAAAATTTTCAAGCTGCTCAATGAAATTTTATAAGATAGATAAATAACTTACCATTCATAAAGAACTGGATACGCTCTAACAGCTATTAAGTAACAGCAGTTCAAAAAAATGGTTTACCTCGATTTCTTCTGCACAAGTTCCTCTCTCTCATTCCATTTAAATCTCTTTTTATGACCACCATACATATTATTTGCAGCTAGTATGTCTTTATCGGTTTCTAATAGCAATTGTCCTATCGTATGCCTAAATAAAAAAAAATATAAGGTAATTTTTTATTGTAGCAAATTTTGAAGCTATCAGAAAACAGACAATAACATAAATTATGTTAATATTTAGAACTATGTAACATAACAAACAAATAATAGACATTTTTTATATTAATTTGAATAAGTTATAAAGAGTTATACAAAATTAAAAGAAAGACTTTTATTGATAACTTCTGAAATGATATAAAAAATTGTAAAATTCTTTGATAAGTAAATAAAACATTATTATAATGAGTTAATAATAATCCAAACAATAAATATCTAATTTACTAGATATATAGAAAAAGAAAAAATTAATATTTAGTAATAACTCGTAAATTTATTGCGTTATTTTGGGGATAACTTTAATAATTTTAAAATAAATTTAAAGATATGCAACCAGTAAAACACTGTTAGCATTGTATTTTTTTCCACTTTAACTGGCAATGAGTTTTTAATTTTTTGAGCTCTAATATTAATTAAAAAAACAATTATATTAGTTTTCCAGTCAAGTTTTAATACGGTTTTATTATTATAAATGTCATACACTCTCAAGTATCACCCAGTTATTGGTAAAACTGTATATTTTTAAGTGAAATGCCCTATAAATTAAAAAAAGAGACATAAACATAATAATTTTGGTGTATTTTTTATTAAATTCTGATAAAACTATTACAAAGAAAGGACACGAGTGTCTTTCAGAAATTAAAAAATGTGCCACCTAATATATTTTTAATGTATAGGGTCTTCCATTTAAAAATACACATTAAAACATGAGCTAAAACTTTATAATTTCTTTTTTTTAATGAATGTTCTAGCTTCGAAAATAAAAAAAAAGTTAAAACCTGTTAAAATTTAGGGCAAAATAAAATACTAACACTGTACAAACTGCAGAGTATGAATATTCTGTAAAATTTAATCATTTTACAAAATTTTCAAGCTTATCAATGCCATTTTATGATATATAAATAATATATATAAAGGGCATTTCAGGTAACTAGTCCATTAAAAATCTTTTTTAAATGAAATTTAGTCCAAATTAAACTAGTTATAGACTTAGAAATATATATACAGTAAAAAACTTTTAATGAATCAGTTGTATGAAAATCCCTGTATATAAAATGATCAAAATAACTTACCATTATTAAAAGGCAAAGGATGTCGAGCCCAACCCTGGTTCTATTAACTTTCCATCCTGAAACGACTGACATATTTCTGTATCCAATCAAAAATTTTCCTTCAAAGCTGCGACATGTTCGCTGAGTTGTGACAGCAGCTGTCAAAATGTCCACTACCATCAATTTGTTCAGCTCACTAAAAGTACATAAAAAATTAAATAATAAAAAAAATTATGACGTCAGTTTGTTCATACTAAATTTATCATAATTTTCAACCTTGTCAAAGAAATTTAATAAAAAAAAGAGATAAATAACTTACCATTGATGAAGGACTGCATCCACTCTAACAGCTATTACTCTAAAATGGTTGTCCTTTATTTTTCCTGCAAGTTTCATTCCATTTAAAGCTTTATGTCCACCATAATATATTATCTGCAACTAGTACTACTTGATGACTTCTTAACGGTAATTGTACCGTTGAATACCTAAAATTAAAAAAAATATTAAATAATTTTTTATATCAATTTTTTAAAACATAAAAAAAATATTCAAAATTATGTAAAAAAATAATAGCTATTTTTATATCAATTTAAATAAGTCATATTAAACAAACAATAAACAATAAAGATCTTAGATAGACTTAAAATTAGTTAATTTTTTCTAATAAAAAATAATTATAATTAATATATTTGCGGTTTTAATGATCGAAAAAAATATAAATAAGGTATCTACTTTACTAATAGTATCAAAATAAAATATATTAATATATTTTCAATCTCAAACTTATTTTTTTTTAATTTGAAGCCTACAATTTTGTCGTGAAATACAAAAATTGTAGCCTTAAAAAATAGTAAAAAATAAAAATAACTTACCATTTTCATAGTGCAATGGTAATGAAGGCTAATCAATCTAAGTACTATTGATTGTATCTTGAAATTTACATTTATGGACAAGTTTTTTACTATCGTTTCATTCAAAACATTTCTTGACATTCTTCAAACGTATGCACAGTAGTAACTCATTTGCAGATTTGTAACAGCAACTGTTAACGCCCAGTACATCACTCGAACAGATATCTAAAAATTAAAATAAATAGGAAAAATTGTAGTATCAAATTAGATTAATTTAAATAAAAAAAAAACGATAAAGATAATTTTCAAACGTTCGAGAAGCAGTCGCTATCTAAAATACGGTTAGTTTTTGAATAGGAAATGTTGACAAATTGGTGAAGGATTATTAAATAGTTAATTAAGTGTGTATATAGTGAGAAAATAAATTCGTTAAGTATTTTATCGTGAGTTTAAATTAGCGTACCCACAATCGATAACAATACCTATTAAAATATATGTGTATAAATTCAAAATATTAAACTTGTAGATAATGAATATTTATCATAATTTTCAAGCATTCCAAAAACTTAAAAAAAAGAACATGATTTGTTAAAACTTACCATTTTTGAAAGATATCTGCGTTGTGGAAGCCAATTTAAGGTCCTGGTACTACTGCAGCCTAAACTGGTCTTTTATGAGCTTCTTCCCAGTTTAAATTATGTAAAAACTTCTTTGGAGTTACTAATAATTCATACAAGGTGTTATACCAGCTGCCATTTTACATATCCACCAATAGATAGGCTTGTATAATACACAAATAAATGAAACCTGATGTCCAAGATATCAATAACACCTATAAAAAAAATAAAAGTTGTGATAAGTATTTACTTTTTGTAACTAGATGAAAAAAAATACCTTAATACAGTTGCACCAAATTTCATTCAAAAAACTTCCATTACAGCGAACAAAATCCTCCTCCTTTCCCCTCAAACATCTTCTATCTCCTTTCCTTCTATTTCAAAGCAATCCTCTTCCATCTTCTCTGTCCTCTTCTATTTTCCAAGTCTCACCAATTCTTATTCAACTACTTATATAACTAACTTATACAAATTTCAGGCGTCTTACAAACATTTTTAAAAAAGGGGGAAAAGGGATATAATGCTACAACACACGACTACGCTAGCGCACCTACCTAAAAAAAGAAAAACACTTTTTTAGTAAAAGAAAATGATAAATATAAAGTTATATAAATTTACCTGATGGCATCTAGAAGATGGCCCTAATCCTGCTGTTGTCCCCCAAAAAAATTCATTCCAAAGCAGTTTAGTACAAAAAAGATTTATGCAGGAACAAAGTGATTTTAATTTTAGTAACAAAAATAAATTACTAATACTTTAATTCTTATTATAATGTAAAATTACATTATTTACGTTTAATTAAAAATTACTATTAAAAAAATTAAATAATATTATCAATTTTAAAATAAGACGAAAAATAGTTATTTCCAAATATAATATAAAAACAATATGCTACCTAATTGTGTCTCTTTAGAGTTATTTTTTTATTACCCATTTATTATTACTAAAAAACTTTATATTAAAGCCTTGTATAGAGCAAGAAAAAAAGTAAAAATGAATGTAAAAATTGCAAATTAAAAAATGAGTACTTAATGCGACATCTGTAAATGTAGGGAACATAAAGTTACTGCTTTGGAACCACGACGCGAACCGACTTTTGAAGTTCTCCAAGCCATACCGTATCACCTGTAAGAGAAAAAAAAATAATATTAGAATATTTCCAACAAATACATATGCTAGAAGAAACAAAAAACAAGCTATAGACAACAACAAAAAAAACAATGTAAAAATATAAAAACTCACCATCGCATCTTGCTTAAGTTCATTTTCAGTCCCACCATAATAATTATACGGCGAAAAAAACAGTGGCGTCTCACTGCTATGGGGCACATCGAATGCCCCCAACTCCATGGACTTCGGTCGATCCTGTAGAGTTGACAATAAACACGTTTTCCAGGTATTCGACGGTGCCTGGAACAATCCGAAATTTTTTGGGACTGATCATATGTAGCATGTAGATGGAATTTCTGACTTTTTCAATCTTGTTTTTTAAAATCGCGCTGCGAACCCGGGTTGTCCTAAAAAGATAAAAAAATAAATTAGTTATATAAGTAACTACAAGTTAAATTAGAATTTAAACTTATTAAAGTTATTCTACTTTAAATTGAAGCAGTTTTAAAAAAGTTTAAAAAAACTAAAAAATTGAAGCTCATGTAACAAAAAAACTAAAATATACAACACTTATATAAAAAGAATTTTGATTGCTATACATGGTGCGATAAAAAAGTTATTTGGTAGAGAGTACAGTAAAAGTTTACAATTTAAATGTAATATAAAGAAATTAGACTTACTTTTAACAGGTTTAAGTTAGGCCTGGTTATGCTCGCCTCCTGCCGACATTTTCTGCCTTCAAAATTCGACGCGGGGCAGACCAAGAGAAAAACAAAAAATGTTTCCACGACCCGCCTGCGAGTGTGTGCTGGTTGCCTTCCTTATGCAGATTCGACCCATTGGTCGACGATTAAGCCTCACCAGTCAGTTCCCCATCCCAATTAAGCCGCCTCGTCTGGGGTCACCTCGTCACCCGTCGGACGGACATCCACCGGGACCCCCTACAGGCGGACCCCCTCATCATCTTCAATGTGTCCGATATCCCGCCCCCTGCCCCTTCGAGGGTCACGGAATACGTGCACGAAGAAATCTCGGAGCTTGGGTGCCAGGTTGTATCCGGCCGAAGCCTCTAGCATTAGAACACCTAGCTCGTAAATCAGAGGGTGGTGACTCCCTTGGGTACCTCTGCATGCTACACAGGTCATCGATGCCCGAACATCAGGGTTAGGGGGTGACCCAAGAAGTCTCCTCTCTTGGGGAAGGCCGCGCCGCGCTCTGGAGTCATCTTAAGCCGGGGATCCACACCGACAAAAACACTGTTAACCAACCGCATCAGCTAACGAAATTCACTAATGTTGAATTAGGAAATTTTATTAACCAACACAGAGAGCTAGCAATGCTCGTGTGAGTGGGGAAGGAGTGTGTGGTGTTGTAGTATTAATATAACGCGCCTAAAAAAAGAAAAAATATTGGAATACCTATAAAAATATTATAGAACATCTGTAAAAATATTACGACAATATGTAAATAGGTATATTTATTTTAAATGAAAAAAGAGATGCTCCATTTATATCTCAGCAATATTTTATAAGATTTTTCCTTGATTATTATACCAAAAATGTCAAAAATATCAAGATGTTATATGACATAGAAAAAAAGAATATAAATTTGATGAATATGGTCAAAATCCAAAGAATTTTTCCATGATTAACAAATAAAAAAATAAAAATACACAAGGAGTTTTTAGAGTTGTAACATATTATTTAGAGCTAAAAATTAAACCAACAGTGTTTCAAATAAATAAAAAATATTAAAGTTATATTTTTTTAACAATGAGACATCCTATATATACAGGGTCCGGCAATAGTGCGTCGGGCAGCTGTAGCTCCAAGAATAAAAAACTTGAGAATTTTATTAAGTGCAAACCTAAAGTATGTACCAGGATGTATTTCAGGAAAATATTTTAACTTCTACAGGGTGGCGCATAAAAGTGTGAGTGGACCTGGATGATTTTTTTAAATGGAACACCCTGTATATTATTGCATTTTTGGCTTCCTTTCAGATCACTTTACATAACCCTAAGATATGAATAAATATATTTCGATAGTTTCAGAGATATTAAAAATAACTCAAAAGTATATATTTTTCAGCCTTCTTAAAAAAAATTAAATTAAAAATACAAGAACTGTCCTGAAATCATAACTATATTAGGCATTTACTTTAGATGGTCTGTTTTTACTTTGCTATAAATATGGTAATCGTAAATCATACAGGATGTTCAATATTCTACGCCAAACATTCTAAAATATGAAATATTTTTTTCTTTGTTTTTTAAATGGAACACCTTATATTATTATTTTATTAGATGGAGAGTAAAAAAATGAACATTTTTTGTATTTAGAGTATTTCATAATTTTTAACGGTTTCGCAGATACACGCAGTATTATTTCATATGGCTTTTTCAATGGTAAAATACGAGAGAAAAATCATAGGGTGGCTTTGATAAAAAATTATTGTGGAAAATGCCATATGAAATATAAAACCGCAAATATCTGCGAAACTGTTAAAAAATTTGAAATACTCTAAATGTTCATTTTTTAATTCTCCGTCTATTGAAAAAATAATATGCAGGGTGTTCCATTTAAAAAAAAATCATCCAGGTCCACTCGCACTTTTTTAAGCCACCCTATAGAAGTTAAAATATTTTCCTGAAATACATCCTGGTACATACTTTAGGTTTGCACTTAAACAAAATTCCCAAGTTTTTTAATCTAGGAGCTACAGATGCCCGACGCACTATTGCCGGACCCTGTATATATTATTACATTTTTAGTTTCTACTATGAAGACACAAAAAATATTCGATCAAAATTTACCTCAAAATCATATACTGACTGTTTTCGAAATATTTTAATTTTTATAAAAATTCAGTATAACAATTGATTTATTTCTTCAATGCAAATTTACAACTAATACTGAATTAGCAAAAATCATTTGTCAACATTAATACTATTTTTTAGCATGTAATATTACATAACGCGCTTTAAAAGAGAAATATATTTTAAAATACAAAATGCTGAAACATAAATAAATGTAGGATTCTTAAATAAAAAAAAATACGTAATAAAATTCCTAATGAACCTACCTATTTAAAACGTAAATACAAAAAACCTATATACTCATTCAAAATATTATTAAAATGCGCCATATTATATTTTTAAAAATAAAGAAAACTCCAAGTATATCCTATAAAAAGAAATTAATTAAAAATAGCAATTTAGAAAAAATCAAGACATCGAATTCAACAGGCGGCCATTTTATTTAAACATTCCTTGACAGAAAAAATTAAACAAAAAATCAAAGATACATTACGTAATTTACCAAAAATGTAGTACTATTTTACCCTTATGCAACACGCAGTATACAAACTATCGAAAATACATAGTTTTACATACTTATTTATTAATCTACGTATATTATTTAAACAATATTCTTAAAAATTAATAACTTAATGGGGAACATTGAGAAGAAGGCAGCCATGATGGATATTGCGAAATCCAAAAATTTTAAACTAAAATATCCCAAAAAATACATAAAATTACGGGTACTCACTTTTTCAGGAGGCTAAGCAGGGCACTAGTAACAGATTACGCATAAATTGTGTACACTAAACGCACTTTTTCGTGAGAAAATTAAAAAATCCATGCAACCGACGAGAGGACGTGCGGATCCTTCGATTACAAACGACTTAAGGAGGACCGGCGTTGCCAGATTGAAGTCATTCGTAAAATTTAAGCTGCTCATAAAATTAATTTATTTATTATTAATAAAATTGTTTATAGGAAAATTCTTCTAAATTAATCTTAATTTTGTTCTCAAAAGTTATTATTTACTCAATACGTTCCACTGATATCGTTTTTTTACGTAAGGTAAAATATTTATTGTCATAAATAAGAAACAAATAAGTAATTATAAACATAAACACACAAAAATCATGAAATAAACATAAAATGAAGCTGCTTAAATACATTTTTCATGCTATAAAAAAATCGAAACCAAGAATAAAGACTATAATGTTAGTACGTAGTTACAAGAAGAAATAAAAGAAATTTCTACAAAACAACATTACTAGTACTTGTTTTATTAAAAATATATAGAAATGGCCCTTACTATAGTGCCAGTGATCAATTTAAACTAATATAATTTCACAAAAATCATAGAGAAAAAAAGATTTTAGGCATTTTTAACAATCCGACAACATCGAACGAGAATAAAATTCAAAATCTCCACGCGACCGAAACTGACCAATCACGATTGAGTATTTTTTGCTCTTGGATGCCTCGATTTTAGCTTTTTTTTAATAAACATGGATGGTTTTTATTAAAATTTCAGTAGAATATTCTTCTTAAATTATTTAAAAGATTTGTTTTTATTTGTATTTATTCCCTCCAGTTTAAAATATCACTCAAAACTTATTTTTTATTGAAATTATCGGGTACGCCTGGGGTACGCACATAATTAGATGAACTATAAAGTCATGCATTTCTTTTCAATATTTTAATAAATTATTAAGAAACAAGTGTTTTTATTCATTAAATATCTCTTAGTTCAATAAGAAATTAATTCTATATAGTTAAATAGTAAGAAATATGAGATAAATTATATAAAAAAAATAACTTCACAAGTCTTTAACTTGACTCAACGTTGACAGCTCTTACCGGATGTATTTGTTAGAGTTTGGCGTCACAATTTTCAAATTTGAAATTTAATTAAGCTGAAAAATCCTCTATTTACAAGAAAAAAATGTATTAATAAGTACATATTAGGATAAAAAGCATTTATTACATAGGACAACTATATATTACAATACTTTTGTCTTCTGAAACTGATAAAATTTTCGAATTTGAATTTTACATCCCCAACCTGCAATGTTTTCTAGATAAAATATCATTATTAAAAAAACAAATCTTATTTAAAAATGGTTACGTAACCGCGCCAATTAGTGTGTTCTTCTTCTTTTTCGCATTTCTATTCTCGAAAGAACCGCAACCACAAAATAATTGGTCGGCCTTGTGGTCGAAATGATTGCGCCGCATTCTAGTAGACGCAAGGTCGCCGGTTCGATTCCGGCCTCGGACATGGGTGTTAAATGTGTGTGTGAGTCTGTATTTGTCCGATTTTAAACGCTAATTAAATATTAAGAAATAAGCTGGCTGAATCGTAATAGACAAGTGGCCAAAAATAGAAAAAAAAAAACCACAAAATAAAAGCAGCTTTTTTCTTCTTTTTTATATTTATGGTTTGAACATAGACAGCCACAGATTTGCCATCGATTTTCTCTTCTTTCGTTTTAAATGGTTTTAACCAGAGAGTTTTAACGTTTAGGCAGTTTAGGTCATTCGGCTAGTGCCCAAAAAATAATCAAAAGGAGAGGGTCCAAATTGTAAATTATAATAATCTATGGTCAGGTCAGAGACGTGACGCTAAAATGGTGGTGCCATTTGTTTTCTAATAGAATCCAAGTTAAACAATTTTATTTATATTTCTTTAGTTTTAAGATAATTTCAGTATGGCAGACGTTTTAGATATTAATGATGTTGGTGACATAGATGTTGAGGACGAAGGTGATCAGAGTATTTTACGTCTAAAGGATAAAGTAGTGAAACGTAAAGGTCGTGGTTTTGGGGCCGGCGAATCTAGAGAACATGAGAAAATACGGGGCTACGAAACAGTAGATGCTGGAGATGGCGATGAACCAGGTACCTAAAACGTATAGCAAATATTTGAGTATTTATTACTTTTTAACTTATACCTAAGTACTCTAATACACACGAGTACATAATTCAATTAATATAATGTTTCAGGTCCCCAAAAATCAGTAGAAGGATGGATCTTATTTATAACTTCTGTTCATGAAGAAGCAACAGAAGACGATCTAATGGAGAAGTTTTCAGAGTTTGGACAAATAAAAAATATCAATATTAATCTCGATAGGCGAACAGGCTTTTTAAAAGGTAATAAAAAATATTGAAACTATTTCTGTAACTAAAACTAATTATTGTATTCTAAATATGAACCTGTAGGATATGCCCTAATTGAATATGAAACATACGATGAGGCTGCATCAGCAAGGGAAGCTTTAAATGGTTCTACCTTATTAGGTCAAACTGTCGGTGTCGATTGGTGTTTTGTAAAAGGAGCAAAGAAGTCCAAGAAAAAGAGCAGAAGACATTAACGTTATCGTATAAAATATTGTCAAAGTTTATACATAAGTATTTTTTAGGATTTGTCTCTTTAACATTACATTAATCTGAAAATAATTTATTCGTTTTTAATTAACAGAGAACCAAATCATATTCTTTTATAATTCCAATAAAATAAATATATAAAATAAAGTAATAATTGTTTATTTTTTTGCAAGTTTAAAATAGGCAACTGTATCATAACCTTACTTATTCAACGTGAACCAGATCTATTTTTTTATAAACTGTCCTGATAAAAATGGGTTATACTTCTGCTGCAATAGAAGATTTTCTAAACCAACACAGACCCCAATTTTTAGCGTCCCATGTGCCAGAAAGATACTGGGAATCTCTGTATAAAAAATTATTTACCCTAACATTCGATGCCGGCAATTTTTTTCAACTGGTCAAAATCGACTACGAAGAAGAAAAGCAACCCTATCATTCTTCGTGGGGCTTACAAGCCCTATGCGACCTGCAGAAAAACGACTCTAATACCATATTCTTAATCGATCACGCGTGGACATTCCAAATTAACGAAGCAAGAAAACACTTGGAATATGATAATTTGAGATTAAGAATAGCCCGTATAATGGACCTAAACGAAGACAGTCCTAAAGAAGAACTAATCGAAGAAATATTCGAGAATATGTGGCGATTCAACAATAGTTACGCCGTTAGGAATTTGGATGGTACAGAACAAACTTTAATGTGGTTTTTTATGGATGAAATAGGATGTGCCGTGCAACATAGTGGCGGGCCTAATTGTAGAATTGTACCGTTTGTGCATTTAAATCAAGGAATGTATTGTTTGTTATTTTTGCAAAAGGATATAAAGGAGGGGGACTTAATTTTCAGAGATTTTGCCGAAGGCATAACTGATCCTTTACTTCGAAAAGCTACTCTGTTACCTTGGATACCAAGTTCTTTCGATGATATACCTACAGAGCCCTCAATACCCGGTCCTGAATATTATTTAGCCGGACATATTCCAGAAACTCTCCCCGATTTGAACAACCTAAAAGCACACCTTACTCGGAAAGAAAAATATTTTGTTTTTACACAGTACAGGTTTATCAAGAAGTTTCTAACGGATTCAAAATTTCAGTTAACTGAAAACGAAGACGAAGCTGATGTTTTATGGTTCACAGAACATTTTAGAGATTTTAAAAGCTTGAGTGAAAGTCCTGGCAAGTTTGTAAATCAGTTTCCATACGAATACGTTCTCACAATTAAGGATTTACTTTGTATGACCTGTCGAAGGTATAAAAACAACACTGAGAACCCCAGGTGGTTTCCTGTAACATACAATCTAGTAAACGAAGTAGGGAATTTTGTGAGTTACTTTAAAAATAGGGAGAATGAGGGACTTGAAAATTATTGGATTATCAAGCCGTATAACCTTGCCCGAAGTATGGACATACATATAACAAATAATATAAATTATATAATGAGATTACCTGCTACCGGTCCTAAAATAGTTCAGAAATATTTAACCAACCCTGTTTTGTTTTACCGAGACGAATGCGATGGTAAGGTTAAGTTTGATGTGCGATACGTGATTTTACTAAAAAGTGTATGTCCGCTTGAAGTTTATGTATGCAAAAACTTTTATTTAAGATTTGCAAATAAACCGTTTTCGCTGGATAATTTCGATGATTATGAGAAGCATTTTACCGTAATGAACTACACGGAAAATGCTTTAAAACACTTGAAATGTGACGAATTTAAAGTGGAATGGGAAAAGCAATATTGCAATTTTTCTTGGGGTGATGTCGAAGAGAAAATATTAAAAATGATTAAAGAAATAGTGGAGTGTGCCACATTAGCAGAACCACCGTGCGGCTTGGCTGAGAGCCCCCAATCCAGAGCACTGTACGCTGCGGATTTGATGTTGAATTGGGAAGACAACGAAATACAACCGAAGATTTTGGAATTCAATTTCATGCCTGATTGTGAAAGAGCCTGTAAATATTACCCGGACTTTTTTAATGATATTTTTAAGCTTTTGTTTCTGAATGAGGAAAATAGTGATGTATTTTTTAAGCTATAAATTTACTAAATTAGTTAAATTGTACAATTTGAAAAAGAATATTATAAGAAAAAAATTGTTATTATTTTGTAAACATGTTTTAAATTTATTTACATAAAAAAAACTATAAAGGAAATACAAAGATTTTTTAACGTGACTATATTTTTTATACCTAAATAGGTAACTATAAAGCCTCCCATACACCACATTCCGTCCGGTTTTAACTGAACGGGCAGGACTGTTGAGTTAAATACGTCCAATAAAGATGTCAAAATTGTTTATTTTAATTAATTAAAGTTGGTATGCGTAAGTATGAGAGCCAAAAATAAGTAGGAAATAATATACAGGCTGATAATTTGAAAACGAACAGTATTTAATATTGCCTCTACCGATGATAGTATGAAAATTTGGTGAAACACGTGAGTTTTTTAATAAAAAAATTTTTAAATAGCAACCCCTATTCCTTTTACCATTTTTGTGTTTATTATAGAATTCTACATAAACTGCATTATTTTTTTGAGAATTTTATAAGGAACACAAAAATGGTAAAAGAAATAAGGGTTGCCATTTAAAAGTTTAGGGGTAGGTGCCCTGGGGATCAAAGGGTTGAAAGTAACACGACAACAAATGCCTCAAAAATTGTCCCCCTTGATATGTAAATTGACGTATTTCGCCAAATTTTCATACTATCATCGGTAGAGGTAATATTAAATACTGTTCGTTTTCAAATTGTCACCCTGTAGGTATCATTCAACTTAAAAATCAAAATATTCATAATACTGACCGCAATGCAGCGTCTACCACAAAACACATGCATCCAGTGTCTAGGTATTTTTTGTCTGAACCAAAGCATTATCATTCTGTCAAATATCAAAGCGCGAAGAAGTGAAGTATAATAATAGTTCATATTAATCAGAATAAATACGTCATTTTTAAAGCTTGTGTCCAATATACAGGGTATTTCTTAATTTGTCTAAAAAATATGTGGTGTGATTCCTCATATTTTTTTAAGAGAAAGTTTATATGAACAAGTGGTTTAAAGAATGTATTTCTTTTTTGATGTACAGAGCGTTAAAAATTGAGAAAAAATCGAATTTAATATACTTAAAATAAATGGCACGTCACTGCTTCCGAGAAAACTTCTTTTTATTAATTGTCCAAACTTTTTTAACAAAATTGATCTCTTGAGTATTAAACGGCTTTCGAGAAAAAAAACCGTCGCGATATTCATGTATGCTGTGCAATTCTGAGATATGTATAATGTATATTGATTCATTTTTTTATTCTCGAAAACCGTTCGATGTACAAGAAAAGCTCAAGAGATCAATCTTGCTACAGAAGGATGGAATCAAGAAATAAAAATAGTTTTGTCGAAAATAGCAGTGGCGTACCATTTATTTCGATCAAATTACCCTGGGGTGTGTGCGTACGGACGCTACTGGTTCAAGTAGGAATACATATATACAAAATAAATAAATACTAAAATTGAAGAAAATGTCTAAAGAAGTCTCCGATATATTGCGAGAAATTCGACTTTTTTTATTTTTTAATGCCCTGTAGATCAAAAAAGAAGTACTTTAAATTAGAACCCATGTTTATATGAACCTTTTTTCTTAAAAACATATTTATGAAGAATAACCGAATCCTGTAAAACACTGTAGACAAAATATTTATCTTTTACTATCTATTAAATTATTATTTTTTAATTTTCTGTATATTTTATATTCAACTGTTTAAAGCATTTTTGGGTTTTCTCTGGTCATTTACAATGACAAAAACCTGTCCCAAATCATCGTAGGTATAAGTCCTTTTTAAGAAAGTGTCCACAAGTTTAATACCAGATAAACTACTCAATCCTGGGATAAGTGGAATGCACTTAAATTCAAGAATTTTGGTTGAATGTGGCGGCAGAGGTTCTAACTTCCTTCCGGATATGTCACACCACGCTATGTGATCGGTATTTTCAAGGTATAGCATAAATTCAATAGTTCTTTCCCTGTAAATATAGTTTAGTTAACTAGTAGCTCGTAGAAAACTTATTGTATTTACCCATTATTTAGTAGTTTGCACTTAAAAGTAAACAGTTCTTCTAAAACTACAAAATTTGGTAGTTCAGAAATAGATAATCTTATATCACCATAGTTTGGGCCCTAAAACACAAAAAAAACAAATTAAGTAAAGTTTGTCCATTAGGGCAAGAAAGTCTAATATCGTTGTTGTTGATGATATGAAAAGTTTTATATAAATGTTGTACGGTTTAAAAAGGTACAAAATATACTAAAAATATTTGTCCTTTACGGTGTTGCCGTTCTATTCTTTATTTACTGAAACTCTGATTAAAACCACTTTTCAGATGAAAAAGTGGTTAGGTTATTCTTGGCAGGGTTCAGAAAACTACATGTTACTTTTAAAAACTACATAAACTACATTACATGTAGTTAATGTAGTTTATGTAGAGGGTGTAGTTTATGTATGTAACTTTCAAATATCAAAGGTTTGAGGTGAGGTTATAATAAGTTGAAGCTTTAAAAACACATAATGTATTTAAGAAAACAGAAAAAATATGGCTTTAAATATAATATTTACATCATATTATCTCTATTACACCTCATACAAAGGAAAATTATTCATAATATCAATACATAGTTTATTAACGTAGTTTTCATGTAGTTAATGAACGGGAAAAACGTAGTTTTTGAAGAAAAACTACACGTAGTTAATCAGGTAAATTACGTCTTAATTAACTACTTCCGAACCCTGATTCTTGGTTATTAACCTACAGGCAGGGTTCGGAAGTAGTTAATTAAGACGTAAATTACCTGATTAACTACATGTAGTTTTTCTTCAAAAACTACGTCTTTTCCGTTCATTAACTACATGAAAACTACTTTAACAAACTACCTATTGATATTATAAATTATTTTGCTTTGTATGAGGAGTCTAATTAATATGATGTGAATGGTTATATTTAAAGCCATATTTCTTCTGTTTTCTTAAATACATTATGTGTTTTCTAAAGCTTCAACTTATTATAACCTCACCACAGCCTTTGATATTTGAAAGTTACATACATATGTTACATAAACTACATCCTCTAAATAAACTACATTAACTGCATGTAATGTAGTTTATGTAGTTTTTAACAGTAACATGTAGTTTTCCGAACCCTGCCTATAGGTTATTAGTTTATTACTTTTATGTGACATTTACATTTTTGTGACACTCTGTATAAAACAAAATATTTTTAGGATATGCATCTTTATAAACCATGTAACTGTGATATATGCAACAAAATTTGGTCATAGATTCTTGAAAAAAAATAGGTGACCCGTATTTTTTATTTTTTTTGAGTGGCCCCCTTTTTTCGGATTTACAGCCCCTGAATTTTGCCCCTAAAAGAGTTTTTTAATATCTCAGGGCCCTGTTGGACGAAAATCACTAAATTTGGTACACGTTGTTTTACCAGAAAATGACATTTTTGGTGTGTGTGATGCTATTATTTTTTTATTTTCATCAGTGGCGTCCCTACCCTACGGTAGTTAAACTAAATATTATTGAAGAAAAAATGGTACGCCACTGTTTTTAAAATAAAAACATTTTTAAAATCTACATTAAACTTGGAACAAATTTGATCTCATGACTTTTTTGGTACGACGCACCGTTTTCGCGTAAAAAATAAAAACCATTTTCATACATGAATAAATCGCTAAAATTTTACTGTAAATTTTAATGGAAAAATTTTTAAAACGGCAAACTTAAGTTTAAAATAATATTTTATTTCCAAAATCTTGTTTTTATTACCTAAGTGCGAACCAAAATGTCCAAAAATCTAAATTGCCGTTTTTGCTATGAAAAATCTAATCTGCCGTTTTAATATAAATTTTGCTATGAAAATTTATATTAAAATTTTAGCGAGCGATTTGGTCATGTATGAAAATGGTTTTTATTTTTTTACACCAAAACGGTGCATCGTACAAAAAAAAGTCAAGAGATCAAATTTGTTCCAAACTTAATGTAGATTTTAAAAATAATTTATTTTATTTAAAAAAAAACCAATGGGGTACCATTTTTTCTTCAATAATATTTAGTTTAAATACCGTAGGGACGCCACTGATGACAATAAAAAAAGTTATAGCATCAAAAAATGTCACTTTATGGTAAAACAACGTGTACAAAATTTAGTGATTTTCGTCCAACAGGGCCCTGAGATATTAAAAAAAAACTTTTTTTAGGGGCGAAATTTCAGGGGGCTGAAAATCCGAAAAGGGGGCCACTGGCCACCAAACCAAAACTAAAAAATACGGGTCACCTATTTTTTTTTCAAGAATCTATGACCAAATTATGTTGCATTAATTTCCGGACACCCTGTATAATTTTTTGTCATACCTTTTTCAACAAAGACAATATTGGACTTCCTCACATTAGTGACCCTCTGGTATATGTTAATTTTTTCAGATAAAACAACGAAATTTGGTTTGTTAGTATATGACATAAATCGGGATTGATTGACGTATTCAATTACCTTCGGTCGCTTCCTGTTTCACCGGAAATGACTACAACTTTGTATTTTTAGATTGTATCCTAAGTACTTTTTTACTTTATTTGATAGTAAATGACATTCTGAATAGAATGACATACCATACGTCAATTTTAGATAATTCCAATTAAATAAAAATAGCATTTTAAATTTCAGTCTCTAGTGCCAAGACTGAGTTAAAACTATTAATTTGTAATCAAAGAACTTTGGAAACATATATTTGATCGTGTAATTTTGTTTCGTATCCTTTCATGACCGCTTAAAAGATACCCAAATCGTATTTTTAATGATAACTCAAATTTTTCAAATGGTACGAGGCTGGCTCAGCATATTTGGAAAAAGCATTTTTTACGAATAATTTGGTACCACATACATACTTGATATTTGGAGTAAAATTGTCGTTACGTTTATTTATGGCCATTTTTAAATTGAAAATGTCAAAAGTTGACATATAATATATCATTCTATTTAGAATGTCATTTTCTATCATATACGGTAAAAAATACCGAGGGTACCATTTAAATCAAAAGTTGTTGTCATTTCCGGTGAAATAGGTAGTGACCGAAAATAAATGAAAGCGTCGATCAATCCTGATTTATGTCCTATACTAACATACCAAATCTCGTTTTTTATCTAAAAAATTAAAAAAGTTATAGAAGTGAACCACACTTTTCAGAAACACCCGGTATATTTATTTCTAAAAATGTAATGGTAAAATTTCATTTCCGGTGTCAAACTTCCTATTAAGTAGTAATTTTTAATTTCAGAATCCCATAATAATTCCGGTTTTTAATAAAAATAATCATAAAGGTCTTTATTAACAAACATGAAATTATATGGACGAAGTCTAGATACATAGCTATTCACACTCAACCCACAATAAAATTAAAATTATAAAATATTTTCTTTGTGTAAACAAATTAATTGTAAATGTTTTTCACGATCCCAGTCAATAACTGCGTCCCCCATTGTCGAATACCCGGTAAAAAATAAAAATCACAGATGGATGCCCGAAATTAAATGAAACCCTTCCAACTGTCCGGTACAATGTCCGCCGAAATGCACGCCGTTCGCTCCTTTTGATTTACCGACACCCGTCGGAAAAAGAATGTACGGGCTCTAGTATACTCGGCGCTCCGCGCTCCTTAATAGGACTAGGCTAGCTGTACTTGTTGGCTTTATTATTTATAAATCTACCTATCTCACAATTTTCACTTAGTATCTGTTTAATTATATATGTTCGCGAACATTTTGTTGGCAAATGCCAAGTCATACAAGAAACAAATATGCATACATATGTTAAATTTTACCATTCTTTGCAATTGACTGGTTTGTAGACGACCTTTTTCACCCAAATTTGATCTCCATACGATATCCAACTTTCCAATATTCGTGGCCCCACTCAAAGACTTTAAATCCGAAGTCAGTTTTTCATTCGGCGATAAACAATAAAGATACTGGCTTATTGACTGCGGCTGTAGTATTGTATTCTTTCCAAATATGCTTTCACTGTCTGGCGTCTTATTTAGACATGTAACTTGAACAAAAAATCACGTTTAAATTATCTGTGGTAGGCTAGAATATATTAAAATACCATTAAATAAATGAGACGCATCTAAGGATACTTTTTCTAAACAAATAGGTCCATAAGTTATGTTTTGAACTTGGGCTTCCAAGTACACATCGTCATTTTCGGCATTGTAAAACTTAGTTTTCACATCAAGAGGTTTCAGGACTTGGATCTTAAAGAACTTCTTAAAAGACATAGGTAGCCCCGATGAATTTTGATAAGCCACTTCACAAACAAGTCTAAATGATAAAATATTCTAACAACTTGTTAAAAATAGTTTTAAAACTTACATGTGTGTACCGATTTCCTTAACTTCATGATGAATGACCGCATTCACTGTTTCCTCAGATGTGAGTTGAGCTGTTGGGGGCTTATTAGAAAGTGGTAATCTCTGAGAACTAGTTTGTAAGTCTACCTAAAATTCAGGAAGCTTAGAAAAAAAAAATAACCCGAGAAACTATTTATTATTTACCTTTACACTAATGTTATAAACTATTTGTTTAGTCTCACTATAAATACAAATATAACTTGAAAATGTTTCTCCTAAGTATATATTTACTGGATTTTGGGGTAGTAGTAAAAATTGTCCTATTGCCAAGGTTTCTGTGCCTGGTACCGATGTAGGGTCTTGCTGTAATGCATTATTTAGTAAGTTACCTGGCAGGTCTTTGCTGTCGCATGTTACAGGCAACGGGCTTGCTAAAGTTGGCCTGGTCAGGCGCATAACTAAAAATTAGGCTTATTTTAAAGCAAAATTAAATAAAAACACGATTTACTACCTTTTAGAGCCAACAAATGTTCCTCCGTTTCCATTGTAAAAGATATTTATACGCCTGGAGAATATATCTATCAATACTTAGAACTTAATTTGTTTTTTTACGTAAGTCACTGGGAGTCTTGATACAAAGAATATATTTATGTCCAGTTTCATAGACTATAAATCCTCCTCTGTTTCTAGTTTATTTAATAATTTAATGTACATATAATCTTCTAAAATATAAAATAAAATGTAAATAATGACCATATGACATATGACATTTTTAATAAAGTAGTTTACATGTCCAATATCAAAGTTAATTTTACCTACTTCTTCTATTTGTTTTTTTTTTAATCAATTTAAAGGCCTAAGCTGCTAGAACTAAGCAGCCTGATAGTAGACTGTTACCTCTATTCGTTTTCGGACCTCTCCTAAAAAAAGGTGGATCCTGTCCATGGTACAAAGAAAACAAGGTATGATCGATAGCGGCCCCGATTTCGTTAAGTTTGCGCATACCACCTGTGACGTCATACGCCATACAAAAAAATATCCATATTGTTCAATTGCCACTAATAAAAAAAGACCTAAAATAGGGAAGAATTAAAAACTACATAATTTTTTTTTTTTTTTTTTTTTTTTTTTTTTTTTTTTTTAGTATTTGTAGCAAATTTAATGTAGCTTTCAAATATCAAAGGGTTTGAGGGTGAGGTTGTTAATAAGTTGAAGCTTTAAAACACACATAATGTATTTAAGAAAACAGAAAAATATGGCTTTTAAATATAATATTTACATCATATTATCTCTATTACACCTCATACAAAGGGAAAATTATTAAAAGCAATATCAATACATAGTTTATTAGTTTATTAACGTAGTTTCATGTAGTTAATGAACGGGAAAAACGTAGTTTTTGAAGAAAAACTATACGTAGTTAATCAGGTAAAATTACGTCTTAATTAACTGCTTCGAACCCTGATTCTTGGTTATTAACTTGGGCGGGGTTCGGAGTAATGAAGTAAGAACATAAATTGATTAACTAATGATTATTCTCAAAAACTACGTCTTTTCCGTTCATTAACTACATAAAAACTACTTTAAAACTACCTATTGATATTATAAATTATTTTGCTTTGTATGAGGAGTCTAATTAATATGTGAATGGTTATATTTAAAGCCATATTTCTTCTGTTTTCTTAAATACATTATGTGTTTTCTAAAGCTTCTCAACTTATTATAACCTCACCACAGCCTTTGATATTTGAAAGTTACATACATATGTTACATAAACTACATCCTCTAAATAAACTACATTAACTGCATGTAATGTAGTTTATGTAGTTTTTAACAGTAACATGTAGTTTTCCGAACCCTGCCTATAGGTTATTAGTTTATTACTTTTATGTGACATTTACATTTTTGTGACACTCTGTATAAAACAAAATATTTTTAGGATATGCATCTTTATAAACCAATAACTGTGATATATGCAACAAAATTTGGTCATAGATTCTTGAAAAAAAAAATAGGTGACCCGTATTTTTTATTTTTGGCGAGTGGCCCCCTTTTCGGATTTACAGCCCCCTGAATTTTGCCCCTAAAAAGAGTTTTTTTTAATATCTCAGGGCCCTGTTGGACGAAAATCACTAAATTTGGTACACGTTGTTTTACCACAAAATGACATTTTTGTGTGTGTGATGCTATTATTTTTTTTTTATTTTCATCAGTGGCGTCCCTACCCTACGGTATTTAAACTAAATATTATTGAAGAAAAAAATGGTACGCCACTGTTTTTTAAAATAAAAAACATTTTTAAAATCTACATTAAACTTGGAACAAATTTGATCTCTTGACTGTTTTTCGTACGGCGCACCGTTTTCGCGTAAAAAAATAAAAACCATTTTCATACATGAATAAATCGCTAAAATTTTACTGTAAATTTTAATGGCAAAATTTTTAAAACGGCGAACTTAAGTTTAAAATAATATTTTATTTCCAAAATCTTGTTTTTATTACCTATGTGCGAACCAAAATGTCCAAAAATCTAAATTGCCGTTTTTTAAATTTTGCTATGAAAATTTATATTAAAATTTTAGCGAGCGATTTGGTCATGTATGAAAATGGTTTTTATTTTTTTACGCCAAAACGGTGCATCGTACGAAAAAAAGTCAAGAGATCAAATTTGTTCCAAACTTAATGTAGATTTTAAAAATAATTTATTTTATTTAAAAAAAACCAGTGGGGTACCATTTTTTCTTCAATAATATTTAGTTTAAATACCGTAGGGACGCCACTGATGACAATAAAAAAAGTTATAGCATCAAAAAATGTCACTTTATGGTAAAACAACGTGTACAAAATTTAGTGATTTTCGTCCAACAGGGCCCTGAGATATTAAAAAAAAACTTTTTTTAGGGGCGAAATTTCAGGGGGCTGAAAATCCGAAAAGGGGGCCACTGGCCACCAAACCAAAACTAAAAAATACGGGTCACCTATTTTTTTTTCAAGAATCTATGACCAAATTATGTTGCATTAATTTCCGGACACCCTGTATAATTTTTTGTCATACCTTTTTCAACAAAGACAATATTGGACTTCCTCACATTAGTGACCCTCTGGTATATGTTAATTTTTTCAGATAATACAACGAAATTTGGTTTGTTAGTATATGACATAAATCGGGATTGATTGACGTATTCAATTACCTTCGGTCGCTTCCTGTTTCGCCGGAAATGACTACAACTTTGTATTTTTAGATTGTATCCTAAGTACTTTTTTACTTTATTTGATAGAAAATGACATTCTGAATAGAATGACATACCATACGTCAATTTTAGACAATTCCAATTAAATAAAATAGCATTTTAAATTTCAGTCTAGAGTGCCAAGACTGAGTTAAAACTATTAATTTGTAATCAAAGAACTTTGGAAACATATATTTGATCGTGTAATTTTTTTTGTATCCTTTCATGACCGCTTAAAAGATGCCCAAATCGTATTTTTAATGAGAACTCAAATTTTTCAAATGGTACGAGGCAGGCTCAGCATATTTGGAAAAAGCATTTTTTACGAATAATTTGGTACCACATACTTGGTATTTGGAGTAAAATTGTCGTTACGTTTATTTATGGCCATTTTTAAATTGAAAATGTCAAAAGTTGACATATAATATATCATTCTAATTAGAATGTCATTTTCTATCATATACGGTAAAAATACCGAGGGTACCATTTAAATCAAAGTTGTTGTCATTTCCGGTGAAATAGGTAGTGACCGAAAATAAATGAAAGCGTCGATCAATCCTGATTTATGTCCTATACTAACATACCAAATCTCGTTTTTTTATCTAAAAATTAAAAAAGTTATAGAAGTGAACCACACTTTTCAGAAACACCCGGTATATTTATTTCTAAAAATGTAATGGTAAAATTTCATTTCCGGTGTCAAACTTCCTATTAAGTAGTAATTTTTAATTTCAGAATCCCATAATAATTCCGGTTTTTAATAAAAATAATCATAAAGGTCTTTATTAACAAAAATGAAATTATATGGACGAAGTCTAGATACATAGCTATTCACACTCAACCCACAATAAAATTAAAATTATAAAATATTTTCTTTGTGTAAACAAATTAATTGTAAATGTTTTTCACGATCCCAGTCAATAACTGCGTCCCCATTGTCGAATACCCGGTAAAAATAAAAATCACAGATGGATGCCCGAAATTAAATGAAACCCTTCCAACTGTCGGTACAATGTCCGCCGAAATGCACGCCGTTCGCTCCTTTTGATTTACCGACACCCGTCGGAAAAGAACGCGGGCTCTAGTATACTCGGCGCTCCGCGCTCCTTAATAGGACTAGGCTAGCTGTACTTGTTGGCTTTATTATTTATAAATCTACCTATCTCACAATTTTCACTTAGTATCTGTTTAATTATATATGTTCGCGAACATTTTGTTGGCAGTAGCTTGCCAAATAAAACAACAGGCAAATGCAAATATGAAACAAATATGCATACATATAATTTTACCATTCTTTGCAATTGACTGGTTTGTAGACGACCTTTTTCACCCAAATTTGATCTCCATACGATATCCAACTTTCCAATATTCGTGGCCCCACTCAAAGACTTTAAATCCGAAGTCAGTTTTTCATTTGGCGATAAACAATAAAGATACTGGCTTATTGACTGCGGCTGTAGTATTGTATTCTTTCCAAATATGCTTTCACTGTCTGGCGTCTTATTTAAACATGTAACTTGAACAAAAAATCACGTTTAAATTATTTGTGGTAGGCTAGAATATATTAAAATACCATTAAATAAATGAGACGCATCTAAGGATACTTTTTCTAAACAAATAGGTCCATAAGTTATGTTTTGAACTTGGGCTTCCAAGTACACATCGTCATTTTCGGCATTGTAAAACTTAGTTTTCACATCAAGAGGTTTCAGGACTTGGATCTTAAAGAACTTCTTAAAAGACATAGGGAGCCCCGATGAATTTTGATAAGCCACTTCACAAACAAGTCTAAATGATAAAATATTCTAACAACTTGTTAAAAATAGTTTTAAAACTTACATGTGTGTACCGATTTCCTTAACTTCATGATGAATGACCGCATTCACTGTTTCCTCGGATGTGAGTTGAGCTGTTGGGGGCTTATTAGAAAGTGGTAATCTCTGAGAACTAGTTTGTAAGTCTACCTAAAATTCAGGAAGCTTAGAAAAAAAAATAACCCGAGAAACTATTTATTATTTACCTTTACACTAATGTTATAAACTATTTGTTTAGTCTCACTATAAATACAAATATAACTTGAAAATGTTTCTCCTAAGTATATATTTACTGGATTTTGGGGTAGTAGTAAAATTGTCCTATTGCCAAGGTTTCTGTGCCTGGTACCGATGTAGGGTCTTGCTGTAATGCATTATTTAGTAAGTTACCTGGCAGATCTTTGCTGTCGCATGTTACAGGCAACGGGCTTGCTAAAGTTGGCCTGGTCAGGCGCATAACTAAAAATTAGGCTTATTTTAAAGCAAAATTAAATAAAAACACGATTTACTACCTTTTAGAGCCAACAAATGTTCCTCCGTTTCCATTGTAAAAGATATTTATACGCCTGGAGAATATATCTATCAATACTTAGAACTTAATTTGTTTTTTTACGTAAGTCACTGGGAGTCTTGATACAAAGAATATATTTATGTCCAGTTTCATAGACTATAAATCCTCCTCTGTTTCTAGTTTATTTAATAATTTAATGTACATATAATCTTTTAAAATATAAAATAAAATGTAAATAATGACCATATGACACATGACATTTTTAATAAAGTAGTTTACATGTCCAATATCAAAGTTAATTTTACCTACTTCTTCTATTTGTTTTTTTTTTAATTAATTTAAAGGCCTAAGCTGCTAGAACTAAGCAGCCTGATAGTAGACTGTTACCTCTATTCGTTTTCGGACCTCTCCTAAAAAAAGGTGGATCCTGTCTCTATACCAGCATTGATTTATCATGGATTTATCTGTGTTAGTAACTCTATCATTAGGTCGGATAGTCGTAGCAGCTTAAAATATAAAAATTTAGCCAATAAAAAAAAAGAAAAAAGACCTAAAATAGGGAAGAATTAGGACATAACCCCAAAAGTTATGTCAAATCATCGAGCTTGACATTTGAAAATTATTTTCACATTTTGACACAATGAAATTTCACAGATGACACAATATGTTTGACAATTTGAAATTGGCGCGCAGAGCTTGCCGACCAATGGTGCCGTTTATCACCTGTGACGTAGTGACCAACCTGCGCAATATCATATCTTGTATTCTTTGTATCATGGATCCTGTCTCTATACCAGCCATAGAATAACAAACTGAAAGAAATGAAAACTCCTATGTTAAAGCCTGGAAACACGCGCTCGACGCGATCCAAGCGGGCTACTGGCAGAACTAAAAGTTCGCGCCATATTTTTAAATGGACCTTTACTGCCAGTTCATAAGTTTTTTACTTATATTTGGTAATTTTAATCTAGATTATGAACTTATTTGTAACAAAACATTTTACAAAATAAAAAATAATGTGTTTTGATACAAATAAATTAATAATTAGGTTGAAATTATCCCTGAAATTAGAATAAAACACGAAAAATTTGTAACTTGATTATTTTATTATAACATTGTTAATAAAATTACATATAACACATTCAACACTATACAAGTATATATAAAAGTTATCAGAATTTATACAATCAGTTATAAGTAATTATAAAAAAGGTTATAAATTATAAATAAATAATTCATTATATAAAAGACATATAGTTACCGTGAATATAATTTGGTATAACTTTAATCTCAACTTTAATGACCTATTCAAATAGAAACATCTTACAATTCACATTATATAATACACAAAGCCAAGGGACAAAATTGTTATTAAATCTATTCTCGATGACTCGAAGCATTTTTTTTTCAAATAAAACAGGACATATAGGGCTTATAAATAATACAAGGGTATAGAAAATATATAAATAAGTAAATACAAATATATTTTCAACCTAATGATTAATGATTATACTCGTTTAAATAAATAAATGATCTTTTTAAAATTACTTGTTTGTCTTTGCAAATTTGTATATTTAATATTTATCTAAAAGCGTACACTTACATAAATTACTGCACAACCTTTAAAATTAAGCTTTTAATATGTTATACAAATTCTTGATTCGATATAAATACACTTAAATAAAACTTTAAAATTAATGATCTTCCAAATTTCTGAGACAGCCATTTTGTTGAAAGAATTTGTTTTGATTATGAGAAATTTCATAAAAATTATCACAGGGATTAATTAATCTTATATATTAAACTACTTGGCTTTTAAATTTCACAATCCTATCGTCCAAAATACTCTAAATTCGCAAAAATCCGTAAAATATTCCCATAAAAACAAATCACAATTCACTTCCACTTCACAGAAACTGACAGACATTGCCAAATATGGAATGACGTTTATTTTTCAATTTATTTTACTGATCTAACTGATCCGGGTCACTTAGAAATTAAATTTTTATTAAATTATTTAATTATAATTGTTTCTGGCGAAAGCAACTTCATATCAATGTTTATTCATAGGGTAACAAAGCCACATCACTGCTAAATTATCAACATTTTATATAAATATTTATATTTTTCAACTACTCCAACTACTCCAATTACTCCACAAAGAATGAAACGAATTGTTAAATAAACTATACTCTGTGGATGACTTGATAAAATCATGATGAAATTAAAGTCCCTAGATGAATATCTAGGGACTTTAGATGAAATTTCTACGCAGCGCCATCTATCCCTCTACTGGCAGAAACTCCGCCGTGTTTCCAAAATTCAAATGGCAGTTTCATCCGCCTGATACCAGCATTGATTTATCATGGATTTATCTGTGTTAGTAACTCTATCATCAGGTCGGATAGTCGTAGCAGCTTAAAATAAAAAAAATAAGCCAATAAAAAAAGAAGATGAATTATTGGAGGTTAATAAAATCGAATTTGATGTGTTTTGTTTATTTTTGTTTGAGAAGATATAAAATATTGTTAATTAAAACCGATAAGGATCAAATGTTGATAGCGTTAAATTAAAGGTGATTTATATATTATTACTCCCACTACAGCTCTTTGTTCGTTACATCGTTTTTTCTGTTCTTATCAGGTTATGTACTGGAAAATTTTACAGACATTTTAAGAGATGTACCAAAAAATCGCAAAGGAAACCTTCCGAAGTGCTTTCAAAACTATAGATAAAGACATTCTGAGATGGTTTCCAGGCCATATGGCCAAAGGCCTTAAACAGATGCAACAGAAACTTAGATCGGTGGATTGTATCATTGAAGTACACGATGCTAGAATTCCATTGTCTGGACGAAACGGCGAGTTCAAGTACGCGATAAGCGGCATCAAACCCCATATTCTAGTATTAAACAAGGTAGATCTAATAGAACCCCGCTTTAAGAAACAAATAACCGAACATTTAAAATCACAATACGACCATATTTTATTTACAAACTGTCGAAGTCAGACGTGTCGCGGTGTTAGGGCCGTATTCCCTTTAGCCAAAGACCTAATAAATAATTCTAATAGATACAATAGATCAAACGAGGAAGATTATAATATGATGATAATTGGAGTGCCTAATGTAGGAAAGTCCTCGCTTATTAATGCCTTAAGGGCAAAACATTTAGGCAAAGGGAAAGCTTCCGCAGTTGGAGCGACGCCGGGTGTCACCAGAAGCGTCCTACACAAAATAAAGATGTCAGAGAAGCCTTTGTTCTATATGTTAGATACACCAGGAATTTTAACTCCAAATATATCAGATATAGAGATGGGTTTAAAATTGGCTTTATGTGGTACAATTCAAGATCATCTTGTTGGAGAGACTATTATAGCTGATTATTTGCTCTATTGGTTAAATAATCAAAACCATTTTGAATATGTGGAGTATTTTAAAATGGATAAACCAAACGATGACATTTTAGAAGTACTAGCTCATATATGTAAACTGCATAATAAAATATTACGAATTAGGAACCAACTGAATGAGTATGTTATTAAACCGAATTTAGATGCAGCTGCACAGATCATGTTGAAAGCATTTCGAGATGGAAATTTAGGCAAACACATGTTAGATGAGGATTTGTTATAGGCAATTTTTTTTATTAATATATTGTTGTATATAAATCAAAAATTTTAGGCGAAAGATTTTTATTTCAAATAGAATCTGATAATAACTGTTTTATTAAAATATATACAGGGGTCTATTTTAAAAACTATGTATTGTCATAAGTAATACTGGAATGAAATTTCCACTGGAAAAATTAGCAAAGATAAATATAACAATAAACGTATCTTTGATATGATAAGGGTGGTCAGTATTTGGTTCTATTTACAATTATTTCTGACTAATCAAACTTTTTTTTTTTAAGTCTAAACTAGACTATTTTAGTAAATTGTATAAAACTTTAATTCCATAGCACTGTCACAACAAAAATGTTCTTTCCTAATGTACTTTTGTACTGTGTAAATAAATACCTAATAAATAACTTTTATATATTGGCCATGTTATGTTCCCTAAAAATACTTAACGCTTCCCATTGTTTCTTGTGCATTAAAATATGGGGTCTCTTCTCTTTCATGTGGTTGACTGCTTGTTCAGGGCCCCAGTTATACCTCTAAAATAACGTAATAATTAGTTTACATTAATTAAGAGTTTTTCATTGATTTACCTGAATTAGATAACAACCGACTAATGTGGCACTCCTTGTCCGACCTGCTTTGCAGTGAATGTAAACTGAAGAGTTCGATACACCATTAATCACGTTCGTTTTATCAACAAACTGGTTAATAAAACGAACACCCTCTACTAATTTACTTTGACATGGGGTGGCGAAAATATCTGTTGTAGCTAGTTGCAAAAAAGAAACTCCTAATTTCTTCCAAGACTAGAAAACAATTAAAATTAATGTGTGTAGATCTTTTTTATAAGTTCATTTATTTCTTACCTTAGAATCATTCGCAAAGAATAGCTCATAATCCTCGTTCATCGATATAACAGCTTTGACATTTTCTTTTTCTATTAACTGGGAAAAATAAGAATTTAAATAAAATTTTATTAACGCAAAAAACGTTCAAAGTGGTAAGTAAATCAAAATAATAATCTATAAACTCTCCTATAAATTATTTAAAATCAAATCACAAAACAGTTCAAGGATATTCCTTCCTAACCTAAAAAATAGTGCCCTACATTTATGCAATTATAGACCTTAACACCTATGTAAATAGAGGTTTTGACTGCATAATTGATTAATTTTGACCGTATTTAATTAAATAAATTGGGGCAACTTACTTCTCTAGCGATGTGCGGGAATGGTAAAGCTCCTAAAATAACGGTGTCGTCTATCCTGTTGTACCATTGTCTCGGTGTGAGCTTTTCCATAAATACGTTATAAATTAACGTCGGGTAGAAGGTAATTCTCGCAAACATTTTTGCGACAAATCGGGCCAAATATAAACACAAATTAGCCACTTTTAGGTCGAAAATGTGTATCGATTTAGCGAATATAAAGTACTTTGAGCATGCCAATCATGTCATACAAACGGCGAATCACCCGCATTTGAATTTTAGTTGGCCTGAAAGATGCAAGAGAAAGTTAAATTGTGAAATAGTGTGGAAAGTTCATAAAATAATCTTTGACATATAAAATTAATATTTAATGTGATTTTTTTAAATTTTTATTTATTACAGTTTTTATATAATACAACATAATTTAAAATAATTTATTTTCACAAAACTTATTAAGTTTATAAATTTTTATTCTGAAATGCACCAGAATTGTCTGAAAGCCCGACCAATACCAATTTGGGTATGGTTAAAATACAAGAGACCTCCTAATGTAGTGGCCGATATAACGTAAAGCAGAAGTAGAGCTATTTTTGGTAAAACAGGTCCGACAATAATGGGACGAATATAATCTATAACACATGCTTCTAGACCCCTAAAAAAATTTTAAAAATATATTAATTTAAATGCCCCTGTTTTAATAAATAATATACGAACCAATGAAAGTGTATGACTGTTGCAAGTGCAAATAAATCGTCGAGAAGTGGATTACAGAAAAGAAAAGTCGCAGGAACTATGCCTAAAAGTGCTAGGGAAACGATTTTCTCCAATGTCCACAGTTTTCCGTGATCTGCTGACATGTTTCGTTTAGATTGCTGTGCAACATTTATAAATTGTGTTTTGCATTTGTTAACTAAAGACAGTGTTTTATAATTATCCTGGTTTAAAAACTGGGTGAAGTTTTGTGTTTTCTGTACGTTGAAGGTGCATTTTTGCAGTCCGGCAATTCCTACAAGATAGTTATGTAATTTCAATTCGATATATTTCAATATTTTCGTTGGCCAGATTTTGGTACATAGTATTAAAAATTACCTCGGAGTTTTGTGCCATTCCTTAGCATTAATGACAAAGCCATATTAATGTATTTTAGTTTATTTTTGCAATAAAATATTTTTCTTTGAATATCAAATATAACTTCAAAATCTTCTTCTTGGTGTTATTGATGGCGCTAACAGGACTGTCAAAAAATTCTTAATCTAAATTTTTTTTGATATTTTTTGGCAGGTGATAATTACTCTTCTATGGGAAGATATTTTGAATGTTAGGATTTCGACAATTTTTGACATCTTGGACCTCTAGTGGCAAAAATAATAACTAAAGAAACCTTCTCTTTTGTGATTGTGCTCCATTTTGTTTGTCCGATTTTTTGTCGACGTGACTGATCGTACGCATCGTACGTGCTTTCAACTTTGCCATAAATTTATAATCCTAATTATATCGGTTTTTAAAGTCCCGCAAGCATGAGTACCCGGGTTTTCGTCGGCGGTTTGACATACAAAGTACGCGAAAGAGATTTGGAGAAGTTCTTCCGCAAATATGGCCGCATCCGCGAAGTATCCATGAAAAGCGGCTACGCCTTCGTGGAGTTCGACGACTACAGGGACGCCGAAGACGCCGTGTACGAGATGAACGGTAAGGATTTAATGGGGGAAAGAGTTACTGTAGAGCGGGCTAGGGGAACCCCGCGGGGAAGCGACCGTTGGAGGGACAGGGACTCCCGCGGCGGCGGCGGTGGAGGAGGAGGAGGTGGCGGCGGTGGATACGGAGCACCCCAGCGCAGGGAAAGAGACAGAGAACCGAGAGGCAGAGACAAGTACGGCCCACCGACCCGTACGGAGTACCAAGTCACTGTGGAAAACCTGTCTAGCAGATGCTCCTGGCAAGACTTGAAAGACTACATGCGTAAGGCCGGCGAAGTAACGTACGCCGATGCCCACAAACAAGCCCAGAACGAAGGAGTAGTCGAGTTTGCATCGTACAATGACATGAAGAACGCCATCGAGAAACTAGATGGTACAGAGATTAACGGAAGGAAGATCAGAATAGTTGAGTCAGGAAGAGGAAGGAAGAAGTCTTCGAGCCGTTCGCGTTCCAGATCTCCCCGTTCCAGAAGCAAGTCAGCGTCCAGGTCGAGGTCCGGATCAAGAAATGACCGTTCACCGAGCAAGGAGAATGGAAATAAGAGATCTCCTTCAAGATCACGGTCCAGAGACAACTGAAGTTTGTGAGTGATATAAAAGAGCCTAACTAAGGGTTTTGTGTGCGGAATTACAAAGGTTTATTTTGTTTATTTTTTTTATTGTATAATTTTCTAATTGTTAGGTATATATCTTCCGGCAATTTCTGTTACAAGTCTTATAAATGAAGGCTTTTCATTTGAGGGCATGTAAAGATTTGCATTACTTCATGTAATCTGTATTTTTTTCATTTCATGTCATCCTTGAATATGAATCAGGTTTTAAAAACTTATATTATTAGGCAATGTAAGCTAACTTTAATACCTGTGTTCAAACTATAATTTCTAATTATTAAAATTTTCAAATATTTTGATGATGCTACTAAGACATTATATTTTCAATTTTGGGTATATAAAACTGTACTTTATATTACACACATAGCATATGTGATTTTTGGCAATACATTTTCTCCAATCATCAATTTGCAATCATTGAATTATTCATAGTTGTAGTTAATTTCAAATTTTGTATATCAAGTCATGTTTTTTGATATCATTAAAACGATTTTTGGCTTTTGTTTGCATATTATTGGCCAAACAAAAATTCTATTTAGCTTCTAACAACTATGTAAGTCATGTATGAAAAATAAAAAGTAATTAGAAACCGCTTTTTTAGATTTAAGTGAATATTTACAGTGTTGAAAAGTTAAATATTTTCATATTTTGCCTAGGTAGTCCAATTCAATTCCATTTCCCCCCATTCAACAGCTCAACGGCCCAAGTTAAATGCTCAATTAACGTGGTGTTCCATTCCAATTCTGAGGCTACCGTTCCGACTACCAAATAGCCAGTTATATTTGAAGAGGCACATTGAGCCACATCTGACGTAAAGTTCACTTTTCCAATAGGGCTGGGCTCCAAACATACCAGGGCATACTCGATAAGTTGGGGTAAATATTATTTTTAGACATTGAACAAAGTCACGTTACAAATGTTTTTTGGTTATTTCCTTTTTAATTTTTTTACTGCAAATTAAAATTTTAATACTTACAAGTCTTTAAAATATTTGGGGTCTATGAATTGGTGTCTTTTAACATTGTAAATCATGGTGTTAAGTTAGTTTTATGGTCATTCAAAGGATTTTTCAAAAATGTCCTTTATTTTCAATAGTTTATTTAAATGCCTCTAGTTTTTTCTATCTCAAAAAATATAAAATATAAAGCCTGCTAAATGTGGGACAAAATAAAACATACTCTAAAGTCTCATCTACACATAACATTTTACCTGTCAGTCTAAATGTGCGCGATCCTTACCACTTTTTTCTAACGCAGGTAAAACTTCCAGTGTGTGCGTTAGTCTTTAATCTGTCTTACATGACAGGTAAAACGTTATTAGTAGACGAGACTTAAATCCTACAATTAAAACACCAATTTATAGCTATACATAAGTTAGAAATTGTCTAGTTTTAAAGCCCTATCTATATCTCGGAAAAGTTTGTCCGTTTTTGAAAACGACATGTTCTTTATAGGTAGCCAAAATCCCTCCCCCCATAAAAATCTAAAAACGATGAGAGGCCAGTCCAGTTGACCAGTCCCATCAAAAAAATTAAATAACATAGAACCGACCAATTCAACCGTTCAATTTTCTTTGATGGTCCACGAAATTTCCAAAAAAATAGGCTGTGCCTGCAGAGTCTGAGGTCCCAATCCATCCAAAATTTGTCCGTTGAAATTGTTCTTCCCCATTCCAAAGGCAGGTCTAGTTTATGGGTCTAGTTCCAACGTCAACCGTTTGCAGGCGTGCCAACTGCTATGGTGTTTTTGGTTTTTTCACTAGCAGGGATGCTGCTTAAAAGTTCCAGAGTTCGAAAAGGCAGCAGAGACGACAAGCATGACAGATGTTCCAGATAATAGATAGGAGATATAAGAAGTATCCTAGATGCAGTGTTATGCTCTTATCAATCCAGGTTTTGAGCAAGAGGAAATAAATTCTAAGGATACGGATTTTGATCAAAAAAAATTTAAACTTTTTTTTAATAATTACAAATACACAAAAGGTTAATTAATTACTAATTTATAAGATTCATTTAAAGGTCTGTTTTTTTTTAAATTCAATACAAAAAATTGGTTTTTTTTTCTAATTAGCAGAGCTGTGTCTAAATTGTTGAATTATTTTTATTTTAAGGTTTTTTTAAGCAAGTATTTTTTCCCATTTTGAGTCATTACAATACTTTTGTCTGTATATTTTATAATTAAAAAATATAAGTGACCAACACAAACACTTGTTTTCCAAGATTATATCATATTAGAGACCTTAAAAATACACAAAAAAAAACGAAAAACAACCATTCCGCTTTTAAAATTCTTAATTGACATACTCATGTGTGACTGATTCATATTCATATACTCTCTGATGTAAAAGATTGCAATAGCTATTCATTCCTAAACATGTAAATATCTGTATAAATCAACTTTCGTAAATCCGCTCAAAGGAAGGGAATATGAAAACCACATTCCTGTATAAAGGATATAGTTTTTTATCAAATTTTTATTTAACTTTTTTAATGAAAAATATTTACAAATACACAAAAGAATAAATTACATTTTTTTTTATAAAAATTACTAGTAATACGTTTTACATTTAAAAATCTAAGTTGATAGTATTTTTTTTTAAATTTTTATCATAAGTAATTTTACTCTCAATTATTTTTTAAAACTCGACATTTAAAAAAAACATTTTTTCTGTGTAACTGCGATTAATCATATTTTGACACATTTTGATTTAATGATTTTGTAAATTAATGTTTTAATTATGACCTCAAAAATATTTAAGCACTTCGTAATAATTAGGTATTTTATGATAAAAAAAATTGTTTTTAAAAATAGAAAAAAATCTATCAAAAATGTTTAATGATGATTTTTTCCATAGCCTGTCTAGCAAGAGAATATAATATGATTAGACATCCAAAACAAATTTCAGAAAAACAATTCATTTTTGTATTAAATAACATGTTATATTTTTTTGTCCATCGTTGTGAAAAAAGATTCTTTGTTTTTATCACTAACAATTTGAGGGGCCACGCTTTGGAAACCCTGTATATTAAGGTTGTACAAACATTTTTTGTTATTGGCATATTGGCATATACTTGTGATGTCGTGTGAGTGGTTTACTTGTGCAATTATTTGTCACTCGGCGCGCCAAGCTTTTGTTACAAAAAAAATGTTTACAAAGATAGTATACTTGCCCAGTAGGCAAATATTGGCGTACTTGCAAGTACACGAGTAGTGAGAATCCGCCTTTATGGTCTCTTCTATATAACACTAAAAGCTCGACTTGTCAGCCAACTCCATTTTTTTTTGATAATAGTCTATGCCAAAGAAAAGTTGAAATATTTGTTTCTTTTATGAAAGTCACTAGGTTGAAAATTTGAGTGGCACTGTATATCTTCTAAAATAATAAAATACGACCTTTTATTGTCCATTATATTTTACAAAAAAGACTCGAGGCAAATTTCAAACAGGAAACCAGATACAGAGGTTTCTTGACATTAAATAAGGCAATACACTGCCTAGGTCTGACGTGACGTCACGTCAGTGGGCGGAGTTTAAATACCCTTCCAAAACAAAGTAAGTGCAAAGTGCAGGTAAAATTCCGTAAGTGATTATAGAACAGCCCATTTTCCTTACGATGAAAATCATGCATTTAATTCTATTATACATATACAGGGTGTCCCAGAAATAAGTGCAAGTATTTTAAGGGGTGGTAGATCTCGATAAAAGAAACATTTTCTCTCTATCGTGTTTCAGATAAGCCCAAAATAACAGAGTTATTTTAGCAAAATAAAAACACTAAATCACCACAATACACCAAAACACTTTTACTTTTACACTGGACGCGCGTTTCGCTAACCATGTTAGCATCATCATCATCATCAGTTGATAATCATCTGCTGATGATGCTAACATGGTTAGCGAAACGCGCGTCCAGTGTAAAAGTAAAAGTGTTTTGGTGTATTGTGGTGATTTAGTGTTTTTATTTTGCTGTGTAACACCAAAGGTTCCAACCCTCAACTGTAATAGAGTTATTTTACTTTGAAAATTTCCAAAAAAAAATATTTTTCGCTAAAATTTTGAGAACTACTGGATCTTTTCCGGATTTTCTTTCTTGTAAATTTAATCTAATACCAATGTTGCCATATTATCAAGAAATTATGTTTTCTAACTAAAAAAATTTCCAAAAAATTTCGAATTTTAATTTTTTTTTCGCGTAAAAAAACTCATAGGCGTGTTTCTGGGGTTGAACTATACTACCAGTTAAAATACTTGCACTTATTTCTGGGACACTCTCTATATATGTAAAGAATCAATAACGGGTATAACCTGAAACTGCTTAAAAAAACTAGTTTTCAAAATAGACTCATCAAATTGTAGGAAAACCACTTCAGCAAAACATGCTATATTCAAATAAATGCCCGAGAGTTATTTACTCCTCAAAGAAAACGGAAAAAATAAGTTTAATATTTTTGGCTAAGTAAGTGCGCTATTTCAATTAGTAGCAACCGTTCACTCAGTGATTTTTTTTTGTACAATTGACAATACTTGATTGGCACTAGAATAGAACAAGCACAAAAATGATTTAGAGAAAAACAATTTTTTTAGAGTTAAATATATAAAACTGTCGTTAATGTCATACTACCCCTGCAGTGGGATTCTGTAAGCTCCGTAGCAAGAAATTTCTTACCAAGCCTATGTTATTTTTATACGACTGAAGTCACAGACAGGAGATATGTTTACAGAATAGCACTGCTGGTCACAATATTTCCGTGGTCTGTACTTTAATGCATACGACAGAGATAAATATATACGACCAGTTGACAGACAGAGACAAAATAAAAAGCGGCACACAGTATTGCCGGTTCGTACGAGAAATAAAATACGACAGAGATGCCGACAGCTTAATGGAAAATCAAATGTATTAAAAAATGGTAAAAGTTGGGTCGATACGTTTCTTCTATGCGGTATTGCCGGATTTTGCATCAAAATTTCAAACCGCACAAGTAGGGCACGAGAATAGTACAAGCAAAAAAATGATTTAGAGAAAAACAATTTTTTTAGAGTTATATGATAACTGTCGTTAATGTCATACTACCCCTGCAGTGGGATTCTGTAAGCTCCGTAGCAAGAAATTTCTTACCTAGCCTATGTTATTTTTATACGCCTGATGAGTCACAGACAGGAGATATGTTTACAGAATAGCACTGCTGGTCACAATATTTCCGTGGTCTGTACTTTAATGCGTACGACAGAGATAAATATATACGACCAGTCGACAGACAGAGAGACAAAATAAAAAGCGGCACACAGTATTGCCGGTTCGTACGAGAAATAAAATACGACAGAGATGCCGACAGCTTAATGGAAAATCAAATGTATTAAAAAATGATAAAAGTTGGGTCGATACATTTCTTCTATGCGGTATTGGCGGATTTTGCATCAAAATTTCAAACCGCACAAGTAGACGTTTATGAAAAATGTTGCATCTAGGGTTGGAACTTTATTTTATACAATTAGTTACTCATTTTACTACAGCTGTAATAGATTATATTTAGCTTAGATATATTACTTCCATTTCAGTAGTGTACGAGTATACAGGGTGGCCCATCGAAAACGTTCCGCAAGGCATAACGGCCAGGGTAGTTTTTTTTTCGGAAAATTCAAAAACACGTCAATTTTGTTTGTGAGGGGGACAACTTTTGCCCCAAAAATGATTGCAAAATCCTCAACCCTCTAAGCGGGGGTGTCATTCCCCAATTTTTTTCAAATGGGAAGGAGGGTTAAGAGGTACCGCAATGAAAAGAGCTTTATATTCTCTATACTTTCCCGCTTCGTTTTTGAAAATCGGTCGAGTCATTGAGAAAATATGAAGGATTGAAATTTGAAAAGTTTATTTAAACATTTATCGTTGATATTAGTAAAATGATAAAGATAGAGTAAATGATAAAGATAAATTCCTTTCACCAATTTGCTGTCTTTTCTTATTATTTCTAGCTTTTTTTAGTTTCTGTTCTGTTCTAGCTGTTATTTAATGTGTGTTTTTCGGATGGGTGTACTTTCCTTTTGAACGATGTAGTTAATCGGCACAACTGTCGGTACTGGGCTGAGGACAACTCCAGGGTTTTTCGCGAAGTGCACACACAAAACCCTCAGAAATTGAACGTATAGGCTGGTATTTTTGGAAATTCTATTGTGGGTCCTTTTTTTCTCCCTGGAAATCTAACAGGTGATATGTACTTGGATTTACTGGAAAATACGTTGAAGCGGAACTAATATTTCAACAAGACGGTGCACCTCCACATTACTCTCAAAATGTGCGTAATTATTTAAACCATATCTTTCCCGGTCGGTGGATAGGACGAAGGGGTGAAATTGAGTGGCCTCCCCGGTCACCCGACTTGACTCCTTTAGACTATTTTTTTAAAGGGGACACATAAAAAGTAAGCGAAGACGAAGACGAATTATTGATGTTTGTCGCGTAATGGACCCCGCAAGTTCTTCAGAATGTTCGAGAACGGTTTGAAAATAATTTGTGTACTACTGTATGGAGGTTGACCGGCAACATTTGCAGCATTTGCTTCATTAATAAGATAAGTTTTTTTAAATTAATTCAATTTATGCGTTTTTTTTGCAAAAAGTATTTTTCAAATTTCAATCCTTCATATTTTCAAAATGACTACCGATTTTTAAAAACGAAGTGGGGAAATATAGAGAACAGAAAGCCCTTTTCATTGCGGCGCCACTTGACCCCCCTTTCCATTTGAAAAAAATTGGGGGGATAATACCCCCGCTTAGAGGGTTGAAGATTTTGCAATAATTTTTGGGGCAAAAGTTTTCCCCCTCACAAACAAAATTGACGTGTTTCTGGATTTCTTCAAAAAATAAATACGCTGGTCGTTATACCTTGCGGAACGTTTTCGATGGGCCACCCTCTACGAAAGTTTTTAAACTGTTTTTTACCGCTTTTTATTTTCTCTGTCTGGAACGGCGTATCGGCGTAACGACCTTGTATCGATTTCCAGCAATTCTATTGGCTGAAATTTTTTGAAAATCAAAATGACAAGACAACTGTCGCCACTTTTATGGATCCTCTCATTGGACAGGCTATATTCGTATATACGGTTTTATCTACATAAAATACGAGGAATGCAGAATCAAAATGAATCAAATTATAATCAACCACTCTCGACAAAAATAAACACCCTGTATATAGTTAAAAATTGTA